GCTGCACACGACACCAACATGCGCGCACATGTTGCGATCGTGTGCAACGGTGTAGTGTGCGATTCCTCGTATTTCAAATCTTGTTCTCATCTCAAAACAAAATATTGCTTGTTCGGCGGCTTGTATCTCAAAACACTCGTATATCGAGGTACCACTGCATTTTAGAAAATTGTGTATTTGGAATGTTAAGCAGAGAAACTAAGTTGTTTATCAAAAAATATGTTTCTAAAACAGAGAGAAAATTGTTGTAAAAAAACTCAAATTCATATTGTTGTAAAAAATATGCCCATAAAAAGACTTTAAGAAAAGATGAAAATCTTATGAGAGAACTTTTTATTATATATATTAAACTCTAATTTAGGTTAAAATAACCTGCCGAATAATGATTATTAAAGTCAAACAATAAAATTCAGCTTAATATTTGTACATTTTGCAGGACTAGTTTCACCCAACATTATTAACCAAGCAGTTAAAAAATTCTCATCTTAACACATCAAACGTCACACTCTGGTTTTAGGAGATTATAAGAATTCTGTTATCCTTCCTTTCTTTTTGTCAATTAGCTATAAAATTGCACATATTGTACAGAAATTTTAACTTTCGGTTTGTTTTTTCTCTTATCAGTAAAATTTCCAGTTCCATGCTTAAGAACACCATTCTGGATATAAATTCCTGGAGGTATTTACAGGATTTTTTGCCAGCGTGGTTTAATTTATATTGGTCAAACTAAGAAAGCCTTAAAATTTCACATTAAAGAAAATGAGGCATATGTTTAGGAAAATGGAAATTCAAAATCCTCTCTTGCCCAACACTGTTGGTCCGGAAATCACGCTTTTCATTTTTTCGCAGCCGGAATTATTCAAAAAACATCTTCCATTGGCAAATTAGATTTTCTAGTTGCGTTTCACATTCAAAATAATTTTTCTGTTCTAGTTAACAACCCTAGTTCAAATCCATCTTTACCTTCAGCCTTTACGGGAATTATGTTTTAGTTTTCTTGTTTCATCAAGAGATGGCACCACTAGCTTAACTTCTGTCTAGCCATTCGTATCTTATCGCCATATCTTATCTCTTTCATTTGCACTAAGGGAGCTATTGTGTTGATTATGGTTCTGTAGTTAAGCATCAAAACTTAGTTCTGCAAAATTTACAAATATTACGCTAATTCTTCTTGTTTGACTTTCCCAATACAGTCGTCCAGATGGTATAGTGGCTAGGGAAGAGGACTGGGATACCAAAGAGCCCAGGTTCGAATCTCAGAGAAGGCTTGATTGTAACTGTCTGTCCCTTCATAAGAGGCAAAGCTAGCTCACCTATTAAGCACCTCCATAATAAAGTGACCACTACTTCTGGCCTTAGTAGAGACCAAGGCGAAGTCAGCTGAGGGCCCACCATTGGGGGAGGGGAGGATTTTCTCATCTGAATCGCTGCCACCATTTATTATAGCTCCTAAAAAGACTATTCCTTGACGAGTTCATTCACATCTCTCTCATCCACCTCCAGACACATGGATTTTCACAGAGAAACTAGTCTGAGTGGGAGAAACTATTAAACGCTGCACACGACACCAACATGCGCGCACATGTTGCGATCGTGTGCAACGGTGTAGTGTGCGATTCCTCGTATTTCAAATCTTGTTCTCATCTCAAAACAAAATATTGCTTGTTCGGCGGCTCGTATCTCAAAACACTCGTATATTAGAGCACTCGTATATCGAGGTACCACTGCATTTTAGAAAATTGTGTATTTGGAATGTTAAGCAGAGAAACTAAGTTGTTTATCAAAAAATATGTTTCTAAAACAGAGGGAAAATTGTTGTAAAAAAACTCAAATTCTATTGTTGTAAAAAACCGTAGAGTAATCGTAAAACATACTAGTTTGTACATATGCAAGAAGTCAAATGCTTATGATTCCATCAGGGCAATTGTAAACTGAAGCATTTCTGTTGTTTTAGATTTGTAAGTAATTAGTAAAATTCCAGTGTTTGATGGCAGCTGTGTGACTGAGATAATTAGCATGTTTTATTTGTGACAATTGAATAGACTGCCTGCAAGGATTTTATGTTTTCTATCACATATAATGGGAATGCAAGCCAATTTTTCTTAACTCATCTTCTTTGAAGACATCTTTCTTAAGTACTTTGCCATAAAAAAACTAACTAATAATCATCAGCTGATGAGAAAATATTAAAAAATGCTGAAAATGTTAGAAAACTTTTTTTTTTCATTTGTATAGTTATTAAATTAAACAATTTTGCATTTTGTTTTTAAATATTTTCAAGTCAGTGAAAATACACAATCTGACAGCTGTGCGCTGCAAAATTGATAATGCATTTATTTTATTGAATACTAGTTTTTCCTTATATTTCATTTAATCTTTCTTGCCAGTTAATCATACCTTTTATAGTATTTCTTAGAAACCCAATTTCTGCTTTTCTGTATTCTGTGTTTTTAATTTTTTATGACCTTATTTTTAGAGATTGTGAGATTGCGAGAAAGGCCAAGTTCAGAAATCTTTATCCTGTATTCAATATGAGGCAGACAAGGCATCTCTGTTGCTATTTTCACAGTTGTTCCTATGCATAACATTAATTGAATTATTTTTAAGATAGCAAGTACAGTGTCCTTTCAGTTTTGAACACTGCAGCAAAACAATATCTGAATTTAAGATAATTAAGATAAAATAGCACGCCAAACAAATATTAATTTAGAAGTCAAACAACAAAATATGTGTACTTCTTTTGGAATAAAATAAGATATATAATATATATATGTATATAGTTTTATATTTAATAATTTTGTAAGTGCCTAGTATGCTTATGATATGTAAGTAAATTAATTGGTACTTTAATAATTAATTAAAATTGTGACATATATATATATATATATATACACATGATAATACTTTTTAGTCAAAATTATTTTCTGGTATTGAAAATACAATCAATAAATAAAACAATTGATCACATTTATTTTAACAAATAATATATTGCTTTCTGTGGGCTAGTGGATATGGAGTAATTGATGATAACACTTGATGAAGAATGAAAACACATTACACAGGACAGTTCCAAAGACAGGTTTACAGGCATAAAAAAACTATGATAAACATGCAGAAACAATCAGCAACACTGCCTTCAGACTATAATGGTGAAGCCAGCTTCATGGAAAAGCACTAAAGTACAGCTCCCGATTCGGTCAGTCCCTTTTAAGCTAATCTCTGAACTCAAGACACTACTTTTGTCTCTGCTTACAAGGCAGGATATATATAGCTTTAACCTACCTCCGAGAGTATTCCCCAGAAAACCACTAAGAATGTATTTTATAATGTCCTCGCTTCATCTATGACATATCACCATTTTTTCACTAAACATCACCTAACAGGTGATTTTGTGCCAAATCTGGCAACCCTAACCCCGCCTTGTGGAAGAGCTATCTCACCGCAGCTGGGCATTTGGCAACACTGCCCCTTCCCAAGGACTCAATGTCCTGGGCAGTACAATCCTTTGTCAGAAGCCAAATTCAGTGTAATAGTATCATTGTGTAATATTATGCTGCATTGGGGTGACCAGTTTTACATGCATTGGAGCTACACATCATAGCATCCTGGTTGCCATATGATGAATACTGTATATTAACATGGATATACAAATCGCACAATTTGTACAACTCCTTCTAGGGGCTGCATTACTTTTAATAGTATGTTTGTGTGTGTGTATGTATCTATATATATAAGATGACTTGAAGAAAACTGCAAGGATTGGTGGTGGTTCTCTGTATTATAATTTGGAGAGATTTCGGTACATAGTTAGAAAGATGGCACTTGAAAAAGAGACTTGTAGATGGGCATGGCTGAAGCGAACATAATTTTTTTGCTGGACATGAACTAGTTATCAAAGCATATTCTTCTTCACACATGATCATGGGTGCAATACGCACCTCACAGTTTTATATAAAGTATCACATTTTAGAGAACGGCGTAGTTAACAGGATGACAAAACAAAGGGAGGGAAGTAGCATCTTGAGTACAGGAGAGCTGAAAATTCTTATTTATTTATAAATGTAATAAATTTAAATAATGTATTAAGCAAAAGCAGTTAGTGAAATATTTAATTAAAATTACAGCTGTAGAAAAGAGTTGCAAAATTGCTTCATTTGTTAGTTCCTATGATAAGTTTGATGATATCATTTCTGGATACTTCATCTCTCCCCAACGACTCCAAAAATTGGATACTTTTCGGTTAACAGGGCACCATTTAGTGCCTGATATTAATGTTGGCCTCAAATCTTAACTAGATGGCAGCAACCCTAACAATACATAAAACTTCAGGGAAAAAAATGAACTGGTAAAAGCATATTTTAGGGTACCCCTTGGCAAAACGTGGCAATTTTTTTGCGGTACATGGATACCGAGTTTGTGTAATTCTTTGACTTTTAATTTTGGCTTGCATAACGGCGATTTTTGCACACAAAGCCAAGATAACAAGAATTGCACAAACTCGGTATCTATGTACAGTTCTCTAATGAGAACACTGGAGTGCATCAATCCTCTCCCAAGATCCTTTATAAGTTCATCTACTTTTATGGAAGAGGGAGATTTATTCTCATAAACAGTTCTTAACAACCTTGTCAATATTGTAATAATTGGTAACACTTTTCTATATATTACCCTATTAATTTACTTTTACTAGATCTGCTGTATCATAAGTCCCCTTCCCAAATTATCATATTATAAGACTTTATTATCAATTATTATTATTAATTTATCATATTATAAGAATTGTATGCATTATTTAACCTATTTTTATTTTGCATTGCTGTATTAATATTTCACGATATAAAACATCTTTTTATCAAAAGTAATTCAAATTTATGTATTTATTATAAATATTGGAGATGCTACGAAGTTTACTTTTGTTACATAAATTTTGAACACCACTGTGTTTGGAGGTATTAAATCTGTTTGAAATGTTGAATGCTGATTTTCTTTTTTCCTTTCAGAAACAGCGAGATGCTTGTAAAGTAAGTCCTTTTAACTGTGTTTAATGCATTACTATTCTTTTCTTATTAACTCTTTTTTTGTATTAAGTCCAGTAAAATGATTCACAATTTTCAAACTTGCCTCTTTTTTTTTTTTTTTCGTTACAGTCCTTTGAGAAAGTTCTTGTCCAGAATATACAGTTTGGTCTTTCACCGAGCCTTACTGCGGCAATTAAAAGCATTAGCAGGTAATTATTTTTATATTCAGCGTTATAATAAAAAGATAGTTATTTTGTTTGAATAAGAAGTACAACAGGTACGTACATCTTAGTGCAACTATTTTGGTGCAGTTTGGCGATTTTTTTACAGAAGAAAAAAGTTAATTGGTTAATTTTTGGATTGCAACATATAATGGATATAGTTACCAAAGGAGCTTGTATCTGCATGGTTGCCAGAGTTTGGCGACTTCTCCTAAGGTGGTTGGGATAATACATAAGTACTGTAAATCATACTATTGTATTAGAAGATGTTTGTTTTGAATTACTAACTACTATAAAAAGCTCCTTTTTTTAAAAAAATTAGTTTGCATGGCATCATGTTAAGCAGAATAAAAAGTACAGTAAAAAGTCGTTAATTCGGACACCCATAATCCGGAATGATCTATAATCCGGACCTCAAAGCTACAAACTTTCTGCGCATGCGTCGCGTTCACGCATGCGCACAGGCGTTTGAGAGTGCGCGTAAGACCTTTATGGCTGCGAATATGTTTGTGCGCATGCGCGTTTAATGTAACGGAGGTATAAGCTCAGCTAAAATTATCTAATTCAGTTAATGTTGCAGATTGCGTTGTTCCTTAATCTTCGAATTGGATCCGGCTTATTATTTTTTGCAGACTGTTAGAGCAATTTCATAAAAGTAAGCTTGAACTTTCGATTATGTCAAATAGAATTTTTGATATATATTTACTAATATGTAATTTGTATCTATAAAGCGAAAGTATGTTTTGAAATCTGAAATCTGTTTATCAATTTCACGCCGCGGATTGGAAGTTGATCTGTCAGCACTATCCTTATCTTCAGGGCAGATGTTTTTATTTTATTTGGCTTATAATTCCTTACTAAGTGTAGTATTTCATCTCGATGTACTCCGTCTTTGATATGATTTAAATCAAGTTCCTCGTCATTATAATTCGCTTCCGATAGTGAAGAAAGTGACCCAGAGGTTATTGAAAACAAAAACATTTTGATTGACAAATTAGTCGGTATTCTCAACACGGATTGGAAGTTGATCTGTCAGCACTATCCTTATCTTCAGGGCATATGTTTTTATTTTATTTGGCTTATAATTCCTTACTAAGTGTAGTATTTCATCTCGATGTACTCCGTCTTTAATATGATTTAAATCAAGTTCCTCGTCATTATAATTCGCTTCCGATAGTGAAGAAAGTGACCCAGAGGTTATTGAAAACGAAAACATTTCGATTGACAAATTAGTCGGTATTCTCAACACAGCAATTATAGGACTTGAACAGCGGAACTTTGTAACTGAACAAGAAATTATGTCTGTTTAATAGAATTAAAGAGAAAGTATTATCACATGAAACGAAGCAACTTACATTGAAAGAAATGTTTAATAAAGTAAACAAATAAATATTAAGCTTTTTCTTTTTGTAATTTGGAATACCCTTTAGAGCATAATTGTTCTTTATTTCATAAATTACAGTTTCATATTTTTAATTTTGTAATTTCTGCATGCTATCTTACCAGATTTAAACTGATGATCTATAATCCGGAATCGCTGAAGTCCCTACGAGTCCGGATTAACGACTTTTGACTGTAATTTGGTTTAACCTGTTCTCATAAGCCAAATAAATAATAACAAATCTATACCATTTTTAGAATATAACATGCTGTTTTGTGTAGTCATGTGTAATTGTTAATGTATTATATAGTATTATGATGTTATATTATGCCATCTATTATAGTATATGTTATATATGTTATATTATGTCATATATTATAGTGTTGAATCATATATAGTTGTTCGCATTTATGCACTATTTGAGAATAACCTAATGATATCTGCTTCTGCTCAGTTTTAGCTAGAAACAAATATAAAGTTATTTTAAAATCTGCATAAGATAACTAATTATGTCTGTAATTTGAATATAAATCACTTTCTGTTTTCAATTTTGAAAAAAGCATATCTCATAAAATATCAAATAATGTGGCTATGTAGGTATTATTGTCATTTGTTTATTTTATGTGTAATATGAAAACAAGCTTGTTTCCTTTCGGAAGCGCTCCACAAAGACATCTCTCCTCTCAGGCAAATAGACCTTACATGCTTTTCTGTATTTGATTAAAAAAATAACTAGCTGAAATTCTTGGTTAGCATATAGCAGCACAGTTAACCATATTTTAATTATCTCTAAATCCCATTCCACATTAGCCCAGCCTGTGGTTGAGTGTTTAAAGACTGCTGAGTCTCGGATTCAAACCCAGGTAAACAAGTTGTCTGCATGATTAGTTTTAATGGTTTTTCTCTATGTTTAATATGAGTACAAGCCAGTTTTCTTCAGAAATGTTCTTCAGGAAGACATCCATTCGTTTAGGCAGATAGTCCTTATTTGTTTTACCATATACAAATTGTCTCAGACTGGTGGCCCTCAAAGGAACATTACATGGTTTAAAATACACTTCAATTGTATATTAATAGTTCAATTAGTGCTTATATTAGTTTTAAAGATATGCAGATATAAACTGAGCTTATGTGTACAGCTGTTGCTGAAGGAAAAAGAGAATGAATAAGTCAGAACTTTGTCACTATATGCTTGTCTGCTGCTACTTGACAGAGTTAAGGTGTAGATATACGATCAGGAAATTTAGTTTGCCAACTGACAGTTGAAGGCACTTTAGTTCTGGTGTTTTCTTTTCTTTTTTGCTGTTGAGTTTGTTACTTCTGGTAATCACTTGAGTCAGTCACTAATTGATTAGCTGGATACACAGCTAATATTATAATATTGTTGCGAAATGCCCAGCTGCAGTAAGATAGGTTCACCACAAAGCAGGTTTAGGGTTGCCAGATTTGGCATGAAGTCATGCATTTGGTGAGAGAATTGGTGATATGCCATATACAGAGCAGGAATATTCTAAAACGAATACTTACTGCTTTCCTAAGAAGGTTCTCGAAGGCAGGTCAAAGCTATTGCATGTATATGGGTTCATTATGAATTGAATGCACAAGTCCGATAAAAAATGAACAAAAATTTATTATTATCACAAATAAAATAAAATGCTTAAATTTTCCTCAGATATTCGTACAGTGTTACAATATCTCACAGTAGTTATCTTTTAACTACTCAAACGTTCAACAGAACTTAATTCAAAACAATTAGAAAAAGATAATTCGTGAATACGCTACAGTCAACAAGAGCAGTTTTCTAAACAAACTCTTAAAACAAAAACTAACTAAATTGAGAGGTTTTCCTCTCAATTTAGTTTATTAGCTCTGTAAGTCACATGTGATTGTTCTAGCAATTTCTCGAAATCAAAAAGAGATATTTATTTATTAAATTTTAAATGCTTGCGCTCTTGTATTTTAAAAAATTTTCCAGCTTAGCTTTCTTTTAATATTCGTCACGTGCTGCACTGCACAGGGAATAAAGCAATTTTATTTATAATTCTACTAACATTAACTAATTAAATACCCTGTTGATACAAGTAGTAGGAGAGCATGTTTAATCCAGTTGTAGTGTTTTGAGTTCAGAGATTACCTCGAGAGAGACTGAACCAAGTCAGGAACTTTACTTCAGTGCTTTGCCATGAAGCTGTCTTTACCATGATAGTCTGAACATTGTGTTGCTGATTGTTGTAGTTTTTTTTATGATTGTAACACATCTTTGGAACTGCCCTGTGTAATACTGATGAATAAATTGTGTTTTGATTTTTCATCAAGTGTTGTCATAAATTCCTCCAAATCCATGAACCCACAAATATAGATATGACCAATTAATCTGTGGCTTATAAAACATGTACATTTGTGCATAGTAATAAAATATCAGTTCCAAAAGAATGTAATTTAAATTACTATTATGAAATGAATGGTAAAGAAAATTTCAAAATGTTAGAAGGCTAATTGAGAGAAAGAAAGTTACAATTTCTGAAATCGGTACTATTCGGTTTCGAGGGCCGTAAAAAATCGCCAAACTGTTGTTGATGCTCATGCTGCCAAAAATAATTGCGGCAACCCTAATGCAAGAAAGGAAGTATAATAGTAAATAATTATCTAAGATTGATGTTTTAATTTAGATGAAATGTTAATTTCATGTAATACTTTTTATTATTATAATTTATATAAAAATTGCTAAACATAACTGAATGGATGCCTTCCTCGCTATTTCGCTACCGACTTATCGCTAAAGCATAATTTCATCTCGTTGGTTGTTCAGACGTAATTTTCTATAATGAATGATGCCTTTTCTTTGAAAATATTCTCGGTAAAGTGCAGAATCCCTCACTTATTTGTTTGCCGCTTTTTACAAGGGTAAAAACAATTGCATTTTTGTCAATTTTCTTTTACTTTTTAAATGAAAATAGATCGATGTGTACATAGATAAAGTAAAGGGTGTGTGCAATGCCATTTTTCTGCAATTCTAGGATTTTTTTTTTTAAGTGAAAATAGATCGACGTGCACATGGATACCGAGTATGTGCAATTCTTAAAAACGTGTCAAGCAGTGGGTGATTCTGCACTTTACCCAAAATTCTATTGCCAACGTTTCGTCATGCACAATTCCGAAATTGTTAAATCCATAGGATATCAAAAAAGGATTTAAAATCGAAAAAGGATTTAAAAATTAAACTATTATTTCAATGGCGTCTTAAGAAATATAGAGCTATATATACTTACACAATCTGAAATAAGCGCGTTCGCTAGATTTGGCGCGCTGTTAAATGGGCGCGTTTGCTAGATTTGGCGCTTTTGCGCATACATTTTTGCTGCAATTTTTTACGGCCCGCAAAACAGAATAGTACCCTGAAACCTTTCTTGCAACAATAGTAAAATTAATTTTTTTACTGAAACAAATCCACTCTAGAGATACAGAAGCATTATAAAGGTGAAGAATTGAGATAAGCAACAATGAAATTGAATTAATAGTTATGCTTTTCTTATGGTTGTGAAACTTTCATGTGTGATAAAAATTTTTGTTTATATCTAGATGGCACTTAATACAAGCAGCATTCCCTCATGTGATGCACTGTTGTGCTGCACTTTTGTATCGCCGTAAAGACAGATGTTTGGATAAACTAGGTACAGCTGAAACTAAATTGTTATACACATTACAATGGATAATTTTAGATGCTGCTGAAGAATGTGCTGATGCCGAAGCAGAGCAAGGCATATTTCATTCACCTAGTCATTATTTATTTCCCATTTCTGCAATACAGGTGAGGTATTTTTATTTAGAATATTTCTGAATTTTATTTGTGTTTATCTCTTTACAGCATTAATAGACACTGAAAATTTCTAAATATTTTGTCTATATTTAACAAATTTTCAAATTATAAGATCTTAAATTTAGAAAGCTAAATCCAGTATCCTGAGTCCCAGTTTCTTAATTCTGCATACTATATCCAAATATTTCTTCTTTGTTTGGCATAACTTGATTGATAGGAAAAAAATTTTCATTAGATTTTTCAGGGATCTATTTAACTATTTCAGTGTAGCTAAATGTTTTTAATGTTATTTAATAGTTGTTATAAACTCTTATACACCATGTTTGATACTTATGAGGCACATTATAAAAGCATGCGTCTTACTTTGTATTAAATTCAGTGTCAGTTACAGTTGTCTTGCTACAGTTTAAAAGATAGGTAAGTCAAAGGTGTGGCTTTTGTATAATTTAAAATTTATATATAAATGTGAGGTATCAGAATTATTGTAATATAAAGTAACCAAACATGAAATAAAGGAATAGTTGCAATTTTAAGCTGAACAAAATAAAAATACTATGAAAAAAATAAACATTATAATTGATAAAATTAAATGTAATTTAAAATTTACGGAAAATTTTAAATTAGCAGTGGAATCAATTGCAGTTTACATTAGTTTATAATTTCAAGTTGGCAGGTATCTTGTGAGGAATCTAAATAAAAAAAAGTTGAAAGATTTTCAGTCTCCGTTAAGGCTTATGGAATTTTTCATAATATTAGGCTTAAAAGTAAATATTTCCAAGCTCATGTTTAGTTTTTAAAGTTCCAGTAAAATCTAATTTATTTTTAAGAAAGTAACTATTCCTTTTTAGAGTTCTTATGATCTGTTTAAAGCTCATCTTTCAGAAACATGGACAAACTTCTGCACAGAAGCACATTCATGGGTTTAAGCTAAAATAATTTCAACACATGAAATTGAAATTGTGTAAACAGTGTGGATTTTCAGTGGTCATGACTCACAAAATCTTTATAAAATTTCACGGAAATTTGAGATTTTGCTTAAACAAGCATTTATAAATAGACTGGCTTATTTAAAAATCTTTGAATTTATCAAGAAATACAGTCAAAAGTCTTTAATCGGGACTTCGGCGATTCCAGATTATCGATTTTTCCGGATTATAGATCATCAGTTTAAATCTGGTAAGATGGCATGCAGAAATTATAAAATTAAAAATATGAAACCGTAATTTATAAAATAATGAGCAATTGTGATCTAAAGGGTATCGAAATTTACAAAAAAGAAACTTAATATTTATTTGTTTACTTTATTAAACATTTCTTTCAACGCGCGCGTGCTTAAAGCATACCTTATGCATAGCCGAAATTAGAAAATTGCAACCAGAAATGTTGATTTCTGGTTGAGAAATTTGATTTGTATTCGTGATATTTATAATGACGAGGAATTTGATTTAAATCATATCAAAGACGGAGTACATCGAGATTAAATACTACATTTAGTAAGGAATTATAAGCCAAATAAAATAAAAACATCTGCCCTAAAGATAACGATAGTGATGACAGATCAACTTCCAGTTCATTGCGCGACATCCCCACCCCGCGCAGAGCAGAGTGAAATTGATAAACAGATTTCGGAACCATTAGATAAACAAAGGATATGCCTTTATCCATTTTTTTATAGCAATTCGTTTTTTGTTTGATGGACATCGAAGCATACTTTCGTTTTCTAGATCCTTTGGGAGCTCCAGCATCGGAAATTCTATTTGACATAATCGAAAGTTCAAGCTTACTTTTATAAAATTGCTCTTACAGTCGGCAAAAAATAATAAGCCGGATCCAATTCGAAGATTAAGGAACAACGCAATCATCAACATTAACTGAAATAGATAATTAGATAATTTTAGCTTATACCATCCGTTTTACATTAAACGCACATGCGAAAACGTATTCTGCGCTTGCGCAGACACATATGCGCAGTCGTAAATGTCTTGCGCGCACGTGTAAAACACTTATGCGCATGCGTCAACGCTGCGCATGAGCAGAAAGATTTTAGCTTTGAGGTCCGGATTATATATCATTCCGGATTATGGGTGTCCGAATTAACGACTTTTGACTGTACTGCTTTTTTCAAACTATATTTATAAGCTTGTAGTGAACTTGGATAATTTTCTATTTCAATAAAATGGGTTTTTTATAAATCTTCGTGTAGGAGAATGGTGTTTATTTTTTTAAACAAATGTATAAGTAAATTTTGTGAGCAACATCCTTGTAAAGCATTGACATCAAAATTAGTCTAAGATAAGCTGTGCTTTTATATACAACCATATAAAAAATAAATACAAATATTTCTTTAGAAATACAGTATATTATTTGTGAAATTTTGTATGTATAGAGGAATGCTGCTATAACAGTCTGCTTTTACCGTGAGACTCAGTTTTTCAACATATCCCCTGCTCTCCTCAGTGAAGCTCCTGGTTTCTAACTTTTTAACTTTTACTAAGGAAAACTACTAAATAAAATGTTTCTCAGCACTGAATGGAATTTATTAAATTAAAGAATTTAAATTGTATGAATTCCATTTCCCCAGGTCTTGTGATTTTCAGGATAATTTTTTCTATTAAATTTTATTTCATCTGAATTTTTGTTGTTGTTGTTGTTATTATTTCATTTATACTAACTATTTCTTATTAAATTTAATTTGACTTGAGTTGTCTTAATTCACTGTACACATTTGTAAAACTTGTCTGTAAATTATATATCTTTGTAAAACTGTAAACATTTGTAAACAGTCTTGATATAATGATATGGAGATTGTTTAATCAGTTACTATGTAGATTTTACTTGATCATCTAGTAATGTTAATAAATCCCAAATCCCTAACAGACGTAAAGTGAATTATGGCTAGGTCTGGAGTAACTACAAAGTCGTGAGAAAGATTAAGTAACATTTTTATTTAAACAGAATTTAAAATGCAGCCACTCTTTCTCGTGCAATAATATCAGTCACAGCTCATCGTAATGCAATTAAAATGAATGGTCAAATTTAAATTAAATGTGAAGCAGTAGTCAAAAAGGTTACACAATTAAATATTACTGTAAGCTGGCTTAGTAAATCTACCATAGTGTCAAAACCAAAGTGTTGGCAGTGATAGAATGCAAAGTCAAATAATTACAAATATCAGAGCTGCACATAGTGTGCACATGAAGCCAGAAACATGCTCTCTCTCAAAATCGCAAAACCTCAATTTAAGTACTGACTACCGCATTTGCATACTGAGGAGGAAAATAGAAAGGAGACGTTATAGTAAAGACCAAAATAATAAAACTGGTTAATTTAAAATAATATCTTTACAACTGTATTATATGTATTTAATTTTGTTTAACTTTAATATATGGTACAATATTAAGTTTATCTACACAAATATTGTACATTAATTATTTATTTTATTTTCATCATTTTAAAAGTATTTATTGGAAAGGGATTTTCTGAGTATAAAAGTGTAAGAATATTAAAAAGTAAAACTAGCCACCAAACATGAAATTTAGAAAAATTGAATATTAATATGTTTTACTATCAGAATCATACTGTGATATGTTTCTATTATTCTAAACTAAATCAGTGGACTGTACTAATACTTCCGTTAAAACAACTTTATTAATGCTAATTACTAATAAAATATTATATGTTGTCTTAACGGAATCCAGTGACTAAGTGAGTGTTTCCCATTTACTGTAGGTGGCATTGTATGCAAACTTAATATGCCACTTCTCATTAAATTCCAAATTTCAGCATATTAATTATAAACATAACATTTAATAATTTGAAGAATAACTAATTTTACAGTAATATAGTGCAATAATTTACAGTAATAGGTAGTTTTTGATCATGAAGTGCAATATAAAATAATATAGTTCATCATGATGCAATATAAGATAATATAAAAAAGGAAATTATCATCATGAAATGTAATATAAAATAATATAAAAAAGAAAACCTTGAAATATAGTATAAAATAATATTAAAAAAAATCAATAACCATTATAAAGAACATAAACTCATTCAGTATGTGCAATCTTGCTTGCTCTTTTAAAACAGCTCCATTTTTAATAAAAGCACAGTTTTCAATAAGAACACAATAATGTAACTCGGGTATTGTTATCTTTTATAGGTAAAATTTCTACAGTTCTAGCTAAAGATCATTTAAATGGGGAAAGTTATCTTCCTTTAACACAACTAACATATCTTCCTTTAAATTTTCTCAATTAATAAAGCATTTGATGTGCTATTGAAGATGATTTGCATAATCAGTTTGTCAATGTTTCCAAATAACGTGAATGAACTTGGTAATAATCTGCCCTTTAGTAAGTCTATTATCTGCAAGAGGAGACAAATCAGGTTCAGGATATGAAGTAATAGAACATTCAAATAAAAAATGACCCAGTGTTAAACTTCAAGATCATTCGCATCTGTTGATAAAGGTAAAATTGGATGAGCATTGAGAAACTTTTCATCTGCATGACAGCACTCCAACATTCTTTTAAAGTTAATTTATAACTACTGATTATGGTATTTAAATGACCTATTGCATATTGTGAATAAGCAACCAAAATTTGATGCCTTTGCTGGAATCATTTTCCATTCTATACCATCATATGTTCAGAAATTTGTAAGGACTAAAGTATGCAATTTTTCAGTTCTGATTTTGCACCAACCATATTAATATTGCTATCTGAGGTTATTGTATTACATTTTCCATGTTTTGCAATAAATCTTTTAAAAGTAGAAAATAGTGCATCTGTAGTTAAATCAATTGCTACCTCTAAACATAATGCTTTAGTAGCTAAACATATAAATATAGCAATGTACACTTTTGTGTAATTACTCTTTCACCAGGTGAATTTGGAATGAGTTATCCAAATACAATTGTTTTAGCTTTTAAAATGTTTACATTCAGGTACAACCTTTCAAGCTATATCTTGACCAACAATAACCCAAAATTTACTGCAAACTTGATGCAATAAAGCTTGTGCATCAAGATGCAAATAATTAACCTGATAATGCATCAAAACAAATCTATGATAAAATGATCTTTTAACATTACATAAAAATTTCTTTTATTGTCATTAGTATTATTCTGTGTAAGGTCTGCCTCTCAAAACAGAATCCATGTCTAGAAATGGGCATACAAATTTTTACTTTTAGAAGAAACACAGCTCGTATTTTTCAAGGAGAGAATATCCTTGCAAAATTGTTGTGATTGTACATATATGACGATTTTTTTAGCATCATTCAATTCTTTAACAGCTAGAGGACTTATTAAATTTTTCGCTTTACAGTTGGCTATAAATGTGAAAAAATAAATAAATAAGTAATAATAAAAACTTCACGTATAATACAAGCATAGTTATTACTAATATTAAACTAGGATCTAAAACAAAGAAATTAGAGTTCACATTTAGATTAACTAAGTCATTATCCTTAAGTTTGAGTTCCTTGGCATATTCCCCGTCAACCATATCAGATCAAATTATTTCACAAGGCTTCAGTTCTTTAGAAAGAATGTTAGTTTATATAATCATAAATCATTATGAAGAAGATTCTTAGATCCATATAATATCAAATCAGCTGGATTTTTATGAGTGTTGGCATGGTATCATTGATGAATAGCAGTCATACTGTGAATGACAGACACCCTTTAAGCAGCAAATGGTTTTAGCTGGTAAGGTTCCTTCTTAACTCATGCTGATGCTATTGCCAAAATAACACATCTTGTCTATGGGTAATTGAATGGCCTGGAATATTCTTTTCATTAGTTTTACCAACAGAACTGCATCACAAAGTTCCAAACAAGAAATGGTGACTTCACAGGTGAAACACGGAACTTGCTACAGAGAAGTTTTTATGAACATTCAATCGAAGATGACATGCATTTTGCATAAATTGAAAAACTGTAGGCTGTAAAAACTTTCTGCCTAGCAGTGCAGAATCCTATTATATCTGTTTGCTGCACTCCATTGGTCAGAAAAATTCTAGGGATGCAATAATCATTGACTATGCTAAGATTATGCAAAAATGCCTTTCATTCTTCAGAGTCATTTTTAGGGAGATGTGTGTTCCAACTTATTTTAAAGAGCCAAAGATTTTGTAGAAATATTTCAGCTTTTGCCATAACAGGTCCAATTAAACCCAGTGGATCAAAGAGGTGACCTATTACTGATGAGATATCTCTTTTGTTATTGTCTCATCAATGTCGAGTATCTTTAAATCATGACAAACTGTCTGTGCCAAACTCTATGACATTCCCAAGGCCTTTGTAATCTGAGGCTCATCAGTATCTTGAAAAGAATAATCCTGAGTAGCAATTTTTCAGTTCTTCAGTAGTTCAGCATTATTTGAAGACCATTTGTGTAACTTCATCTCACCACGTTCTGGAAGGCAGATTAACTGTGTCTGCAATGCCTGACTTCTTGCAGCATATTAACTCCAATGATAATATCATCCACATAACAGTCCTTCAGTATGCCTCTTGAGGCACAAGGAGATTCAGTTGCTACATAAATTGCTAACTGCTTTATCACTCTTGTTATGAGGAACAGTGTGCTTGCTGTTCCATATGTCACAGTCTTCAGATGTTAAGTTTGCTTAGGGCTACTTAGTCAATTCTTTCTGTAAGATCAGCTTCAGGTTTCTTTGAGATGGCTCACTAAGTATATGTCTATATGTCTTCTGAGCATCAGCTCCTAGTGCATAGTTCTATTTTTGGAATTAAATAATAATAGAAAATAAATTTTCTTGTGGTATTCTTCTCTTCATTAGTATTTGATCAAGTGATTTTTCATTAGTAGTAGCCACTGATGCATGGAACACATGAAATTTAGTAGAAGTTTTTTCCAGATGATAAACTCCATGATGATTAAGATAAATGCAGGTCGATGTTTCAGTTTTTTGAAATTCTTCCATATGATTTTAATCCTTATATTCCTTGATGAAATTCTTATACAAAGTTTTCATATTTAAATTGCTTTCTAGTCGATTCCACACCTGATGTAATCATTTCTCGAGAAATGTTTTCGATTCTCCTAATTCCACATCTTCCTTATTGGGTATTTGTACTGCATATCTTTCATCATTTATCGATAGTGAGTATGCTTAAAATGTTCTTCACAGTAACTTTCTTCTTCACTCTAAACATCCTTAATATTTTCGATGCATTAACTTTCAACTTTGCAAAATTTCCATTCAATGCTTCAACATGCAAAAATTCCATTCAGTGCATTAACATTCAGCTTCCCAAAATCTTTGCAAAATTTTGTTAAGTTCTTCACTATTTAGAACTAAGCCACAATAATTTGCTTCTGAATCACTCTTGCACGAAGCAGACATGACATATTCAAAAGTCGTTTCCTGGGATATTACTTTTTGATTTTTCTAATTGAAATTTTCCTATTTTTAAAATCTCAAAAAACAGTTCGACCCCTAGTAACTTTGTTAAGAAATGCAGATCGGAAATCAGCTAAATGAATGTCAGTAGGAATGTTTAATGATTGCTCCTTGATGGGGCTACATCGGTAATTTTAGAAATAACTAAATCAAAATCTGTATGTCTAGTTGATAATTAATGTTTTTAACATTCTCATTTATTCTGGATACAGATGTCTAAATTCTTTCCTTCCTTATATTTAACAAATTAGCAACTTTTTTAGTAATAAAACATGACATATTCCCATTGTATAGAATGGTACAAGCTGGAATTCTTTTTCTTCTGAATTATAAATGTGTGCTATTGCAGTCATAAATAAAAAATTTTTTCCTCAAATTTGTTATATCAAAAGACAATTTGATTGAGGAGTAAGCTGCAACAGATTGGTGATTGTTATCTGCATTATATCCTGAGGAGACTTTACTGTGTAGCTAGAAAGACAGCACTCAAAGAAAGACTTGTAGACAGATGTGGCCGAATGTTTGCATTATAACAACTGGAGAAGTAGAAGCTAAAGTCTTCCCAGGATATAATGCAGAGAACCATTGCCAGTCTGTCGCAGTTTACTCCAAGTCATCTTATCTTATTATATATATATAATTAAAAAAAATTATATATACCATCTCCAAGGAACAGAAATTCATTTAAAATCATGAATTAATAAAAGAAAAAAAAATTTACTCAGTATTTTAATTAGCATTTTAAATTAGTATTTTCTAGACCTTTATCGCTTTAAAAACAGAAAATTCTGTAAAGAAAAATTCTTAAAAAAAAATTCTCAATAAAAAAAAAAAAAAAAAAAGGTAAACATTTTTTCAGGTATTGAAAAAGTAGCTATTGTCATTAATCGTAGATTAATTGACTTGCCAAGGGGAACAAATCAATCTACTATCAATTAACAATTAAATTAAGTGAGAGGGTTTCGTCTTTCATCCAAGTAAGGATCAAATTACATTTCTACTAAAGCCAAATCTGAAGTCGTGAAAAATGCACAATTTACAGAAAGACATTAGTCCGTTTAAGCCATATATATATATATATATACACACACATACAAAAATGTATTAAAAGTAAACATTGCTGAATGTCATTTGAATTATATTTTGTCATGCATTTTTTAAACATGGCTTTTATATTAAAATTTTGAATTTTGCAGGTTTTTGTTTACTTATTTGCCCCATTAGGAGATTTTCTAAAGCATTCAGATTTCATGACAAACTTTCGTTTAGAAAATGGTTTAAAACTATGGGAATCCTTATGGGAATTCAAACACCCAAATGTTCCATGCTTTACTACTCATGTTATGACAAAGCGCACATTTCTGAGAGGGCGGAGAGAGAAACACAATTTGCCTAAATTTGGAGATGTTTTCATTGGTGGAGGTGAGTTTTCTGCTTTTACTGCTGTTGTTTTATTGTCAGAAATTCAACAATTTCTCCCAAAGTAAGAAGTAAAACAATTTTAACCATCGTAACCAGTTCATCTAGCAACGCTTGCTATGGATTTTTTTTCCTTTCTTTGCATTGGCATTACCTTGTAATTTTTTTATTAATCTTTTTTTATACGTATGTGAAAAAGGTGTTGTGAGACATCTATTTGTAAAATATGTGGTAATTAAGAAATAAATAAATAAGTAGCCACCGAGTAATGTTTTTTCTTGCTTAGTGTTTTGTGAATGGAGAATATATTAGTTTGAGTACTACAATAGTTATATTGTGAACAGTTGAAGCTCTAGCCCAAGTAAATAAAAACGTAACTTTGCCTGACAGTTGGCATCTGCAACAACACTATTGTAGGTACTGGAACTTTTATTCTCTCTTGATTTTGTTAACAAAGCTTTTAAGTAAAATGAAAAAGTGTAACATGGAAAACTTAAAAGCTTGATGTACGCAACCCAGAAACTTGCTTACAATTGCGTACAATGAGTATCATAAATGTGAATCTGACTTCTTGGTAGGTGAGAAAATTAATTTCTTTTAATTAAAATTTCTGAAGTCTAAAGCAGGGTTTCTTAAACTGTGGGTTGCGGGATCTACAGCAGGGGTCGCCAAAAAAATTGTAGCAGTTTTGATATTTCTTTAGCTTATTATAATAATTTTACAATTACCAAATATTTTTACACAATGTATCTGAAAATAGACAAAGATAAGACAATACAGACAAAGCAAAAAACAAAAAAGGGGTTGGCGCATTCTTTTTATAATATAAACATTCATAATCTGGAGTCGAAGAAGTCCAGACGAGTCCGGATTATGGACTTTGTACTGTATTAATGCCCAGGCAATTTGGCTTCTTAGTAAGATGTATATTGAACGTTGATACAGCAGTCAGAAATGATATGGCATGCTCACTGCCAAATGTTTTGAGAGTTTCTGAGGTAGATCCTTCTATTTGAAAGCCGAGATTAAGTTTTGTGTGTTAGCCTGCAAAGGACTTTGTGTTTAATTAATCACTTGCTGATTCGAGTTAAGTTCAGAGATTTGGCAGTTCGAGTTAAGTTCAGAGATTTGGCAGTTTGATGGATATCTTCACTCTTAAGAAATTCTACGTAGTTCTAGTGTGATGAAGCATGGCATTATCATGAATAAATTCTGCTGTCATTTTCAAAAGGCAGTCACTTGTCATTAGTCATTGTGTATCATCTATGTTCACCCATTAGCCTTGATGCCATCCCATGCCATCACCAAAATTATACCCTTCTTATAAACTTTTCTAATACATCTAGCTCTTTCTTTGCCAGGTTAACTGATATCTGGAATCTGAGTACAGAATGTCTCAGCTCTTGATGGATAAAAAAAAACGTTAGCTCATTGCTTCTTTATCTCATTTTGGTGGGTCTGACACTTTTGTAAACACTTTCTATTGTTCTGTGTAGATGGCTCTCCAAAAATAGTTTTCTTCATGCATGTAACCCTAATAATTCAAACATTAAGCCACATTTTGAATAGAAGTGATTTGTGGGCTGGCTAGCAGTGTAATGTTGATTGCATTTAGTTAGTACAGTCAAAAGTCTTTAATCCGGACTCGTCGGGACTTCGGCGATTCCGGATTATCAATTTTTCCGGTTTATAAATCATCAGTTTAAATCTGGTAAGATGGCATCCAGAAATTATACAATTAAAAATATGAAATCATAAAAGAGCAATTGTGATCTAAAGGGTATCAAAATTTACAAACAAACAAACAAACAAAAAAAAAGCTTAATATGTATTTGTTTACTTTATTAAACATTTCTTTCAAAGCACGCTTGGGCATAAAGCATACATTACTGCATAGTCGAAATTAGAAAATTGCAACCTGGAAACTATTTTATGTATATTTGTGATATTTATAATGACGAGGAAATTTATTTAAATCATATCAAAGATGAAGTACATCGAGAAGAAACACTATATGCTACACTTAGGAATTATAAGCCGAATAAAATAAAAACATCTGCCCTGAAGGTGAGGATAGGGCTGACAGATCAACTTCCAGTTCATTGCGCGTCAGCATGCCAACCTTCTGCGAGCTAAGTCAAGATCCTTTAGCAGCTTCAGAATTCAGTGCAAAATTTCATTTGAGCGTAGGAGCAAGAGCACTTTCACGCTTACTTTTAAAAATCTGCTGAGTGAACAGTCTGCAAAAAAATAATAAGCTGTATCCTAATCTGAAGATTAACGAAGTGCCAAAGTGTTATAATTGACTGAAATAGTAATTAGGGTGCGTAATTTTAACTGTGCATATCTTGTAGGTGTATAGATGTAAAACATGCGTAAACACAATATGCATTTACGCATGTACAGAAAGTTTGTAGCTTTGAGGTCCGAATTATAGATCATTCCAGATTATGGACGTCCAGATTAAAGACCACTAAATTTTATTCTTCATGTACAGTCATATAAGACACCAGTTCTTCTGAAGAGCATATGGAACATACTCTTCGCTTTTAAAGGAAAATTAAATAAATAAATATAAAATAAGTGGTAATGTTTTTAATATGATAAATGTTAAGTTTTGTTTGATAGAGAGAGCAATTATAGTTAAAGATTGAAAATTTGTGTATGTTGGATTAACTGAATTTTTTTAATTCTAAGAAATTAATTTTTTTAACCTTACATGTGTATTGTATATTTTATGTTTAAGTACTAATTTATAATTTTAATTTTTTTGCAGCTGTTCAAGAGAAACAATCGCACAAGGAACAATGCACAGCTTCTTTAGACAGTAGTGATACTGGACCCACAGTCACAAGTCCTGCTTCAACTGGATCTGAGCATTCACGAGTAATGATATATAATCATTATGTTTGTGGTTTTTAGGTATTAAAGAATATGAATATATTAGAGAATTTGTTTTTATTCTCTTATATCTTAAAGGGGTGTTATTGTTTTTGCTTTGCAGATCTCTGTTCAGATAAAGATTGGGAATATAAGAGTTATTTTTCTTCAGGGAAGCTTATGCTGTTTGACTCATAATTCCATTTATATTAGAATACTTTTCATTCCATGTTATGTTAGAATACTGCTCATCAGCATAGTAAACAGAATTGTTTAAAAATTATTCAAAACAAAAATTTAAAAGAAAATGTTATTAGAGCTTTTAAAATTGAATTTTTTTAAAGTTTTTTTTGGGGGGGGGAGAGTAGAGATTAAGTTGGCTGAAGTTGGTATAGTACAAAGTCCGTAATCCGGACATCCATTATCTGGAATGATATATAATCCTGACCTCAAAGCCACAAACTTACGTATGCACGTTTAATGCGTGCGTCCGCTACACATGCGCATAAAGCATTTACCCATGCACACTTCCGATAGAAAGTGACAGAGAGGTTATTGAAAACAAAAAATTTCGATTGACAAGCTAGTCGGTATTCTCGACACAGTAATTACAGGACTTGAACATTGGAACTTTGTAACTGAACAAGAAATTATGTCTGTTTATAGAATTAAAGAGAAAGTATTAGCACAAAAAACGAAGCAACTTAAACAACTTACATTGAAAGAAATGTTAATAAAGTAAACAAATAAATATTAAGTTTTTTTGTAAATTTTGATACCCTTTAGATCATAATTGCTTTTTTTCATAAATTATGGTTTCATATTTTTAATTGTATAATTTCTGTATGCCAACTTACCAAATTTAAGTAGATGATCTATAATCGGGAAAAACCCTAATCCGGAAAATCGCCGAAGTCCCGACGAGTCCGCATTATGGACTTTGTACTGTATTAATTTTGGTACTTTCTGAATAGCCTCAACCACAAGTGAAAAGTCATAGGGTTGTTCATAATGATTTTTTTCATTAAGGTAAAGTTCAGCCATTTTCAAAACGGTGGTGCACTAAGAATTCCATGCAAGACCAATTGATCAATAAAATTGAAAAAGCAAATATTATTGGTAATAAAAACCCCTTTTTTCTCAGAAATCTTTTTTCTGTTGTTTTTCCTATGTATGCAGCGATCTGTTTTCATTTAAAATAAGTCAGAAAACTGCAAAAATCGTTCACCATGCAACATCGATGTTGCTCACTGTCCCAAAACAAATACGGGCTAAGCACATGCATGGGTTGTCACACGAATATTTTTTGACGATGTCATAGGTGTCCATATAACTATTTTGGTGATGTATTGCTTTACCTTGTAAATTTACCTTTGCAAGACTTTTCAATGGATTGCAGATAATCAGAAAGCTTATATGAAAAGAGAATTGAAACATGTATAGGATTTTATACATTTATTTTAGATTTTTTAATTTTAAATTAATTATAATAAATTTAGTGATAAATTCTCTTTGAGGTGTTAAAATGTAACTTAAAGTTTTCAGATTGGAATAATCTATTTATTTATTGCACTTATTTTTTATGAATAAATAGAATAATAAAAATTTCCTATTAAAAAGTCATACGTATTAAAGTAAGAAAGAAATGAAGAAAACTGATATTGTCATCATAAATTTCCCTTTATGGATTTAAAATTTTTAATACTAGTACACTAAATCAGTTTCTTTCCCCCCATCCCTATGAAGCAAAAAGACGAAGATGAGAGCAGTAAATCTTCTTTGAAGTCTGAACACAAAAAAGATGCACTATACTGTGAAATTTGTTCAAGTTCTGCTGTAAAAGTTCAGGTTAGTTTAACTAGTATGAATTATTTTTTCACTGTTCACAATGCTAATTTTCCAGTAAAATATAATTAATTAAAATGACATTAATTTAAAAGGTAATTTTTTTAGGAGGATAATAATTTATTGCAATGCAAGTGTGGGAATATTTGTGTAACAGAGGCAGATGGAAAGGCAGAAGTTCCAGTTGGAGTTTTAGAGGCAAGTACTGCAAATGTTAAGCCAGGGAAAATGGATGTTGCAATGGCTTCATACTTAGATGTTGCTGTTCTTCGTTGCCTTTTTATTTCTCAGTGGTTAGAAGAAGGAATATTTTGGGCATTAAAATATTTATATCAAAGGTATTGTTATTATTTCTCTGTAAAAAGTTCTGAAATAGGTATGAAAAGTTTATAGATATTTTAACTGAAATATTTAATTAAAATGCAACTCCTAATCTTTGAGAGTAAAGGTGTACATTATATTAATTCAGTCTAAAATATCTTGTTAAATTTAATTTCATTTTAACAGTTATTTATGTTATTTTAAGAGTTTTTGTTTTAAATAAACATATAATTTAAATATATATTTGCCTATTAGATTATATTTTAGTAACATATAGATTGTAAAAAGCAAGAACTTGATTTTAGCTAGAAATCTAAAATTTTGAAGTAAATAAGTAATCACTTGCTTACCCATGCAAACTTTCTTACATAGATTTTATATTTAATTATGTTAATTTTTCATATTTAATTTAACAATAAATTCTAACTTTTGGATTATTAAATTGTTATCTATCAGGGTTACAGGAGCATAATAATAATAATACATTTACGGTACACCCTGTATAATATTTTACAATGGTATAGAAAGAAAAATTAGAAAAGTCAGTGACATATTGTTGCCTGTCAGTTTTTAATTATATAATGGATGCAGGCCTGAATTAAAGTCATTCAACTAGATGCGGCTATCATAATTAATGACAGTTATACAGTTTATGTATGTAGTAATTACTTGTATGGCTTACTTAGTATTTAAATAGTGTAAATGTTATAAGTAATATGATTATTAAAATTCTTTCTCTCATTCTCCAATTTCATTTATCGAAATACCTGACTGTAAGATCCAATTAAATTTAGAGTGAAATATATAGCAGAAAAGAACTGGAATGGGAGGGAATATATATTAATAAGGCAAAAAATATCTGAGATCTTATTTTTGCATAAACATGGTAGATAACTAATTAAAATACACTTGTGAATTATGTAATCAAATTTTATTAAATATAAAGCAATAATATTTTTGAAATATAATTGTATACAAAGAAAATAACCTCATGTTGAAGAATAAAATGGTATGCGTTAAAATGCAGTTAGAAATGAGATGCTGAAGCCATGTTTAAACCAAAAGTAGAAGCTTTTGCAGACATTTCTGCCTTGTCAGCTGGTAATGAAATGGAAAATCATAAGCTTCATCAACTGGAATAGGAAAGTAACCTCAAAATATGTTTTATGTTATTTTTATTTATTATTCATATCATAATTATTACTTGAATTGCTACTGCTATATCTGTTGCAAAAGTAATTATTGCTGTCTATTCACTTTGAACATGCAGTGTTTAAATTACAATTCTTTATTTAAAGGGGAGAATTTTTATTATTTATAGCAACAATTTTAAGATTTCAGAAAGTCTTCCCCATATCTTGATTATATCTTTCTAACATTTAAATTATCAGTTGATTCATTTAGCCTCTGGAAGGTCACTAATTAAGATTTCACTAGATTTACAATACATATGAGGGCATTCCCCAAAAAAAGGTCTCCTATTTCTTGGGGACGTAGAGAAAGTTTTAATACGGTTGTTGGCAACACTGTTGTGAGTGGTGCCTTTTCCGCTACCACATAAGCACGCAGGTGCTTCGCTTGGATGCTCAGTCTTGGCTTAGGCAGCCATTTGAAATGGAGCTCCCGATAAATGTTACCGCCAAGTGCGAAGTGCGCGCAGTTATTCGATTTTTGAACGCAAAAGGCGTTAAACCAGTTGAAATTCACCGCCTATTGGCGCGAAGTGTATGGACAGTCATGCATTGATGTCAAAAACGTTCGCAAGTGGTGTAGAGAGTTTACAGCCGGTCGCACTGAAATTCATGACGAAGAAAGGAGCGGGAGGCCGTCAATTGCCGACGAGACAATCGCAAAAGTTGAGGAACTCATGCGTAAAGATCGGAGGATCACTCTGGATGCTCTCTGCATTTTGGTTCCTGAGGTTTCCAGAAGCACCATCAACAGGATTTTAACGAAAAAGTTGCAATATCGAAAGGTGTGTGCAAGATGGGTGCCGCGCATGTTGACAGAAGACCACAAATGGCAACAGGTTGATACTTCCCATGAATTTCTTCGCCGCTATGGAGACGAAAAGGACAACTTCTTGGACTCAATTGTCACAGGTGAGGAAACCTGGGCATTCCACTTTACACCTGAGACAAAACAACAGTCACGCGAGTGGTGGCATCCCTCTTCGCCCAAGCCACGAAAATTCAAGCAAACACAATCTGCCGGTAAAGTCATGGCAACGGTGTTTTGGGACAGGAAGGGGGTACTGTTGGTCGACTTTCTGCCTGCTGGGACAACAGTCAACGCTGACAGGTACTGTGAAACACTGAAGAAACTCAGAAGGGCAATTCAGAACCGTAGAAGAGGGATGTTGAGCAAGGGTGTAAGCATTCTCCACGACAACGCCCATCCTCATGTTGCCCGTCAAACCGTCGATCTCCTGCAAAATTTTGGTTGGAACATCATCACACACCCACCCTACAGTCCGTACTTGGCACCCAGCGATTTCCACCTGTTCCCTAAGTTGAAGGAACATTTGTCTGGACGGCGGTTCTGCTCCGATGATGAGGGGAAAGATGAGGTTCAACGCTTCCTGAAGGGCATGGCGGCAGGCTGGTATGCCATGGGCATTGTAAAACTGCCACAGCGTCTACAAAAATGCATCGACCGAAATGGCGATTATGTTGAAAAATAAAGCATTCTTCAATCTTTAAAGTGATATAGCAATTACAGAAAATAAACGGTTCTTTGTATATCTAAAAATATAGGAGATCTTTTTTTTGGGATTGCCCTCGTATATGCATATAATTTTTTACACTTGAAAGTTATTGCTTTAAGTATTTTGAAATTCGTACATCTTGAGATAAACTGCTATCTAGTATGTAGCTATTATGTATTTAATTGTAGTTATATTTTGGAAGCTTGCTATTTTTTTTTTTTTTTTTCCAATTCCAGATTAAAAGATATAAGAGATACATCTTCGGAAATATCCTGTGTTCGTAAACGCAGCTGTTCTTTACCTATTCCCGAAATAGAAATATCATTCTATCAGTCACCAGAGCAAAATAAAAAAGATTATTCTTCCTCTGCTATGGAAAATATATTTATGGTAGACACATCGTATCAGTTACCAAGTCATCACACCAGTATGCATGAACTTCACCAGTCGTCTTTTGATGGACAGTCTGAGAAACAGAAATGTAAACGGATGAAAATGGGGGATTTGAAATTATTTGTTGAGGAAAAATTTCGTCTATCAGAAAGGCTTTTAGACAAAATTGGCAAGGATCATTCACATACTTCATCTCTTCCAGAAGCACATGGAGGATCTGTCATAACTGAATCTTTTGGTCAATCTGAATTTAAATCCTCTTTGTCATCCGAACTGTTAGAAATGCAGAGGCCCAAATCAGCTCTTGCTATGTTGGATCACAAACATTCAGAATCTGAAGATACTGACACATCGGAACTCGTGAAGGCAGAGATGGTGAGAGGACGTAGCATGCCTAGTCTACATCATTATGGTGAACATCATAAATTTGATTCTGTTATTCCACATATTACTCATCAGCCTCTCTCTCTGGGAGTTAAAAAAGTACCAGCATATCATACTTTTAGTGTACCAAATCCTATCATCACAGTGACAGAGCATTCTCCTGTTGCTTCGGTTCAGTTCTTTTTAAATCAGGTAAGGACTAGCTTAATACACGTAAGATTAGTGCAGAAACTTGTTTAAAATACACTGCTTGTCAAAAATTAAATGATAATTTTGGGAAAAAAAAAAAAAAAAAAAAAAAAAAGATGCTTTGTTATGAAAGTTTTTAAATAATGTCCAGTGCTGTAATTATCTGCAACTGAAAGCAAAATTGTACTTCTAAACTTAATTTGCATTTAGTTGCAAGGTTCCTCGCCCTTTGGCTATAATAAAACGTCGAGGAACCTAGTGAACTACGGAGTGACTTCTCGTTGAGTCCAGAACATCTAAGACATATACTTGAGAAGGGTAAAAATACCCTTCTCGACCTCAAATACGAATAACAGTGGGCCCCTTCTCGGGCTTACAGGAAAGCCTCTACTCGGACTTTAACTCAGAATAAGAAATAAGAAACTAAACTGTAATTAACTAAATGAGACTTAGCCAAAGCTAGACATAATTACCTAATGTAGTTGACCCTTATAACCTAGAAATATCCATAAATAATATGACCAAAGCATGTGTGACTTAGCCACAGGAAACACTTACTAGGACTAACTCTCTATTGAAAAAGCTGAACCTTCCTTAAATATTTCTCACTCATTTGACAGTGATCCTAAAAACTCATTCTGCTAGGGTGTTTTAAGGAAAATAGAATTGAAAGGAAGGGTTTCAAATTAAAAAATAATTAAAAATTAAAATAGCTAGACATAATTACCTAATGTAGTTGACCCTTAAATTAACCTAGCCAGTGACATATCCATAGGCACATATAATATGACCAAGCATAACAGCTTCAAGTGTGACTTAGCCACAGGACAAACACATGCCACTAAGGACTCCTAGCACTCTCTATTGAAATAAGCTGAACCTTCCTTAAATATTTCTCACTCATTTGCATTCAACGTGATCCTAAAAACTCATTCTGCTAGGGTGTTGTAAGTGAAAATAAGAATTGAAAGGAAAGGGTTTCAAAATTAAAATAACCATTCATTATAAAATTAAAATATACCTTGCAAAGTTATTGACAATGTTTTGTATCTTGGAGACATGTCGGAATTTGGATATGTACTGTTTAAATTGTTTTGGTTCCTGAGAGTTATCATTATTCATTAGTGATGTTTCAAAAGCATCATTTAAGCCAAGGGCAAAAGTAGCAGTTGCTTGCTAGACTGAAGAGGAAGGGGCAAATTTGAATAGAAGTCACCTAAGATCTGCGAATATTTCTCAGAGTATCATGTCAAGCAATTAAAACCACTTTTTAAGCAGTGAATCAGTTAGCAGATAGCTTGGTCAAAAGTGGCCAACAGCAACAACTGCATCTAAAGATTATTTTCTGTCATTATCATCTTGAAATAGCTACAATAGAGCTGGTTTCCAAGCTTCAAGCTGTCACATGAACTGAAATCAGCTGTTCTACTAATGGAAGAAGGCCCTTTGAGGTTGGTCTTCACGTGAAAAAAGCCATTGGTTTGTGTTCTATTCACTTCATCTGCTGAAGGGGCCCATTTAGATTGGTGTTGTTGTCATGTTCAGTGGAGCAATGGGACTGTGTTTTACTATTTGCTAATGAGTGTTTTATTTGCTAATGAGTTTAGATAGCATTTAAATTGTGATTCTTAACCTATTTTGATCTGGAGGAAGTGGGGAGCACACAGCTTGCTTTTCTTTGTTCATGAAAGACCTATTTCTATGAAAGTACTTTTATGGTTTGGGATGAAATCATCAAATCGGCTGCACTGAGCTGCATATCATTGAAAGAGGTTCTGTAACCAGATATGTGGAAGAAATCTTGAAATTACATGTAAAAGTGTAATTGGCCGAGATTTTTTCTAATGGATGATACTATTTATATGCATTGAGCATATCTAGAGTGAGAATGCTTAGCAGCAGAAGTTATCGCTCATATGGATGGGTCAGCTTACTTATCAGACCTTGACCCAATTGAGCTTGTGTTGGCCTTAGGCCAAAATCTTGTAGTATGCCAAATGTTTCCCCAGACCATCCAGGATATAAGATGTGCACTATTATCAAAGTGGTATGCAGTTCTGCAGTACTTAATCAACATTTTATTAAATTTTTATGAAATTAAAATGTGAGATTTACATTTCTGTCGGAGGTGACTATGCATGATATTAAAAAAAGATCTATTGAGAAGCACAGGAGATTATTTTTTCGTTATTTCTTAATTTCCAAAAATTGAATATTTTGAGATTAATCAAGTAGCACACTGAATAATTTGTGTTAAGTAATGCTTTATGGAATTTTAATCATTTTTCAATAAGTAACAGTTAAATTTTATTTCTTGACAATATTCTTTAATTTTGATGAGCGTGTGAATAAAAATTCACTGTTGAGTTTGAATTAATGTTACAGAAAAGCTATATGCATTTCTGAAAAATCTAACACTGATCCCTAGACATGCAAAAAGCTCATATATAAAATAATGTCAATCTAAAATTGAGTACTACATAATTTAAAATTTTTTATAAAATACCTTTATTCCTTTGATTTACATTTAGTAAAATTTATGCTAGCTATACTCTGTTATATAACTTAGCATAACTTATTAGTAAAAAGCATTAATGCTCTCAATGTATGTTATTTCCAAATACCAATTGAAATATGTATTTTGCGTTGAATCACTATAAAAGTTTGAATCGCTTTCAAATTTTGCCACCAAATATTATCACTCTGTGTTATATTTAAAGAAGTTAAATAATGAAGAATTTGCATGAATTTATGGTTTTTCGCATTGTGTGAAAAAACGACGGTACATAGAGCCATCAAATTTTGAATAACGTAGTCCTCCACCCAAGTATAGATATCTAGAAGCCCGAATTTGTTTTATTATCTATTTCATATTTTTAAAATCTTTAATGAATTTTTTATTAACAAACTCAATGATTTCAAAGGGAGGAATGGCAACATTTTATGGGAAAAAAACATTTTTATCTCTAGCACACGAGACTGTCTATCGGAACTTCTAAATATAGTCCATTTTTAAATATTTTTAGCCCAAAGTAACTTTAACCTGTATGCTTTCAAAATGTGTATGTGTATTTAAATGAGGAAAAAAAAAAAAAAAAAAAAAAAAAAAAGGCCCCATCTGGTTAATATAAAATTTGAAAGCTTTCAATTTTTTTTTCCAAGTTTTTGTTTTAACTTTGCTCACTGTTGCATATGATATCTGCAATTTATTTAATAAAGAATAGATTTAATTATTCAAAACATGTAGGCTGTCCCAACAAAACAGCTGGATTTGATATTATCACAAAAATACTTTTTTTTTTTTTTTTTTTTTTTTTTTTTTTTTTTTTTTAGAAAATGGAAAATATTTTTACATATTTACAGCAGACAGATGTTCTAATTTAAGAATATTGAGTTTGATTTGACCTGGCAAGACTGACATTTTTATTATTGTTAGGAGTGCTACACAAAGAAACAGTGAGTTTTGACTGTGAAAACTCATTACATGATGAATGCACAGACCATTAAGAAGTTTCATCAATCTTTTGATGTGAAAATGCACATAATGGAACAAAAATATGCAGACTGATGAAGAAGTTTAAGGATACAGATTCAAAAGCAGACATTAAATTTACATGCTCTCCAGTTGGTTTATGAAAACATTGCTATTGTACATGACAGTGTTATTTCAAGTTCCAAAGAATCCAAACTTTAAGAATAAAAATAAAAGAACTTAAAGAGGAATTTGAACATATCATTAATCACCTCGATAGGTAGATTTGTGAGAGAGGGAATATGAATTTCATCAAGAGAGTACAGTGCTGTAGAAAAAATCATGGACGACATATGTCAGACTTTTTTTTTTAAAATTCTTAAACTGGAACATTTATTTGTCGTAAATATGTAAAAATATTTTCCATTTTCTAAAAATAAAATATTTTATTGACATGTTACAGTTGGCGCTTTTATTAGGATACCCTTTAGTTCTGCATTTGTTACATTATATTGCTTCCACATGAGACTTGCTACAAATACTTTGTTCTGGTAGCAGTACTATTTATGGACTTGTTGGTTCTACCATGACACCAAATCATTGTATTGAATTCTTAAGCACCTTAAACAGATGTTTAAGAAATGATGTCTTTAATATAAATGTTATTAAATCATAACCAAATTTTAAAAACTTGCTTTATGAATTAATTTTTTTAAATAGCTATCAATAAATTATAATGGTGTAACTGCAGAAGATTTATGTTAAAGGATTGTCACACTGTATCTTTTTCATCTGAATATTACTTTCTGTTTCAGCCTTTTTAATGCAGTTTCAGAGTTGGAAACAGAAATTTTACTGAATTTATTTCACTCTAAATTTCCACATTTAATTATGAATAAAATTGTGTAATGTACATGATAAAAATAACAGATAATTGAGAAACTATTATTTACTTGTTTTGGAATTAAATAAACTTGATATATACTACTTACAAACTTCAAAAAAAGGATTAAAAAAGGATATTTGTATCAATTTTGTGTATAGGATTCAAATGGTCAACGAGATGAAAATTCTCCACCTGCTACTCCAAATACTTCAGCACAACATTTTGGAATAACACGTAGTCAGACTGATTCAAATATTGCGTATGATCCTGAAAGTATATGCGAAGCAACGGGCTCGACTTATTATATTACACCTGAAGGAGAAATTTGTTTGGAAGTCGTGCTAAAAGTGAGTTTGATGTCTTAATAACAAATATCTATGTGGCTATTATGGATATATACCCATATATATAGGGTCCATCATAAAAATATATACGTACTTTAACAAATGGTATTTGCATACTGCTTTCGGAGTTCAATTGGCTTATCATTACAGTATGTAGTAGGATGCTTGCTTAACAGCTTGTGACTGTAATATGTGACATATGATATACAGGGGTTGGACAAAAATATGGAAACACCTTTAAAAAAACATATTTCTTTGCTTAATATGGTGTAGGAAACCCGTTGGCATCCAAAACAGCTTGCAGTCTTCTCGGAATGGATAAATACAGTTCCTGTATGTTTGCCAAGGGAATATTATACCATTCTTCCTGCAAAACGGTGGCAAGTTCAGATAACGATGTTGGCGGTGGATAACGAGAACACACTTTCCGTTCCAATGTAGACCACAAAGGTTCGATAATATTCAGGTCTGGTGACTGTGGTGGCCAGGAGAGATGGGACAACTCATCCTCGTGCTCAGAAAACCAGTCCTGGACAATGTGAGCTGTGTGAACAGGGGCTTTGTCGTCTTGGAAGACACCATCACCATCGGGGAACAAAGTTTGTACCATGGGATGAACTTGATCGGCCAAAATGTTCACATAAGTCTTGGCAGTCATGTGCTCCTGACACAGTTATCATGGGGCTAGCAGAGAACCATGATATGGCTGCCCAAACCATAACAGAACCCCTGCCATGTTTCACTCTTGGCAACAAGCAGTCTGTATTTATAGGCTTGAGATGGCGTTCTTCCAGACGTAAACTCGGCCAGAAGTGGGAAACAATGTGAAAGAAGACTCGTCAGACCATATTACTCGCTTCCACTGCTCTATAGTCCAGGCTTTATGACTTAAACACCACCTTTTCCTGTTACGGGCATTAGCATCACTGATGAGTGGCTTCTCAATTGCAGCATTCCCTGTTTATGAAGCTCCCTTCTAATTGTTTTGGTACTCACAGGGTTCAGTAACACAACATTCATTTCAGCAGTAAACTTTTGCAGCTGTGGTCTTCTTATTTTTCGTCACAATTGCCCTTAATGATCGTCTGTCACGATCACTCAGGACACACTTTCGTCCGCGCTGTGATTTAGCAGATGATGTTTTTTTCCGCTTTTCAAATATGCGGAATAAATCTTTGATACAGTACCTCTTGAAACACTAAACACCTCGGCTACCTTGCTTACGGAAGCACCTACCATACGTGCTCCAACACTTTTGCCCACGTTCGAAGTCTGTTAACTCTGACATAATGCAATGACAACCTCACATAACAGTACTCCGACAACAACTGAACTGTTTAGCACATTTACGAAGTTGTATAGGTGGCGTCAGTAGTCGAAGATGCCAGCGCCATCTACATATTTCATTAAAATCAATCTTTCTTTTCAAACATGCATTTTACAAGGTGTTTCCATATTTTTATCCATCCACTGTAGGACAGTCACTTAAAATGCCTTTGAGGGACCTTGGATACATCATGTAGTGCAGGAAATCAGCTATGCTGGAAGATGATTAAGAAATTATAGTGCTGTGTGCCACAATACCTGTGGATGCATTAAGCAACTGCTCAGCATTGAGCTATGTATCTGGGCTACTACTCTGACACTTTGCACTGTACAGATACAGGTGCAGAAAGATTATATTAAACCTAACCTAATTATATAAATGCTTATATTAATTATAATTAAATTCAGTATTGATACACACAATTTTCTTTTATTAAAGTATGTATATATTTTTTTGATGGACGTTGTATATATATATGTGCATCATTTGATCTCTAATTTAATACTTATTAAATATTTGTTGATGGCCTTTTTAATGCAGTGTACTTTCTCAACACTTTATTATATATATTTGTATTGTATAGAACTGTTTTATGTCTATTTATTTAATGAAAATATTAAAAATTATTCTTCAAAGAACAAATACTTTATATATTATGTTATTTAGTTCAGAAGTAGTTATAAAAATACTTTCTAACTTCATTATAAAAAATGATGTATTTATAATAATCGGGAAATGATTTACATACCATATTTGACGGCATATAAGACACACTGGCATATAAGATGCACCCTTATTTAGAAGGCCACACACATGTAGATGTAGAAAAAGTTATGTGTGTCTAGACCTTTATCCGGGCTAAAAATAGCATTCAGTATTGAAAGTTAACCTGTGTCCTTCACGTATAAGACGCAGGTAACTTTTTTTGAGACCACATTCACAAGTGCGTCTTATATGCCGTCAAATACGGTAAATTAAGAGGTCCATACAGTAGTCAATCAAGCTGCAGATGTATGTTTTGAGAAAAGTGGTGTCAAAGATTTTATTGTGAAATCAAATAGAAAAGAAAATTGTGGAAAGAAAAAATATATTTCTTTGCGAATGGCATTTCTGAAACTTCAAATCAATAATCTTCCTCTGTCTAATAGATAAAAGTTCTCAGTTTCTTTCAAATAAACCTCTAGAGTTATAAAGGTTTTTTATGCTGGAGACATGAAAATGAAGAATGTTCTCGCTGGGACTCGAAACCTGGACCTCTCGTATATGCGTAGAGCATGCTTCCATTTACACTACATAGACATGCAGAAAGGAGGAAGAAAATATCTTATATACTCCCCTTTTTAAAGGGTGCTTGGGGATTAGAGGGCCCGATCACCAAATCCTGCTGCTGAAAAACTATCATCCACCACCTTTGGTTTGAGCGCCGCTGTAAAGTCATTAGGGTTTTTGATACTGGAGACGTGAAAAATGAGCTGTGCTGTCACCGGGTTTCGAACCCCAAACCTCTGGAATGCTACATGTCGAGTTGCCACTTCAATCAACATACTACCTTTGCTGATTTTTCATCATTTCCTTATGCCGACTTTCAGCTTAGTTGGACTTGTGTTGTTCATCAGCTTATTCATCACTTGTTCTGAAGTATCTTTTATTGTCTTCAAATTCACCATTTCTGAATGCATTTCTTCACTCTTCCTGCAGCTTAAAAGAAATCCTGACTGCAGTCTTTTTCTTTTGGCCTGTGCAAGTCTGATGATTTTTTAGCATAGTTTTTTTGCCTGTTGCATTTTGTGCATTCATTCTTAAATGAGATTCTTCAGTTTTGTATTTTTTTTTCCTCCAAGAACTGCAGATCTTAAGTATTGCTGTATTGAAAGGTTAAACATGCATGTAAACATGTGTCTGATTTTTCTCACTTGCCTCTGTCGAGATTCTTTCTGTCTTTAGAAACTTGCGTAGGTATCTATTACATTTATTTGCCTCACATAAAAAGTCTTTTGAGGTTTGACTTTTGCAGATCCTTGTACTTTCTTCCATTGTTCTGCTATTATATCATGATTTCACTATGAACACTGTGTTTCCGTGATAGTACTGTCTGGTACCCTAGGATTCACACCAGAGAAAATATACAATGTTTGAGTCTGGCTTTTGCCCTTTTTTTGAGGAATGCCTCGAAGCCTTTCAAGGGAGCCTCGGAGACTACATCAATGGTACCAGAATCTCACAGGAGTGCACAAATAGTGGAATATCATATAAAATAAGTAGGAGCTAGTGCATCTTTTTAATGACTAGAATCATAGATCGGAATTAGAATTACTTCTAAACTTCCCTGGGAGGGCTGCGTAAGGGAAGGGTTGCCTTAGTCTGGAGAGTAGTTTAAGAAAATGGCTGCCTTGTATTTGTGGTGCACTTGTGGAAAACCATAGAACCTGCAATACAGTCAGCCATTTCATCAGGATATAAACCCATGGACTGCCAGTGTTCAGTGACATTGCCATCGGCTGCTGGTGGGCCATTTCTTTTTTTAAAAAATCCAAAATGTTGTATTACCAAATGATGTTTTTACAGCTGAGAACTGTGGCAAATTTTAAAGAGCATGGGTATTTACTTCTAGAGGTTTTAGAGACGTAAAGCGCCCCGTTTAGAAGGGAAAATACATTGTTTCTAAACTTCTACCAGGTACTGATGCTATCTACTTCTGAAACTCTTGCTATTACAGAGAGATATTTATGCTTTTGGATTCCTACATAATTTAATAACGAGTAGTTAATTTAACTAATCATTGCATACCACCTCTCAAATATCGCTCAAATGTTAAAAATTCTTTATACATAAACTATACTAGGATTGCAGATGTATTTAAGTAAACTTGCTTAATTTTGCATATATATTTAACTTTAAAAATTACTTTCTTTTAGGCTGTTCATTCAGTTACATTAGGTGATAGTTCTCTGTCAGTTCGGGTCTGTGAAACTGCACTTAACATGCTGGATCTTCTTTTATCATTTGGAATTATACAATCTAAGGAAGCAGATAAAGATCAAGAGCAGATGCTTAAATCTGATGATGCTCAAATGAGTACACCTGGAACTGAAAATAGTGCCCTTAGCCAAGTAGAAAAAGTGAAGCCAACTTCCGAGAAGAAAAAAGAATTAACTCTTCATCATTTATTTATGGATAGCTTATGGAGGTAAAGGTATTTTATAAATCCCCACCCCCACCAGGAATTAAAACCTTAACTACATTTTAAATAACACAAACATTCATGTTTTGGTATGTTTAAATCTTGTTAACATTCTTTATACAGTCAAAAGTCGTTAATTCGGACACCCATAATCCGGAATGATCTATAATCCGGACCTAAAAACTACAAACTTTCTGCGCATGCGTCGCGTTCACGCATGCGCACAGGCGTTTACGAGAGCACGTAAGACCCTTACGGCTGCGAATATGTTTGTGCGCATGCGCGTTTAATGTGTAACGGAGTTATACGCTAAGCTAAAATTATCTAATTCAGTTAATGTTGCAGATTGCGTTGTTCCTTAATCTTCGAATTGGATCCGGCTTATTATTTTTTGCAGACTGTTAGAGCAATTTTATAAAAGTAAGCTTGAACTTTCGATTATGTCAAATAGAATTTCCGATATATATTTACTACAAAGCGAAAGTATGTTTTGAAATCCGAAATCTGTTTATCAATTTCACGCTGCTCTGCGGCAGAGGGGGGGGGGCAGAAACGTCATTATTAGATTATGATAGATTAGAAAGATTATGTCAAATAGAATTTCCGATATATATTTACTGATATGTAATTTGTATCTACAAAGCGAAAGTATGTTTTGGAATCCGAAATCTGTTTATCAATTTCACGCTGCGGATTGGAAGTTGATCTGTCAGCACTATCCTTATCTTCAGGGCAGATGTTTTTATTTTATTTGGTTTATAATCGTACTAAGTGTAGTATTTAATCTCGATGTACTCCGTCTTTGATATGATTTAAATCAAGTTCCTCGTCATTATAATTCGCTTCCGATAGTGAAGAAAGTGACCAGAGGTTATTGAAAACGAAAACATTTCGATTGACAAATTAGTCCGTATTCTCGACACAGCAATTATAGAACTTGAACAGCGGAACTTTGTAACTAAACAAGAAATTATGTCTGTTTAATAGAATTAAAGAGAAAGTATTATCACATGAAACGAAGCAACTTACATTGAAGGAAATGTTTAATAAAGTAAACAAATAAATATTAAGCTTTTTCTTTTTGTAAATTTTGATACCCTTTAGATCATAATTGTTCTTTATTTCATAAATTACGGTTTCATATTTTTAATTTTGTAATTTCTGCATGCCATCCTACCAGATTTAAACTGATGATCTATAATCCGGAAAAATCGATAATCCGGAATCGCCGAAGTCCCGACGAGTCCAGATTAACGACTTTTGACTGTATTATAAATTTTTGATAACTGGTGTGCGAAAGCATTTTTGCCGAAGTATTATAAGTAATCAAACAAAAAATAAATATTTAAGTAATCAAACAAAAATTCATAAGCAAAAAGTAAATTGTTTTTAGTTTTGAAGTTTATTTCTTTTGATTAATAATCCAATAATCATAGGAAAAGACTCATTATGAAAGAAATATTTTTCTTTTCATTTTTAATTTAGGCAAATAATGTTATGAAATGTCTATGTGCAAATACTGAAGCTTACCATTGTTTACTGGTATTTCAATTCTGTAGAATTCTCTAAATATACTATTTTCTTTTTGAAAAAAGTTGTATTGATCAACACTTTTTATCACAATTTGCATAACAGTGCTCATCACTTATTAACATCAGAACCTTTTTCTACACGGATATTTTATTTTTAGTTGCATACAAATGCAGACATTTTGCTCTTGAATTTGTATGGGACCCCTGAATATGATAGTCAAGTCTAAAATTAAATTGCTTCAAAGGGCCTTAGCCCAGAAAGGCTATTAATTTCATTTTTGTATTCACTATAAAAGTCTGAATCAGTTTTCAAATTGCTGCCACCAAATATTAGAGCTATGTATTATTATTAAAGAAATGAAATAATGAAGAATCTGGATGAATGTACTGTGACGATCAATCGTTGGTTAACTATCAGGTTTATATTAGAGAACTTCCTGTTCTTGTTGGAACATAACCGGAGTGTCCACCGAAATGGTCGGAAAGTGATCAAGGAAAAAACTTGTTAAGGACAATCTCCCTTATGCAGTTTCCTTGGGGAAAAAGTTTCCTTCATTGGATAAAGGTATAAAAGGTGCTTTTGTCTGATAAACGCCATAATAGTAAGTCGCATCATGCGACAGAAAGGCTGCTGTCTTTCCCTTTCTGTAACTGAGCTGTTATATTTACCTTTTATTTATCCAAGAAAACTTTTGTTAAGTTTCAAAATAAATATTTAAAAAGGTAACTGGTCTTTGTATTTCTATCAAGGAAATCTGGCAAATGTTACAGTATGTATGTTTCTTGCATTGTGAAAAAACAACAATACCTAGAGACATCAAATTTTGAATAACCTAGTCCTCCACTCGAATATGGGCATTTTGAAGGCCAAATTTGGAATTTGTTTTATTATCTATTTCATATTTTGCAAAACTTAATGAATTTTTGATTTACAAACTCAGTTATTTCAAAGTGTTCCATTAACATTAACATCGTGTACATCTTCAAGCATGGATATTTTATGCAAAGACATTACAATATCTAACAGTATTTTGTGTCAAATAACTATGTCGAATGTCTGTATCACTTTTCAAATCCTGTTTTGAATCCTCCATGAAAGAAAATCACCCCTTTGGATGTAATATAAAATTTGAAAGGTTTCAGTTTTTTATCTATTAATTATTGTTTATTTATTTATTTATATTTTATATTTTATGTTTTGTAATGATTATAATTTTTTCCTAAATGTAACTATAGGGACTGGAAGATTGTATAAAAATTAAATTTTACAATTTTTACTCAATAAATGTTTTGAATGTAAGACTACCCTAACACATTAAAAATACTTTTCTGATTGGAAGTACATTAGACTTTTGATCAATTATCTGGGTCAATGATGGGAGTGATGTCCCAAAAATTACAGCAGTTAAACATAAGAAAAAGGAATAGCCTATATTATAATTAACAGAAAAGTGCTGTTAAATCTTAAGCAATTTAATTTGAAGAATAACTTTACTTGATGATGTGAATTAAATCAGCATTAAAAATGAGAACAACATACTTCAAAGCAGGAATAAAAATATTTTTATTTATGTTACTTTTGTAATTTGATGGATGTCAGTGAGAACAGAACATTAATGGCTGTAAATTTGATTTATTTTTACAACTGAGCAATTTATTTTTTAGAGGTGATTCCAGATAATGTACAATGGAATTACTTTCTGTGGTAAATAAATATTCAGACACCATCTGCTACCTCTGCTGTCATCTCATGCATTTTCTTCTCCTATTCTTATTTCTAATAAAAATTTATGTATTATGGTTTGTAATAGTAATTTTTCTGTTTTTTCAAAGTTAATGAACATAACTTTCATTTAATACCAAGAATGGTATGCTGCATAAAAGTTTTCATAGACATGGTGTATGTAATATTACATATACATAATCATATATGTAATATTACATACACCATGCGTGCTGTAAAAATTATACCATCATTTTAGTGGTAAAAAACAAAATCAAATAAAAAAAAACTGAAATGTTTTAGATTTTAAATTATGTCTAAAGGGGTGTTTTTTTAGCATTTTTTGTGTTACCTTTATTTATTAAATGTCATGTTCTTCGCACTTAAACCATAAAATTCAGTTCAAGAGCAATATTGCAAAATAATTTTTTAATTAGCATATCTTAAGGATTTCCAATACACAATCTCGTGCGCTGGAGACAAAAATGTTTTTTTTTTTTCTGTACAACATTGCCATTGTTTGCTTTAAAATTCTTGAGTTTGTTAATCAGAAATTCATTAAAGTGTTGCAAAATATGAAATTGGTAATAAAACAAATTTCAGATTTTAAATTTGGGCTTCCAGATGCCCATATTTGGTAGAAGAAGATTACTTTATTCAAAATTTGATAGCTCTATGTACCATTGTTTTATCCCAGTGCAAGAAACATACATGCATTTATGGATATTCTTCATTATTTAATTTCTTTAAATATAACACAGGATGACAATATATGGTGGCAATAATTTGAAAAGTGAAACAACGCTTATAGTGAATCAACACAAAATGCCAAAATAAAATTAATAATCCTTTAGGACAAATTGCTCCTTTGGACTAATAATGTATGAATTATTATTATATGTTAATATATAGGTTACAAATAATAACCTAATATATGTAACTTTAAAGTTGCATGTTTTATTAACTGAGAAAAAATCATTATTACCATAGTGTTTGTCTCCGGGAATATCAAATAACAGAAATGATGTATTGAATGAGTATTCTTAGTTTGCATAATTTTGGAACTGTTCAATAGTTAACTATTAATTTACTCTGTAAAAATTATTATGAAACTTTTAGATTATAATATATAAATTACTTACCATGTTCATTGCATTCATACCTTATTTATCGCTACTTATATGAAAGTTTCTTAGTGTTAATTGTTGATAATGTCTTAATATTTTGTACTATCATGACAATTTATACCAAACCAACATAGTTGCAACAGATTAGCAGTAGTTGCAGTGAGAAATTTAATTGGCAGTTCTCAAAATAATGCTACAAAATGATACAAATTTGTCTGAAAATAAAAAAAAAAATTGCTCAACAAGGGAAATGTTTTCTGATTACTGTAAGTTTGTGAAGAAGGAATATTTATGCTTTATTTGGACCTTAACAAAGCTTTTTGCATTTTTGTACAATTTATTTGGCCATCATTGGATGTTCTTAACAAGGTTCTACAAAGCAGAATTCCATTAATTCATGTTAATTCATGTCAACAATTTATGATCTGTTTAAAGACATTTTATCAAAGTTTGTAAAACCAGTCTTTGTTTTGTCTTCTAATTCTATATATGATGTGATTTATGGTGAAATATAAAATAAAAAAAGATGAAGATTTGGTAATGGGGCTGCAACTAACAAAGTAGTAGAAAAACTTTCAGAGAAAGACAAAAATAAATTTTATTTCCACGTTAGAAGTTACATCTGCCAAATGTTTGATTACATACTATTACACAAATTTCCGATCAATGATGAAGTGATTTTGAATACTAAAGTTGAAGGTGTTTCTGCTTTAGCAAATGCATTTTTTTTTCCTGATATAAGCTATTTTTTTAATAGATTTCTAGTTTTACTTCATTTAGTCATGAAAGACGATTATATTGATGTTGCAACTGATAAATTGCAGTTTACAACTAGAAAACTCGGATAAAGTTATAAAACCAGCTAGGACTGACACCCAGTGGAGTTTAATTTTAAACCTGAAAGGTGCTGCTGGAATTTTAAAATGTAGTGAACTGTCTAGAATAATGTTGGCTATCCTGGCAATTCCCCAGAGTGTGAGAGGATTTTTCAGTGTTGTTACGCAAACAAGGAGTAAATTGAGATATAATATTAATAATGGCACATTAGAAAATTTTTTATTAGTAAAAGCAGGCCTACATGGCAATTGCTATGAACAAAATTATTAAGTTTCTTTCTTTACTGAAAGCAAAATGTACCACTGTTCATAGCATTTGTATGAAAACTGATTAAAGAATTATTTTTTTGCTAAAAGATGCAAATAATAAAAATGTTTTTTTTACATATAAGTATTTTTGTGCTGTTTGTATTAAGAATTAGTTACGGAACTTTCAGATATTAATTAGTAATTATTTAAAGTTAATTCATTATTAAAAAATATATTTTTGTCATTTAAAAAAAAAAAAAAAAAAAAAAAAAACTTCTGATTTTTTGAGTGTCATAGGTTGGCAAGTAGGCATAGGCTAACAATGTGAAGGTTTAAATGTGGAAAATGTTTGTGATATGTTTTCGCTGCCTAATATAACAAGTCTGATTCAACCAGCGAACCAGGAAATTATCCAGAATATGAAAATGAACTACCTGTATGCTATTATACATTGATGTGTGAGCATTGAATGTAGTGTTCGGGATTTTCAGAAACAACTGACATTGAAAAATATGAGATTTACTTTGTGTGTTGCTTGGAAATACTATTAAGTAAAGATCATTGATCTATGTCGGTGAAAATTGTGACCTGTGATCATGTTCCTGGATGGCATGTTGAATAATGAAGATTCTCTTGAGTATAAAATAACTAGAAAACTCAGGGTCATACGGAATGACTGCTGTTCTAGATATTATAAATTGTAATTAAAATAATTTGTGCAAAGATGTCTGCTAATTCAAACTGAATTACCCAAGGCAGGCGGCGAGGACGCTCCTTTGGTTACTGCCTCCTTTTACTTGCTTAATTGCTTAAAGTAGAGTGCAATGAAGGAAACCACTGGTGGTACATTTCTTAAGAGCCACTGCTAGCTCAATTAATAAAGGTGATTTAAATAATAAAATGTTAATTCACATGTCAAAGATCTCTTTGTACACAACATTTCTTGTGTAGATCTTTTCATCATTTTTAAGCTCGCCCTGCAGAGGACCATCCATTATTTTTAATTTTACGTCCGTTCTTTCACGAACTCTTGAACAGGCAACATAAAGTTGACCATGTCCAAATGCAGGCTCAAGTAAAAAAATGCCAACACGCTTAAACGTTTGGCCGTGAGACTTACTAATGATCATAGCAAAGGCAAGTTTCACAGGAATTTGTCTACATCTCAATCAAAACGGCAACTCTGTGCCCTGGCAACTTCACCCCATTGGCTAGTACAGTTACTCAAGCAACCAATAAACTATCGGTGACAAACAGACACTTAAGCCGCATATAATAAAGATATTTATTTATTTCATTTTATTTGTTTTTTCATCGTTGGTGGTTTTTCCCGGTTGCATGTTTCCGAATTATATTATATATAGATGTTAAATTTATTTATTAAATGTTAAATGCACATGCTCTTGTATTTTTAAATTTTCTGGCTTAGCTTTCTTATAATATTTGTCACGCGCTGCAATGCGTGGGGAATAAAACAATTTACAGTTAAGCAAGCAAGCAATAAACTATCGCTGACAAACAGATGTTAAATTTATTTATTAAATGTTAAATGCACATGCTCTCGTATTTTTAATTTTTCTGGCTTAGCTTTCTCATAATATTCATCACGTGCTGCACTGCAAGGGGAATAAAACAATTTTCAGTTACGCAAGCAACCAATAAACTATCGGCGACAAACACTTAAGCCACATATATATAAGATATCTGGTGTCCTTGGCTGGCATGTCAAATTTAGGTACATATTTGGGGATAATTAGTATAAGTTAAGAGATGGTGCAAACTTCGGTGGATTCAAGTATCTGTTTTTGCCAAAGTCTATCGGATGATGACAGAATAATCAGATATATACTGTGAAAGTAGGAAGCTGGAGGGGGAAAGAATGAAGGTGAAGACAACGTGCAGAACAGGAAAGTTATGTGAATGGAAGCTGATGAAGGATTGCAGACTTTCATAAGTTTTGCTGTGAAATGTTTATCTTTGTTAGTACATGATGTTATGAAACTGCATTGTGTATACAGCAAATTTTAAAAGCTGCTGCGATAATCTTGTCAGTAGGCAGTCATGCAGTCATTCAAAGTTACAATGCATCACACTAAGAAATTCGTAACTTCCATGCGATAAAAGTAATGATAATTTTAAAGCACAGTTTAGTTTAGTTTTTTTTTTTTTTTTTTCTGAAATATAAAAACTTGTTTTTTATGTTTTAATTTATTTTAAATAATCTATATGATTTTTGATATTATATATTAATTGTGACCAATAGATTAAAAAAGCACAACCAATAGACTTCACATGCTGCAATTTCACAGAATATGAAGAAGTTCTAAAAATATATATTCATTTATCCTTTTGAAAGTTTCATATCAAAAACTGAAAGTTCCATTACTTTTGGTTAAAAGAGATTCTATTATATAATAAATCTAGCAATGAATAAATTGAATTAATTGTTGCAAGCTTTTAACTTAGAATGCTAACTACTTGTCTTTACATCATTTTGTCTTACCGATTTCTTCCTATCTAGTACATCGTGTCTAAGCACTGATTATTGATGGTCTTGGATGTAGAAATGATAAGATGTTGAAAACTACAATTTAATTCCCGAAAAATGTTGTGTGATATTAACAATACTACCATGTTTATAATGCAATTAATAAGTTCTTAGGTGGAGAAAAAGTTTAAATTGTAAATGAATTTCATTAATTCCCTCCCCTTTTTCTATAGAAATTTGAAATTTTGTGGTATATGACCTAAATCATAATTTACGTCAAATTTTTGTGATGTGTGAAGCTATGTTTGTTACTTTAAAAACTTGTTTATCTGTGCTTAGGATCTGCAAGTTCCTTGGATGTCCTCATAGTTGTGGAGAAGGCCATAGATGTAGGCCAACTACCGAGCTGTTGCGTATGCAGATATTGAATGCTTTTAATCGACTGTATGAAGCTGATCGAAAGCAATTTAGGAATTTTCTTCAGGATGTCATTAACAGCCGTCCATTGTTGGAAGTTATTGATTTTTTTCATAGTTTCATTGGCTTCTGCATGGAATCTGGATCACCAGTATCTCCACTGCGTAAGTGTAACCCATTTTATGTCCATTACAAGGGTAACCCATTATGTTATTATGTAACCATTTTAATAAAAACTAACCAAAACAACAACCTTGTGTTTAGTGCAGATGTTTAATTTCGCACATGCATATTAGACACTGCTCATTGATACACTGTTAACAATCTATTGCCATTTTTTGGCAAAGAAATTTGTTATGACTCATCAGTTGAGCAGGTTTTTTAAAATTTCAGGAAGTATTGTTTGGTAATACCAGTTCATAAGTGCTAACTCTCCTCGTTTTTCAACACATCTCCCAGTCTCTCAGTAGATCACCATTTTTCTCAGTTTTAAATTTTTAGCCTATTAAGGATAATATTTCCAGCAGTAACAGAAATTTATTGAAATAATCTCAAGGGGATGGGGTTAGTTTTTTCCAAGAGCTCGAGTAGACAATAATTGCTAATCATGCTTTAAAGAGTGGCAACACAAAGTTTTTAAATTGCCAAGTTTTTAACCAAAAGTTCATTAAATTAATGTAAAGTATATTTATATGAAGGGAGTGGACACCATGGGATGTTTTTTGAGAAATCAAAGTAGACAGTGATCTTGTTTTGAACATCAAGTGAATATTCTCAGTTTGGCACGAAAGGTTGCCCAGACTGGATTTGAGTGGCACTGGCAATAATTAATATAAAGAAAATTGTATGTGGGTTAGTCTAAAATGCTATGTAGTTATTTTCTAGTTATGTAATATTTACTGGTAAATCCTTGATATGTGAGTTTTTAGACTCGTATTGTGATGGTTAAATCATGCCGTAATGAGAATTAAGTAGTTTCAACAAGTATATTTTTTTATTCTTATGTGAGTGATGAAGATGCAGCTTATTTAAAGGTCTATAATTATAAATGGTTTGTATAATCGTAAAAATTTGGATGCCAAATCTAGCCAAAAATTTTGTTGAATATCTATTAGTTTAATCAACTGTCTATATATTTCTCCTAAAAATGTTTACTGTTATTAATTTTTTTCCTTGTAGCTCCAAAACGAGCCAGTACATCGGGTAGTCAAGAGAATAATTTCAGGCATTCCTATGCAAATAATTTTGGTGCTGGTGCTGGAAAACCTGGTGTTCGAGATGCAGAAGACCTTGTTATAAGTAATTCTTTCAAAGCTGTAGTTTCTCGTCTTGTCCTTGCCCGAAAAGATCTGAAAAGCCAAGAAAACTTGGTATTTCATTTTTTATTCTCATTTTATAATTAATAGTGATTTTCGTTTTTACTTATTTATGTTTGCTTTAAAATTATTATCCTATTTCTTACTGACTTTATAAAAGAAAATATTTCAGGTTATGTCCTTAAATAAAATTTCATATTAATTTGCTATGCTTTTCCAAATTTGTAATGCTCCAAATGCTATTCATTTAAAGAGTTGTGCCTAGTTTCTCTCTACTCTGGGCACAAAAAATTATGCTCTTCTGTGTGCAGTAAAAGTTAAATGTGCAGTAAAAGTATGCTATTTTATTATATAAATCTTAATGTAATTATTTAAATCACCATGATATAATTCAATATTTAAGTGATGTGATTGCTTTAGGAATTTTTAATAATTTAATGATAGGGGAAAAAATCGAGTAAACAATAAATATAAGGAATCATATATAGCCTCAATAATGTTTGTTAGTGCCTTAGATGTTTTAATTTACCTATTATATTTTGTTCTTCTTGAAAAAAGCTGTCATTCTCATGTATTTTCTTCTTTTTTTTTAATTGATTGCCATTTGATATTGATTTTGAAAAATATAAATATATTCAATACTTACCACAAGCATATTTAACATTTGTTATCTGAAAAAATAAAATGGCTACAAGTTTTAGTTCCTTAAATACTGATCTTAGCTATATACTTTCCATTACAGAATTTTTCAAAATATGATAGAGATTTTTATGAAAACATGCACATGAGACATTTTCATAAAACAGATATAAAATGTAACATTTTATGCAATCCCAGGAGAGCAAGTGTAATTAGTAAAATATTCTATATGCTTTGCTCAGTTAGAAATCATATGTTTTACCTGCAGAATTTGCAGAGGTAATCATAATTAGTTTTTTCCTGATCCATACTACAAATTTGATAACTACTGCTATTTTGCTCAGTCATTCTAGCCATGTTCAGCTATTTCTGTTTTGCAATTATATTGCTAAATTTTGTTCAAAATACTGAATTTTTTCTCTCTGATAATAAATTTGCTGCTGATTATATCTTTTGTACATAAAATTATGGAACTCTTTTATATGCTTTTATATTTATAAAATCCTTTCAGTCACAGTACTGAAACTGCTTTTACACAATTCTGTATCTTATTTTGAGAGACCTTTTAATTAAAATACAATGTGTCTAGGCTGAATTTTAATGAAATAAAGTTTGTAGCCACTCTTTTGAATATACTATTTATTTTTATATTGAATTATATTAATTCAAACTTGTCCAAAAATAAAATGAAAATAGTTTTAGCTTTTCTTTTTACATCTAACAATATACTGTATGAGTAATTAAATGTTAATTTTAATAATGAAAGTTCTTATTAGAAACTTTTGTATGAAGTTTTATGTAAGGAAACTGCAATGCTGCCAAAATTGAATTAATTTTAGTAATTTGTTTTTATTTCATCTACGGTTGTTCATAAACAACAAAAACCATGTTAATTCTTTTTCAGGAATTTAAGGACAAGTATACAGTGAAAAATAATATGTTAAAAATCTCTTACTAGGTCTATAAATATTTACATGGCCATTTAAAATCACAAATAAATTAATTCATATATTATTAATTTTTGCTTAGTTTAATTAATTCGTATATAAAATAGAGATCTTATTCACTTATAAAATTCATGTGCTAAGAAATGCTGGCATACTTCTTTATTGGATGTAGTTAATTCCTCGTATTATTTGAATAAATTAAAAGTGAGAATATTTGTATTTCAATAAATTTTTACAGTTAGAAGATAAAGTAATAAAACTTCATAAGAATATTAATTTAATAAAGTATTTTTAATCTTTGAAAACTTATAAATTACTTGTGAATAAAAACACTAGTAAATCATTGACGAAAATCATTGAATTGCATTTAAGGGGGGGAGTCAGCCTCGAACTATTCAGATTTATTTATTAACCAATAAAAGTTCAGAATGATGTCAAATAAATCAAAATTTGAAATTAAATATCTCATTCAATTTTTGTTGCAAAGGAATATTAATAAATATAAAAAAAATTAGATTTTCTATTTTTATACAATTTTAATTTTTTTAAATTTGGAATACAAACACCAGAATCTTTGCATCATTTAAAACATTCTTATAGTTGCAAGTGTATGTCTATGATCAACCATTACAATATATATATGTAATAAGATGACTTGGTGGAAAGTTGCAACAGATTGGCCATTGGAAAGGCTTAACTGCATAGTTAGAAAGATGACACTTGAAGACAAACATAACGGTAAATTCCATACATAATTTTATTCCTTGATAATGCATATCATCACTATAGGAGCACTATGCACCCCACAATTTTATACAACTTAGATTTCTTAAATAAAGAACAAAAATTGGAAAGTCACACAGCGAAAAGAAGCAGGAGTGGAGAGGGAAGAGAGGGAAAGTTGTGAAGCAAAAGGCAATTACCTTTTATACAGAATTCCATTTCAGATTACATGACAGATTAATGTCCAGATATTGGGCTCAGATTTCATCAATAAGTGCACATAAGTAACTGCAATATATCATGCAAATAAGTGCACATCAGGAACTGCAATCATAGGAACATCAATAAGTATACATCAGGAGTTAGAAAAAATATTTAGAATGAAAACTGAACTTAAAAGTCTATTATTAATTTATTATTTGAAAGACAGATATTTTATATTTTACATATATATATATTCACATTTCTTACTTTTTGCTGGTAATTAAATACCCTTTTTTAGTGATTGGCGTGATGAAAGTAAGTTAATCATCTCACCTTTGTCCTAGTTCTGCTTATTTGCAATACTAATATGTTTTCTAAAGTGGGAAGGGTGAGGAATATGCACCTTTTTGTTTTTATAAGCTATTATTTAGCTCACTCCTGGGTATTTGTTGTTGTGGTCAAAAGGTTTTCATAGATTTTTAAACCTATTCCTGATAAGCTATCAAAATCTAAATTTGTGACACACTCTGTTTTGTGGATGACTGTATAATTTTTAAGCCATTTTTTTTTTCAAAATTAAATTTAAATTTCATAAAATTTAATGCTTTAATACAATATGTTGCATATATCTTCATTTAATTAAAAAATAAAAATTTCAGAAATTTGCTATTTACACCATCAGATAGGGTGGGAAAAATATTTTAAATGAAATTTGTAACATAATTTTGGACTATTTGGTAAATTTTTTGAAAATTGCTTGATTCTTTTCCTTTTTCGGCTATTTGATGCTCATGATTTTAAAACTTCAACATTTGAAAACGTATCAGTCACAAAGTTTTGAAATTTTCACAGATATATTTTATATTTCACAGATATTTGAAATTTTCACAGATTATGTCATTTCCCTTGCTGCAAAAAAGTTAAGTTTACTATCGAATTTTATTTTTTCCATTCTGTAAATAGAATAGCTCTACCTTTTTAATAGATAAGTTTTAAATTTTGTTAAATTTTATTAATCTCAAAAACAACAGGTTTGATTAGCACTTAAAATGATTTGCAACGAAATCTACAACATCATTTGAACTTTTTGCATTTTGGAAGTTTATATACATTTTTCTCAGTATTTCAATTCAGTTGCTTTCCTTAATTTTATTTCCTTAATTTTGTTAAAAACTGTATTTCTTTATAGAACTTTTAATTTCGAACATTCAAAAAGTATCTGTTGTAAATATTTGAAATTTTCCAAGGTTATTAAACAAAGTCTTCACTTTCTTTCCAGACAATAATGATAAAGCAATAATAATAAAACAAAATATTGATTAGGCAAATTTCTAAAAGTTTGTTTTTAACTAGTTGCCCTTTTTATAAGATTTTATTTAACTCACTGATGGTATGTATCATGATGGCCAAAACTTTACTGTCCATTTTTACACTATTCCTTGATTAGCTGTTGAGTACAAAATTTGCACACATATTCATTGTTGATGAAGTAAAGGAATTGTTATACATTGTTGAAATATGATTTTTCAACAATGTACTAGGGTTGCTGTTTATATTTCTGGCCTTGGCAACAGTAAGTGTTGCTGGAGGACCACAGAGGATTCCAATTGAAAGTTTGATATTTTTAACCATATTGTCTTCAGAATGTTTTGCTGTTTTAGCATGATTTGTGTTGTTTACAGAAAAACAAAACATTCATCCTGGGCAAAAAATGGAATAGACTTGTGGACATTTTCGTGTGATTAGTTTTCAGAACTTTCAGTGTGGATTATCAAGACAAGAGTGTTTTGATGAATTTAATTCTTTATGCAGCAATAAAGCCCCATCCTACAACACTGTAAAAAACTGGTAACATCATTTTACAGAGCTGCTTGCCGACTAATGGCAGAAATGCCAAAAAGAGAGGCGTAGGATTTTTAAAAAAAAAAAAAAAAAAAAAAGGAAAATCTGAACTGTTTCAGATTTTAAATTACTTCCAAAGGGGCATTTTTTTAACATTTTGTATATTAAATTTGTTTATTAAATATCACGTTCTTTGCCTTAAACCATAAAATTCAGTTAAACAGCAATATCCCAAAATGGTTTTAAAATGAGCATATCTTTAGAGTTTCTGATGCAGAGACTCATGTGCTGGAGATAAAAATGTTTTTTCTGTACAATGTTGCCTTTGCTCGCTTTGAAGTCCTTGAGTTTGTTAATCAAAAATTCATTAAAGTTTTACAAAATAGGAAATCGATAATAAAACAAATTCCAAATTTCAAATTTGAGCTTCCACATGCCCATATTCGTGGGAGGAATATTCGTCGTTCAAAATTTGATGGCTTTATGTACCTTTATTTTATCAGAAAGCGAGAAATATACATACATTTATGCATATTTTTCATTATTTAATTTCTTTAACACAGGGTGATAATACTTTGTAGCAACAGTTTGAAAAGTTATTCACCGTTTGTAGTGAATTGACGCAAAATCGCAAAACGAAAACAAGTCCTTCAGAGACAAAGCCCCTTAGGACTAAAAAGATTGTACAATTATTCTCTTCCTCTACCTTTGGATTTCTTTGTTTATCTTTTTCAAATGTTCTTGAATGATGACTTATATTTTGGTGCCCATAGAACTTTTGATAGAATGATAATTTTTTCATTATCATTTGTTATTTTTGTGTAAAATTAATTTTTTTATGACTACATCCTTCTTATCAAGACAAGAGTGCAATATTATCTTGAGTACAATCTTGCAATCTTTGTAGTCATTATGGTTCTAAAAATTTGGTTTATTTTGCAGACTTTCTGTTTCAGGTCTTTTTTCATGACATTAATAATAGTAATCAATAAGTCAAATTTTTTGTATTTTATCACCTAAGAGGTTAATAACCATAAACTTTCATAACCATAAACATGATTAATAACCATAAACTTTCAAAGAGATAAATTTTTGTGGTGCTTAAGAATGGCATTTTTGATTTCTTCATGTAAAAATAAGTATTATGGAAGAAAAAACTTCACCCCTATAGGCAACTTATAGGATATATAATTTTTATTTTTCTGTTATAATCAGAAACATGACTTAGAACATTCTATAGCTAAGCTCCGTCCTTTGATAAATATGAAACATTCTACTCCTGAAAAATGTAGAAAAAGTTAAAAAGGGCTAATTGTCCGCACCATTGTAACTGAAAAATGTATTTCTATAAATGTTTATAAAGGATTACAAAAAAAAAAAAAAAAAAAAAAAGTATATATATTTTGGAAAAACATTTATGTGATATATGATAAAAAATTATTGATTACAGAAGTAATATATCTGTTAAATTTGTACTGTTTCATTTTCCCAGTGTATAAAAAGCACATTTATTTGGTAGTTTATGTATGTGATAAATTTTTCCTCTGCAATACTTTAGTATAATTTTCTTTTGAAGTGCCTTTTTTTTCTTTGCAAAAAATAATTCAAAATTATATTGCATGTAAATATTTATCTGCACCCTTACTTTGTTTCATTTAACATAATTCGCTCTATTTTTTCTAAATGTCATTTTATTCCTCTTAGTCACTGTATCGAAGCATTCGGCAGTTCATGGCTTATGTAAGAGAATATCATGGTGGCACATTCAGAAGAGTAGCTCTCAGTGGACTTCTAGACAGTGCAGAAAGGCCCCACAAGAAGAATAAAAACACTATTTCTGCAACAAGAATTGTTAGGTATAAAATTTATATTTATTTTTATTATGTTTGGAAAATGATTGATTTTCTATGGTACTTGTGTATGAACTGACACACAGTAGCACATTCTCCAAAAGTACTGCTTCTGATTCAGATTCCTGTGAATACTAGACAAACTAAAAGCTATTTTCTTGTTAATATCATTTTGCTGATGATGACTTCTTTCTTGTTAGTATCTTTTCACTTAGGGAAGGTGAGGAGACTTCTTTTTTATTTTGTAACCAATTTCAAATCAGTTAGAGTGACTACATATCTACATTATGTAATATTTATGGGCAACCCATTATTTCCAGGCTTATGGAATTTTGCCAAAACAGTCACATATGCTTCATTTGCTATGCAATGAAACTGTACAAGACAGAAGGTGGAAATATGATGTCAACAACAATAGACACAGTATTAGAATAAGAACTGAAACTGGTCTGAGAGAAACAGCTTTCCTTTTTATTGAACAGAGTTCATATGGAAGTTAAGTTCACAAGTAGAATCCATTTACCTGAGTTCATAAGCTGCAGAAAATAATAAGCTATACAATTTTGAATACGATTGTTAAACAATACCCACTGGGAGTTTAAAAAATAATTTTTTTTTTCTTTTTTTAATTTTATTGATCTGCTGATGTCAAAAATGTATTTCTTTGCCATCAGACACATGTAGATTGGAGTATTGTAGATCACCAGTTAATACACAAGTTCCCTTTCTTTTATGCCTTAATAATCTTAGGTCGCAGTTTTTAAAAAAAATATGTAATTTATTATTTATGTGATTGCTAGTATTTAAATATTTTCTACTTTTTATTATTTACTGCTAGTAACTAATTCAATTTTTGATATCCTCTCCTTTAAACCAATAAAGACATACAAAATCTGTTGATCATGAAGATTACAGAGATCCTATTTATTCTCCAACTGTATGTGTTGTGGATGAAACTTCATCAAATAAAAGTACCAGAAAGTCATTTTTCAGGAAAAGAGGTGTGCGCAGAGCACCAAGTGCACAGGTAATTTTTCATTTGGGCATTTTAATTTATATAATTGACTGTCTGATGAAATGTTGTTAGCAAAGGCATCTTCACTCAGAACAGCCTGAGTGCAATTTCAGATAAAGTGTAGATATTTGTTGTCTCCCTCTCTCCTTCTGTGGGTACTCTTGCATTTGGGGGCACCTTTCTAAGTAGTGAAACAATGTCTTATGAGTTTTAGCATTTAACAGCCCGGCAGATATCTAATAAGCAAGTGTCCAGTCATTATGGGAGCTTCTGTATATAAAAGTATGAGGAGTTAGATATCTGGAGAATATATGTAGTTCAATAAAATTCATCATGCAACATGGAAAAAGTCAATAGTTTTATCTGTTTAGTATTATTGCAGTTATAGAAAAATGCTGTTTTGGTAAAGATGTTTGAAGATGTTCAAAGTCTTCTAACTGTACTATAAGTAGTAGCCTCTGCATACGCAGGGGGTGGGAATCAAAAAGTTACAAAACAAGCTGTACCAAAATATCTGCATCTTGTTTACTGAAAATTTCTTTTGTTGTTTATCAAATGTGAGGTACTTGCAACTTAATGCATTCTTCAGGAATGACAATACTCATCAGTCATTTGATCATCTGATTCCCGAGAATGTTGCACAAAATGTGCACTAGAAAGGGCGACTGATTTTATGCTTGCAAGAAAGGAGAAGTTCCATCCTTATTTTGATAGAGAAACTTTGGGTATTGAATCCAGTAATCTCCTATCACCAAGCCTCCTGAAAGAACTTTCGGCTCACCAATATTAAGTGCCCCCATGCTGCAGAGATACCATTCACCTAAAAACTTCCAAGATTCGAATCTGGCCTAATGATATGTTTACCAGTACCACTAACTACAGTATCGATTCGAACAGCCAGATGTCTTTTATAGAACTAAGTAATTATTTTTTATGATCTCAAACCCTCTTTTTAAAATTTTATTACTTTCCACTCTAGCAAATTTTTTTTACTATGAAATTATTGCTTTTTTCGTAGCATTATTTTAAAATGCAGAATTATGTATTATATTCAATTTTTATATGTTCTCTTTTTCCCATAAAATTTAGATTCAAATCTTCACCTTTTAGAACATTTAATGAAATATGTTCAATCTTCTAACTGTTTTGTTTATGAATTTCCTTAGTATATTGTCTACACATGATTCTGATCTAGCTTTTCCTTATAGCTTCTTTGATATGTGCAGTATACTGCTTCATCATATAAACCCAGGAAAATTTGTGGTAACATGATAGGCTTTGACAGTTTTTATAATCCCCTCCTTATTCTATGCTAGTGCTGTTTGTACTATTTTTAAGTTTTTTGTGCATAGTAACTTTCTAGTTTTGCTTGAAATTTTGATTTGTGATATATTTGTAAAAGCTTGTGCGTAAAATATAAATTAATAAAATAATTATGATATAATATAATATATCATAATATTTATATGATATAATAATATAATAAAATAATAATGATTAAGTTTTGATTAGAAAAGAATATTTTTTAATATCTGGAATTATTTTTGAATAAAATATTTATATTAATAATTTTTAAACATAATAAATAAGCCATTAAAAGTTTTAAATGTAATTTCTTTCTAAACATTTAATTTAAGCATCTTGCTTTTTTTTTTACTGTAAGAATATAAAAAAGTAGTTTTTTATAATTGCATTAAAACATTTCATTTAAACACAAAAATACTTTAATTAGTAAGAAATTTTTTATTATTTAAAGTATTGCTATTAAACCCAGGTGAAAATAATCAGCGATTTCGGTTTTATTCACTCACAGTTTATTTTATTCTAGATATAAAAACAATAATCATTGTTTACTCAGAAAAAAAAAAAAAAAATGTAATATAATCTGCAGTGCTGCAAAATATTTGGAATAACTGTCTATATTCTTTTGAGGGTTATAACTGTAAATTTTAAAAATAGATTATAATTTTAATATTTAGAGTGTCCTGGATGATAGAGATGATTTATCTTGTCCCAGTCCTGCACCTGGTCAGGTTGCTCCACCTTTTTTGCGCTGTGATAAGACAATTACACCACGACTGAGTGTGTCAGATGATGAAAATTTGTCACTTCAGAGAACACCTAAGCATAAAGGAAACAGATTTCAAATTGGTATTGGTTTGTAGTTTAAGCATATTTATATATTCATTCTAGAAATTTGAATTTATTTGTATTATGTTTTGAATTAATGCTCAAGTTATGCATCTAATATTGGGTGTTAGCCCACTTATACACATAGGTTAATCAAATGTAATGCTCAATTCCTTGTTGCACAGTAATTGTAATTAAAACAATTACTGTTTTAAGTCAAAAGCATTAGTCCTGTACCAGCCAACCTAAACCTAATTTTTATTTCTTGTTATTACAAGAAAGTTACCATAAATGATCAACATGAGACCCTACTGTATCACTGTGCAGTGATTGAATTCCTGTACCAAATCAAAGCCTAACTCAACAACATCAATCAGTTCATAGCAAATTACTGCCAGTCTACAAAGACAAGGAAGTGAAGTGAAGTAATGTATGCTGAGGGTTTTAAAGAGATGCACCCAGTACTGCACCCAGTACCAGCCATGGTCAAATGGATCATAAAAACCAATGAAAATGATTCAGTCTTTAAGGAACACGTTCAAAATGAGAGATGTATCCTCATGAGACAGATCATGGGGTACACAGGTATGGCAAAAATATATGTGTTAATGCTAACACTGACATTCACTCACAAATTCCACTGACACCAGTAGTCGCATTCTACGGGTTTGTGGATTTGGAGTGATTGAGGACAACACATGATGAAGAATTAAAACAATTTATTCATCAGTATTACACAGGACAGTTCCAAAGCCTCATTACAGTCATAAAAAAACTACAACCAGCAACACTGCCTTCAGGCTGTCAGACTATAATAGTGAAGACTGCTTCAGGGCACAACACTAAAGTACAGCTCCTGACTTGGTTGCTTGCTCTCAAGCTAATCTCTGAACTCAACTTACTCAAGATATTCTTCAACTTCGTGTACAGGCAGGATATATATAGCTTTTGACTTGCCTTCCAGAACATTCTTGGGAAAACCGTTAAGAATTTGCTGTAGGATGTTCTCACTTTGTCTATGGCATATTGCCAAGTTTCCCACAAAATGGGCGATTTTGAACCAAATCTGGCAACCCTAACCCCATTTTGCAGGGAAGCTATCTTACCACCGTAATAATACTTTTTAGCTGGAAGCACTAAGCAATTCCCCCCCCCCTTGGAGAGGGGCATTTTTCTGCTACTGAAAAGTAATTTAATTTCCTTTTCTTATTTTATGAATTCATAAAATATTTAATTATAGAATGGTAAATTATGAATTTAAGATTTAGCTGGGAAAGATAAATGTCAACAAGAATTAGTTAAAGTTATAATATCGTTAAACAATAACATAGCTGAGTATAAACTCTTATACTGTTTTATGCAAACTCTTATACTGTTTTATGCACATTTTGTTATATAAGAGTATTTAGAGTGCGGCCCATGAAAACAACATTAAAAAAATTCGATTGATTCTCATTTCAGTGCATTTCATGAGAAAGGCATTTAGGTATTTCAGCCTGGCAATGTAAGAAATACTGTTCAGCATACTGCGGTGTAAGAGTGCAACATTTGTGGAAATGTGCATAAAGTGTCCTGCTTTTTGAGAAATCATAAAGCATTATTTATACACTGTGATTTTGTAATATGGAGCATTATTTATTTCTCCTGACTGATCATGCCTTCTGAAACATTCTAACTTCTCCACAAAAAAAAAAAAAAAAAAAAAAAAAAAAAAAACTCATTTCATCTATATAACATATGTTTGTTTTCCTTTGGTAGCATAAACTGAGTCCAAACTTCTAACAGACCTAGACCGAATTATTGCTGTGTCTGAAAAGAACTGGCTCAAATTTCTCACTGGCATAACAGTTCAAATAATGCACAATAAACAATAATGCAAATAATGCATAATAAACAATGTTAATTCTATAATACAATGTTGTCTGAACTAACAGAAACCTAGTAACGTGTTCTAGAGTGGCAGAAACTTGCTCTGTCTTAAAATCCAAAACCCTTGACTTAAATACTCTCAAACTAATTCACATTAAACAGAAAAGAGAAGGACAGTAAAAACTGAAATCATAAATAACTGGTTAATTTAAATAATAACTTTATAAACCAAAAGAAAAAAAATGAAAATTTACCTAACAGTATATTTGTGAGAGGAAACTTAGATCATCTTTTAACAAATATGATAAGTTTAACTTTCAAACTAATGGTAATGTAAGAGTTATGTTTTAATGAGCAAAATGATTCAACTTCTGTTACAGATAAGACTATCACAAAAATCTTAATGGTTGGAGATTCTAATTCTCTTTCTGAAATTTATTGCTTAATATTATAAGACATAAATTGAAGGCATTTTCATCTCTGCATTTGTAATTTAATAATGATTTGCTTTCTTTTATTACTATGTTATAAAATTATGATGACAATAACCATTGATTTCGTACATTAACTAGCTAGCTCCTATGGTGCAACCTGCATCAGGAAGGTGGGTTACTCCGGTCAGAGTCATTACACCACTGATTTTCCCCAGGGCTTTCCCTCAATGTTTCAGTTTCAGGATCTTGCAGAATGATCAACAGTTTGGTTTGAACTTGCCCGGATATGGAGAATGATTTTAAAAACCTTCCCCTCCCTTTCTTTTCCCATCACTTGGACATGAATTTTGACTTAAATACTCTTAATTGTTAAATACAGAATTCTAAAATTATAGTTTTTTAAAATTTTACAAATGGTTTCAATATGGAATACATCCTTTATAACTGTGAAATATCCGTCATAATGGTATGTACTATATTAAGTTGTATATCAAGATGTGATACAAATACATTTCATAAAAATTGGACCAACTGTGTTGTCTTAATTTATTTTTAATTCAGTATTGTAGCCAAACTAAGTCAAGAGATTTTTCAAGATAGGGTAACTTTTTTCAAAGTGTAGAGTAATATGGTGTCGCCTCTTTTATCTTCTGAAATATGTAAGTAGATTTCTCTGGTACTGGCACATACAGTGAAATGTCCTCAGAATATATAGAATTAGAGCTATAAATATAATAAAATGTAAACAAATTGTCTTTAATTACTGAATGGTCACAATGGAAACAGAATTTATTAAAATTTATGCAAGTTTTATTGAACAAATTATGATATTGAGTCTTCAAGCATAAGTTTGCTTTGATGATTAAAAAAATTAATTAAAAATGAAATAAAATTGGAAGTCTCTATTTACTTTAAATTTATTTTAAAATAAGATCAGTTCTCCGATCTCCATTATTAAGAAATACCTCTCTACTATTTCAGGAAGATTATACAAAAATAAAAATGAACTGTATATATACATGCACATTTAAAAATCAGCTGTAAATAAAAGAAGTACATAAATTAATTAAATAAACATCTCATTCCAATCAGCTCTCTATAAGGACCACCTTCAAAAATTAAAATTAATTTTCCGAGAAACATAAATAAATAAAATTATTCAGTATCACCGATTGTTGTGTTCCTTATGATAACAATATTGATAAAATACTAAAATTACATGGAACATTTAATTTCATTTTAACTTGGTTACACTGTGGATGAAACTTATATGTATACAACTTGCAAACATGAATATTTAATTAACTAGGAAATAAATATGCAAATCTAAAAAATAATAAGAAACTTTGTACATTATTTGTTATTTGGGCCCAAAGCATAATACTGTATGTTACCAACAGGTTTTGGCTTAGGCAAAGCACATGAAGGCTATCTGCCTAAATTGAGGTATGTCTTTGATGAAAACCTGCACCTAAGGAAAGCTAACTTATATGAATGTTATATCTGGAATGAAACCATGAAATCTCTGATGCAGCCAACAGGCTTTACTTTATCTCGTTCAAGGAACTGTTTGTCTAGTGTTTCTTTTTAAATTGTGCTTAAAGCATTTTCAAATTGTACTTTACACTATTGGAAAGTATTTGATACCTACCAATTTTTGCATAAAGTGAAAGAACTATGGTAAAATATTGTAATTGAACTGAAATAATTATTGAGATGAATTCATCCCCCTTTTTTTCTGCATATATCTGATCTATCTTTTTGAAAGGTAATCAGATTTCTTCTCATAATTCTAAATCAGTGATAAAAACTTATTAAAATTTTAGTTTTCTGTAAATCTTAACTATTATTAATGAAGCATTTTATTTCAGTTAATTGGTTGAAAGGTGATAAAACAAAACAAAATGAATACAGTTTTGGTGAAGATGAGGGGAATCTTCCTTCTGTATTGTTAGAAGGCTACTCCCTTCCAGAAAAACTTTCCAGAGGCTACAGTGTAATGAGTAAAACACCAAAGCTCAGCCACAAGTCATCTAGCCATGTAAGTCTGACACTTTCCAAAGCTAGAAAACGCATGGAAGATCATTTGACAAAAATTGGATTTGGTCGAAATAAAAAAATACATGGAAGTTTTGAGGAACCATTAGGTATCTTTCTTTTCTGCATGAATTTATTATGTTTGCTTATTATTTATTACATCTACTGTAGATTTGAATGTTTACTTATAAAAAAATGAAGTTTCATAATATTAACTTTACACATTATGTTCTATGTAAAATTTCCTGTGACTTTTATGAAAATGTGCATTTGTAAAAACTGTTAGTTTGTATAAATGACATTTTCTTGTTTTCAATAAATTTCTCTTTTGAGTAGTTACTGAAAAGTGTGATTTTCATGTATGAAAATTATATTTGTATCTCATAAAATTTATTTTAAGATGTGCATTTGTTGGATAAATTGTCTAAATAAAATAATTTTTTCCCTAAATAGCTATTGAAAAGTTTTGAATTTTTATGTATAAAAGTTATTTATATTTTGCATTTTTTTCTAAATTATTGATAAGTTTCTAGTTATTGATAAGATTTCAGGAATTTGTTTTTTCATGTTTAATTTTACAAGAAGTTTTTGGCAACTTTAAAAAGAGAAAGAGACATAGCTGAATAATTAAATGAGAAGAATAATTTCACCAGCATACATGAAAATATGAAGTTTGAATACATTATGAGTTATCGTACAAGGGTTATTTGTATATTTTTAGAATGATTTTTTTTTCAATATAATTGGTATTTTATATAAAAATATTTTTATTTTTAAAATGTTCTGTCTTATGGCCTTTACTGTAGGCTATCAATCTATATTTTGACTTCAAAAAGAGGGTATTTTTTTATAATAAGCAATGGTTGGTATTTTACTCTTTCTTTCTCTCTCCCTCTCTCTTTTTTTAACTGCTTTCTGGAAAATAAAACCAGGTAGTTTTATTTTTTAAGTTCTTTAACCTATATATGAATTTCTTAAAACATAGGTTACTAAAAAATTTATTGATATTTCAATCTGTTTAATAATAAAGTAGATTTTCTAGACATTTTGTCGGCTATATGAAATTAATTCTTTTTATGCAATCACGCTTTCCCGGAATGTGTTTATTAGTTTCAGATTTAAAAATTATGAGTTTGAAATTTTGAATTCTATGCTAAACAGGTTTTAGACTGACTGTTAGGCTAATAAGTGCATTTTCTTCCTATATTTCTTCAGTTCTATTCTACATTTATTAATTCATTTTAAAATCCCTAAAATTAAAATAAGGAATTGGTTGCTAATTATATTCCCAAAAATTCATTTAGCAGCGGTGCTTTTGTGGTACTTTATTAAAGTCATTTAAAAAGTAAATTATTAAGAAAAAAAATTAAATTAGCTGAATTTAGTTATTATGGCAACATTCTTAGAGTAGAAATTTTTAACTAAAGGAATAAAAAGTGAACCATTGAAGCTGTTGAATTAACATTCAAATCTATATTTCTTCCTATTTTTCTATAAATATGCATGATTGTATTTATTTATTTATTTTTAAATGTTGGTATTGCAAGTTGTTATCCTGTGTTCACAGATACTAGCCGCAGAAATTCCTGTGATTTTGATCATGGTTTGAAAGAAGGAGAATTTCTGGTTGCTAAAGAGAGCAAGTTAGTGAATATTACTGCAGTGAAAGAAGGAATGCTGCGACTCTCATTTCAAATGGAAGCTTGTTTGCCTGGCTCTATACCTGATCCTCCACTTTTAGCTGCTGCTTTAGATTTAGTATGTAATTTAGTGTTTAATTTAATAGCTCTGAATAAAATTATAAAATGCATTTTCTGTATACAGTGGAACCTCGTTCAAGTTTTTTCATTTTGTCACAAGTTTTTATACCTCTATGAAAGTTCAATGAAGTTTAGCTACAGTAGCATGGACTGTATTGAAAACTGCATTTCATTTACTGGATTAAAAAAAAATTATCTCGTCAAATTTCTTCAGCCTATTTAGGCTATTACAATTATTTCATTCCAACTGGTAACCTTAGTTCTGCATTTGGTAAAAGTACTTCAAAAAAATGAAGGATGCCTTCACTTTGTAAACAAATGATTTTTTCTTAATGATTTAATTCAACAATTAAAGCAGCCTAATGATGATGGTGTGGCAGTGGCAAGATGCTCCTTACCATGAATGATGCCAAAATCAAAACAAGAGGAAAATTCTAAATGCACTGTTATGTATTTTGACGGCTAACTGTGAAATTTTTTTTAATGTTGCTATGTAATATTATAACAGTGGAACCTCAGATCATGAATGTTTCTCAGCATGAGTTCATGAGCAAAAATTATCTGTGGGGGGGGGAGGAAGAGGGCGGCTTGCATGGTGAGTGGTGTCTTGAGGTATGAACACTCAAATCAGTAACAGTTGATCTTCAAATGTGTTTTGAGGTAACCTATTCCACAGAATTAACACTCAGGGACTTTTTGGAATATTGTTTTAATATTTTCCATTGCTTAAAGTGAACAGTGAGCGCATATCTGACCTATGAGGCTATATATATATATGGTATGGGAAATTTTTTGTGATATCTTTAAAAAATATGTCTTATGTCTATCTTGAAACATGTCCTGGAAATTTAAGTAAAATAGTTAAATGACATAGATCCAGCTGTAAAGTACCAAAAGCATTTTGACATCAAAATCAATAAAATACCTCTTTTCTGATAACAGTTTGAGAAATTTGGGCTTTCTTAATGAAACCCTGTGCTGATCAGAGAAATAAATCTCATTAATAAAGCTAAGTAAGAAATGACTTATTATGAATTCAGCCTGGAAGAAATTGCACCCAGATTTTATTGTAGGCAGAGTCTTCCAGGGCTTTGAAACTTAAGATTTTTTTTAAATCTATCATTACTGTGTCTCTAGACTTGTCCTTGGAAGTTAACAGTAAGCATAGGAAGGAGTTACTAAAAGACCATAAAAATCAACTCAACGAAGAAGAACTGCAATGACTTCAGAAGCAGCAACAAAGAGCGACTGAGTAAATGTTTTGTAAAGGAAGGAAAAATGAACGATCCTTGTTTTTTGAATGATAAAAATTTTGTATTGAGGGACAAGATTCAAACTTTTCACATAGCAATATCATCCTGAGCAGTAACAAGATACAGATTAAGCATTTTCAGTGGCGTTGTCATGTCTCTCATTTAAGAAACTGTTTAAAGTGTAGACAACAGAAAATCAGATGGGACAAATTTTTTGTGAAATGAAGGCCGAGTGTGTTTCAAGCAGGGTCAAGTGGTGCTGAGAAAGAAAGAAAAAAATGGAAGAAGATGCCCTTGGAAGACAGTTAACTGATTTTTTTATGGATAGGGACTTCTCATCCAAATTATATACAAAAGTGCAGTAATTTAATATATCATAATGCATCATAATATTGTAGCTCACTCAAAAATTAGGCTAATTCAGCATTTTTTACTCTTTGCAAGTTTAGATACATTTAGTACTGAAATTTGGTAATTAATAATTCTAAAAAATTTTATTAAATAATTATTATCAAGTACAATAAATTATAATAATTCATAAATGCACGTTATTAATGCATTTATTTAGAGGTGAAAAACAAAACTTTCTAGTTCTTCAAAAATTCAGCGCTTTATTATGTACAAATGAAATTTTAAACAGTATCAGTTGTACACTATCAGTTGAAGAAACAAATTTATTTAATTAATGAAATCATTAACTTTTTCCGCACACAGGTTATCATTTTTATTATTATGTATGGATTTGATCATGTTTCTGAGCATATATTTCATTTTAAATAAACTGCTGCTTTTGTATGTGTATTTTACTGTCTTTTAAAAGTAATTTTGAATTTATGTGGTAAATATTACTTAGAATTTATTTGTGCCTATCTTTTTTAGATCCTATGATCAAACTTTAAATATATTGCCAAGTCTTTTCATAACTAGTTTGTGTAAAATCTACCCAAAGCAAATAAATATGTCCAAATAATATGTGTGCAAAATGTGTAAAATGTAATGGCAAAAGTAGCGTAAAGACTCATTTTAAGGAAAACCTCGTGTATGGGATCTTTGAAAGTGATATAGTCTATTTTTACTTTAATGTGAGGATATATATATTATTTTAAAAGGAATTTCTTTGGTAGATATGCTGTTATGTTAATATCAGATGTTTTGATGTTTTTTATTAAAGAATTCATTCATTCTACAAAACTTTTCCTGTTGTTTTCTCTACTATGTTCCTCCCCCCCCCATGTACTTGCATTATTTTTATTTTGGGTTTAAACTGTATCTTCACAGCTCTGTAGTTGTACAAGCTGTTTCAAGCCTGATAAAATTGAATTATTTTATTCATGAGTTTTTTGAAAAATGGGCTATTAAATAATCACTGATTTTATTGCTTCTGAGACAGTCTATTGAAAATAGTATTGCAAAATTTGCAGATTCTGAATTATCTTAAGCCAAAACAGCAAAATTCCTTTTATTTGCCAAAAGTGGAACTTGAGTTTTGCCTGGACTTTTGTAAGAAGAATGGCTTGAATTTTTGAGAGAAAATATTTTAGACTGAGGCTCCTATCGTTGAAAATGAATACTGTGATGTTGCTTTAAATTTTTATCTTTTCTAGAATGGCAATAAAATTATTGTTTACTTGGAATTTTCTAGGTTAAGTTCAAAATGTTGAATAAAGATGTGAATTTGTTGGAGCCACGCTTCATATTTAAATTATAGTGAAACACCATAGTGTTTAAAACCAGCAATGTGAAATTTTATTATTTTACAGCCATTTCACTATACCTGCATTAGCTGCTGATGAAATTGTTTAAGGCGTAATAAAATCCAGTTGGTTATTGAAAATTCAGATACCGAGTCTGATAATTACAAAGCAAAAATTTTGGTGATAGTTTAGCAACAATATCCAAACTTTGTAGAAAAACAAAATTTTGTAACATTCAAGTAAACAGTGATAATATGTAGATTTTAGGAAAAAAATAAGAATAGGAAAACTTTAAGTATTAAAACAATCAACAATAAAAATGATGCTCTAAAAATATAAAAGTGATCAAATTATAACATTAATATATGTGTATAATATATTTAAAAATATATAGGTTTTATGTAAAAGAATTTTTGCTATACAAGTTTTAATTATTTGTATGCAAATATTTCAAGTGTAATATACAAATTTGAAAGGTAAAAAAGTAAACAAGAAATGGCATAATCTATAATCTGCAGAATCCACTAATCTGCTCAACCTTTGCTTAATTAATAGGTTTAGCATACCTAAGCACATGGTGTCATTATTTGATTCAGAAATATCCTATTACATATCAATTTTGATAAATTTTTGTTAATTAATTATAGTTATACATCTTTGTTTCTGAAATATGTGACTAATATTTTTAATTTACTATTAGAAAATGTCACTTTCTGTATCTCTTAGAAGGATAATGATTATATTAGGCATCGTTAGGTGGAATACTCTAAAATGAAAGCATAAAATTCATACTTTCACTTCAGGAGTGTATATATTATTATGAATTTTGTATATATGTAAATAATTTTAGTGAAATTGTACAGTACAGGTTTATCCATTGGGTGCTTAGGGCAGGTGCCTGGATAAACTGGATCCAACCATTTTTTTATAAGGATACTGTTTTGTTTTTTATTTTTATATATATATTTACAATAAAAATTAAACATTAAAATTTTGTCTCATTTGTTAGCGAATCCAAGAGCCCCTCCTTGGATCCGCCAGTACCAAATGGGGCCCGTAGATCTACACCCAGGGCCCGAAATGAGCTGAAATTGGCACTGAAATTGTAGTATCTTTTGTATAATATAACATGAAAACTCAGGAAAGAATGAAACTGTGCCAAATAAATAAGAGTAAAGGGGCAAGTATATTTAACATTAAGTCTATCTCACTAAATTGGCAAGATACTGTCAAGATGGCAGTGGTTTTGGTGACTAATTTTTGTCACCAAATTTGGCAAAAAATTTCTAAAACCCGCCAAACTTGGTGGCATTTTGGTCTGGTCCCTGTATAACTGTAATTGATCACTGTGTGTAACCATAACCATGTATACCTCCAGTAATTTTGAGAAACAGAAGGTACTAGGGATTTTTTGAGGCCAGGAGTAAACTATATAAGACTAGAGGAAGCATCAGCTCTCTGTTTTTAGTTTAGTTTTCCCTGCAAGCTTTGCCCTTTGTATTTCATTCTGTTTAAAATTTTTAAGAGTTTAAAGTAGTACCTACTGATTTTGCTCTGTCACACTGAAAACAGCTGTACAAATCGTAAAATGTTTCTTTTGCGAAAATAAATTTTATCAAGTTCTGTGTGCATTCAATCCATTATGAGCTTGTATGCATGCAAGAGTATTAATAAATTAATAAATATGCATATATCTGTGTGTATATTGAAGTTACGCATTTATACAATATAGAATATATTTTTTATAATAATATTTCGAAAATGTATTAATTTTACATTTGATTTAGTTTGTATGTTGTTAAAATTTTGGCATATTTCTCTTCTTAGAAAGCTCCAGTTGTCGCCCGTGCAGCTTTGTATTTAGAATGTGCACATTTTGTTCATCGTTGCAATAAAGGATGCTGGCCTACTTGGATGAGAACAAACTTACCTATAGTTCGGTCTTCAAATCCTCATGCAAACAGAATAAGCCATTCTGATTTAAGAAGAACAGATACTCTTCAAAAGGCTTCTGGCAAATTATTTTTTCAGTGGGCTGAGGCAAGTGTAAATTATTTTTGTAATATTTTTGCTAAGTATAAAACTTAGGAAATATGTTTAAGAATTTTAATAAAATTATATTTTTCTCCTATAATGGCATTACTTCTATCTGCCATTTTAATACTTGCAGTCATTATGTCAAATTGCAAAAAATGTGAGTATTTTAAGAATTTAAACTTATAATGAAGTAAGGTATGTTTAATAATTTTATATCCTCAAAAATGAGTGAGATGCTTTAGTATGAGTAATGTTATGTGCTTTGTCTGCAAAGCTTCTTGTAATATTAATTGAGACAACAGACTATCCTTTACTGTGGTATTGTAAGAAATCATCTCATTTGTTGTGCCTAACATGTGTAACATCCTTATGACTGGAATGACCAAAGGAATAAATCTAATTCTCCCTTTTAGGAATATTATTTCTACAACATAAACAGCCTCAAGAACATCAGCTATAAAATTCCAAGAGTTCAATTCTGCTCGTAGAAAACTGATCTGATTGTATTTGCGGGCACTCTGAGAAGTTTGCTCGAGAACTGGAGATCAATTATTGTTTGTGAAATTATGTCCTTGGGGAAGACCGTGAAACTCGAAATAAGAATGCAAAATATTCTCTTTCAGTCCCATGTTTTTCCCCAGGGCCATAATTTTCAGATAAGAGAATGGTATTTAGGAGGCAGAGAATGAATGCTATCCATGATGTCATGGAGGAAGATGGCGAGGAGCTGACCACAGACATATTAATGGGTCTGCATCATGAGCAAAAGCAAAAGTTTATGGAGTTTGAAAAGGAGTAGAAAAAGCCGGAGGAATATCTAACTTCAAATATAAAATGTGAAAAAGAATACAAAATTCTGTATCAAAGCCTACTAAGTAAGAATTTTAATAGTTAGAGCATTGAATCTATGTATCAGCAATGTATTGTCACATTTCCACTAAATATTGAAAAGGAGTTGACAGTATCTGATAGTGTGAAAATCACCCAAAGAGAATGATTCCAGTGATTTCATTAATTAGCTGCAATTCTTCCCAAAGATACAAGTTAGGTTTATTTGTTTTGTATATTTTGTGCTAATAATTTTTATGTAAATATTTTTCAATTGTGGAGCAAATCTTTTTTCATTATTTCATATGAGGAAATTTACTTTGATATGTGAATGCTTTGGATTACTATCATGTTTCTAGAATGAATTATGCTCACAAATTGAGGCACCGGTAGCATGCTGAATACTGAAGGGAACTAGCTATTAAGAAAAGTTGTTAAGTCCTTCTAAGAGGGCTGTGCATATATGGTGGTGGTAGTCATCTTAGAGAGGTGAAATTCAGTACTACTGTTTATTTATGCTCTCAGAAACAATGGTCATTTTTAGAGATCATCTAAAGGAGGTGGTGTTCACAATAGGATTTATAGTATTTTGAATATGATGATTAATGATATAACTTGAAGACTGATGAGTACAATAGTAGTTAAAATGCTCTGTTGAATTAATAAAAATTGAATGAAGAGGGGAAGTTAAATGATCTTACCGTAATAAATAAACAATTTTTTAATCTGATATATGTCATAAAAAATAATTAAATAAGAACATTTTTTTTCTGAAAATGCACAAGGCCAACAAAACAGATAACTTTTTATTTTGCATATCATTAACAATTTTTAAATTAAATCATATTACACTCTGGAATAATGTGTCATGCTTTTATCGGGTTTTAAAGCAAGTTTCCCACCACCACAAATGTTGACTGCACAAACAGTTCGTGTTGTCGTGTTTAATTATATTTTGTCAAACGGTTTTTGGCATTTTAAAGAAAGAGACTTGCTTTAGAACACTGTGTTGTGTAATTTGTAAAAAATTATTGTTATCATCTGAAGTGGTACTGTCACACTACCAAATTAAAACCATCATTTACTTCCAGTTCTGTTGCAAAAAGCCAGCTACAAAATGTCAACAAATCATGTGTACAGCTTTTACTAATTTTCTATCATATGACATTAATTTTCTATCATATGACACTGTGAAGGTTTGGTACCGAACGTTCAAAAACGAGGACTATGACATTCAAGCAGCAGAGTGCTGCTGGCCGGCCTACTGACGTTGATGAGGCCCACCTGCCAGAACTTGTGGAAGAAGATCAGTATGCAGCCATTTGAGAGCTTGCTAAGGAGTTTGACATTAGTGCCATGTCCATTACTCGTGCTATGCAACGCATAAACGTTGACTTCGAATTCAATCGCTGGGTGCATGAGCTCACTCAAGCAGATAAGAACAGATGTGTTCAAGCCTGCATTGATCTGCTCTAATATCAGCACAGGGACAAAACTGTGGGCCGGATCATGACTTGTAATGAAAAGTGAATTTATTTCAACAACACAGGCTGAAAAGGGAGTTGGTTTGTGCTCGGGGAGCCCATCAGCAGTGTCGCAAAGTGCAATTTGATTAACAAAATGATCATGCTTTGTATCTTTTGGGATTGCTGTTGTACAAAGAGTACATAGAAAAACATATAATCCTCAACAGTAAGAGTGTACAGCGAGATGATAATCCATGTTGACGCTGCTATCAACGAAAGGTGCAGAAAGGACCACATAAGTCTGCATTCACTGACTGGACTCTGTAAGGACTCGAATGGGATTTTTTTCACACCCACCATCTTTTGCCACTCCAACATTGCTTCTTTGGAATTCTACCTTTTTTCACATCTGTAGCTACATCTTGCTGGTGTTATAGTTCATTCTCTGGAGGACGTCTGAAATGAGGTTGATCTTGTTTTGGACTCATGGCCACCAAGTTTTTGGGCCGAAAGGTTCGAAGAACTACCAAAACGCTGGCAAAAAAATCATAGATTTGGTTGGTGATTACAACCCGCACTAAAGGTACTGCTTTCAAGTTTTTCCCCCCATAACTTTATTAACCCCTTAATGACTGATAATTTTCTAGCTTGAAATTTAAAAAAAATTAATTTTTTAGGAAAAGCCAACATTCAGGATTATTGTAATTGAATGTTGATTTTCCAGTAAGCCTGGAAAATTTAAGAAATATGTGTTTTAAACATTAAAAGAAAATTTTTTCTTGTGTGATAAATTTCAAAGCATGAGATGCAAAGGCCAATGTCACAATCTGATCAATAGTACTGAGTTTTCTTCCTACATCTCTTATTGTTTTCATCTCTTCTGGAACAAAAAACTTTGCATTCTCTTGATGGTTGTTGTTTCTTATCAATTGGGGGTAACAGTCTAATAAAACGCCTTTCAATCAAACAGTTTGGATTATCCTCCAAGCTTGGCCGACCTCTTTTTGGAATGGTGTCTGATGACTGATACATTTTAATAAGTTCATCTACTGAAGATAAACAAACCTGTAATGTGTGACAGTTGTAGGTTTTTTGACAAGTTTGTTATGATACTGTACATAGAGTTTGGAACGAGCTTAGGCTCGAGCTTCATACTCGATAATTTTTGGCCATTTTCCAGTACTCGATACTCGAATCAAAGCTCAACGGGCTTTCAAGCTCTGTACATACAAAATGTTTTTCGCTTTACATTTTATTTTTAATTTATTTGTCAACATATTTCTTAAGAATCCTAGAATACATTTTATTGGTGTCATAAAACTGTTCCTTTTTAAGTACATAAAAACTAAACCTTTTGCAATTGTATTACGGATAAGTAAAGTTAAGCAGTGAAAGGATTATAAGTATACAGTGGTGGCCAAAATTGTGGACACTTTTGGAAATTTTTATGTTTTTGAACTTTGTATGCTTATAGAAAATGTTACATTTCGCAAAATGCAAACTTGTATATATCATTTTAAAGAGAATTTATTACTGAACTCAATACAAAACACAAAATTCAATTATTTGCAATACAAAAAAAGTTATATGTACTTTAACATAAATAAAAAACACAGTTATGAAGTGGTTTGTAATGTCTAGCTTTCCTGGCCAATCACTGTTCTTGTTCTGAGAACCAATCAAATGTTAGTAACTGCCAGTAGAAGCTGACATCATGTTTACACTTGAAACAATTCATTATTTTGCTTTGTTCTGTAGAAGGAGGACCTGTTTCTTATACACTGCAATTACAAGTAGGAATTTTTGTAAAAATTTTTAATATTTAGTCAAGAAGCAATGACATCAAATAAAAGAGTAGATTGGACACACAGAAAGAGATGTAATATTATTGTGTTACGAGAAAGTGGTCTTTCCTATGCTGAAATTGCAAGACAGGTAGGTGGTTCAGTGACTACATGTGGAGCGAAAGTTTTGTTTACGATATCAGGAGACAAATTCAATAAAAAACAAAGAAGGAAAAGGCCGAAAAAGGTGCACCACATCTATTGATGACAGAAGAATAAAATGACTATGTCTCCAAGGTAGAAAAATGTCATCAGCAGTCATCAGAAGTGATCTGAATGATGTTGGTGTTTCTGTCAGTTCAAGAACAATCAGGAGAAGATTAACAGATGTTAAACTGAGAGGTCGAATTCCACAAAAGAAGCCTTGTCTTAATTTTCAGCAACGAAAAAAAAAAAAAAAAAAAGACTACAGTGGGCAAAGGAACACATTAATTGGACAGATGATCAGTGGTCACAAGTTATATGGAGTGATGAAACTAAGATATCGTTATTCGGTAGTGATGGGTGAAAATATGCAAGACGTAGAATAGGAGAAGAGCTACATCCTGACTGCATTTAAGCAACTGTGAAGAATCCAGTTAGTGTTATGATTTGGTCATGCATGTCAGCAGATGGCATTGGTCGCCTTCATGTCATCGATGGGACACTGAATGCCAGAAAATACATTCACACTATTCTAGAACCAAAACTTCTACCTTCCATCAGAGATCTCTTTCCCAACAATTCCTCGTTTACTTTTCAGCAGGATTCTGCTCCTTGCCACATGGCCAAAATATCGAAAGAGTGGTTTCGTACAAAGAGCATTAAATTGTTGTCATGGCCAGGAAACAGTCCTGACCTCAATCCTGTCGAAAACTCATGGCACCGCTTGAAAACTCTTGTCCGAATGAGGCACCCATCAAATAAAAGAGAACTAATTGAGTCTATAATTGTTTCCTGGCATCATGCAATAACGAAAGAAGAGCTTAAAACTCTTGTCAGCTCAATGAAATGTCCATGTGAAGCTGTAATAAAAAATAAAGGATACCCTACTAAGTACTGATAACTCCCTGCAATCATCACTATCTAATGTATATCGATAACTTTTATCGTTTAACATTTTTTGTATTGCAAATAATTGAATTTTGTGTTTTGTATTGAATTCAGTTTTAAATTCTCTTTAAAATGATATATACAAGTTTGCATTTTGTGAAACGTAACGTTTTCTATAAGCATACAAAGTTCAAAAAGAAAAATTTCCCGAAGTATCCACAATTTTGGCCACCACTGTATACAGTAAAATAATGCTTTTACTTTTACCTGAAAGTGTTGAAACTTGTCTTGTTAAAGAGATGAATTTATTGCCGCCTACAGTACATAGAAATGCAAGGATTTTTAATCTTTATCGATAGAAACAATATACTTTTAATTTTAAGTAGTAATGTGTATGTAATATTAAATAATGATTTTCTTAGTATCAGTAAAAAAAAAAAACAAAATTACAAATTGTTGAACATTGAAAATGCCATGTTTCGCAAAACAAATATATATTACAGAGTACTAAACAGAGAAATACACGCAGAGACACAAGCAATTCATGTTTTAACAAATCATAAACAAATAGAATGGGATTAAGTTTCAGAATACTTCGGACCTCACAACAAGCTAATGCATCGAATGTGACAGAAAGCTATACTTCCTTTTAACCAATAAGAATGTGATTACTAAAATCTCAACACAAATTTAGTCGAAATGTTAGCAATATTTTTGTAAAAATGGTTCATATTATTGGAGTTACAGTCGTGAATACACGCATATTCTAGAATAGTATTTTTTATTTTTTTTAGAAATGTAATCATGCTGAAAAACAAAAGATCAACTGTTTGGAGTCATTTCACCAAGGCGAAATGTTTATTATAAGTCTTTTGATAATGTAAGTATGTCAGCTTGAAATGCTCGAAAGCCCGAAAAAATAGTCAAGTTCTAGCTTGACCTTATCCGAGCTTCAAATCATCGAGCTTTACCAAACCCTAACTTTACATCTACCATGTCATTTGTATGGACTGTAGATAGCATGGTAAAATCTTTTTTATCTTTCTGTTTCATGGGAAGAACCTTACTTTGATGAATAGTAACATTTTCGCCTTTTGCATTTCTCTTTTTTACCAAATCTTGAGTCATTACATTTTGGTTTAGTTTTACAGTTTCATAAATATCTGTCTGAAATTTTAAAAGCATGTCTGCCAATTCTGGTGAGGTATAAAAACTATCTGTTATCAGACAATATCGGATGTGTTTTAGCAGGAGTTTGATAAATGACACCACAACTTGAATTGATTGGGGCAGATCTTTATCTTTATCTTTTTTTTTTTTTTTTTTTTGCATCAAAAGCCATACTTTTTCCAGTATGTATAATTTGTGACCATATATACCCTGAACTTGATTCACATAACAAATACGATTTTACTCCAAAACGAGATCTCTTTTTGGGCGCATACTGTTGCCATCCTAAACGAGTTTTGAAGAGCATGAGTGTTTTATCAATTACAATATCATGTCCAGGAGTTACAGCTCTTTGATATAATTCATTCAAGTGCTCTAACACTGGGCCAGATTTTATGCAGCTTGGGATTTGGATGTGTGTTACAATCAAAAGTTTCATTATCTGCAAAATGCAGAAACTTGTGTATTTCATAAAATCTATTAGAAGGCATTATGCTTCTGAAAAAAGGTGTTGAAAGGGAAGGATTTTTGTACTTGGTTTTCTTACAATATCTTGTAAAATAACTATAGTGAGAAATTTAAGAATTTCTTTCTTTGTGGCAGGTATCCAAGGTTTTCTATTTTTGGATAGGGGAATCCTGGAGAATTTTGGCATTATTTGGCATATCTGTTTGTTTCCCAAATGATGAGATCCACTAAATTGTCATTTACAGAATACTCAAAGTATTGTAAGACAGCAGAACTTAAATCAAAATTTATATTTACATCTGGTGTTCCCAAAAATTTAAAACGTGGGGATGTATGATCTAATAAAGTAGATACACTTTTAGACCATACTCGTCCAGGCAACAATACAGATCCATCATCACTGCTCTCAGATTCACTAACCGAACTTTCATAAGAATCCGTTACTTCCGAATCATCTCAGATCCATTTATACTAAATCAGAATCTAATTCACTATCTGACTCTGACTCCATAGTGTACAGAATATTAAAAAATACCGTAATTTCCGGAAGAAAGGGCGCATCAGCGTAAACGCCGCACTTGAGAAAAATGGCGGGAAAAAATTTAAATTACACAGAAACGCCGCATCAGCGTAAACGCCGCAATAGATTAAATTGCGCGTGACATCGTCGTGGGCCGTATTGATGCAAAAACTCAACCTAAGTCCTGATATATGACATACCAGTTAAGAAAAATGCATAAAATGAAACCATAACTCAAAAATAAATTAAAGGTAAGAAATGTATAGCTTCTGTGCCGTTTAGAGACATTTTCAAAAATTTTCCGCTCCCTAATTAAAAACTATCCAACAAATACTTGTACCCTAACTGATGGGATCTGTATTTGGCAGAATGCCAAGAAAAATCCATTCATGCTGAAAGGGAAATACGTCAGAGTTCGTTATTGCGAGGCAGGTGGAGTCGTGTCCGCCTTTGAAAAAAATTGCAGAAAAGGCAGGGGTGGAAAGAGGATGGGTCCTGGAAGATTCATCGAATGGCAGAGGAGAGAGACTATTTAAACTGATGAGAATGTTGATTTGAAAGGGGGAAGAATGTTATTGTTCTGAGATCTCGTTTAGGGTGAATAAGGCATGTAGGTCCGTTCAAGGGAAAGAACGTAAACAAAATAACGTTCGCAAAAAGCAACTGAGTGGTCTTTTGTGTGGGAACAGCACCAATCTATGCACAATGACAAGGCCATCCAAACTATGTACAATGACCATCATAGGAAATACTTTATTTTTAGTGCACCTAAACGTCGCATGGGTAGAAACGCCGCACCCGCTGAAAATTTAAGTTTTAAACACGTAAACGCCGCGGCGTTTCTTCTGGAAATTACGGTAAGTATATTTTATCACAGAACAGAAACTATGTGTATTCACAAAGAGACTAACTAAGTACCTGGGTTAATGCTAAGGTTACAAAATGCATATCATAAATACATGTTTCATTAGTTCAAACATCTAGTTTTAAATAAACTAACTATCTCTAATTACATAAAAAATATTATTCTGCTACTGCCATCTGGTGTGTAAAATGAGAAATAAAACTTTTTCCGGGCAAAAGAAATGAATATGTTTTAATCTTTTTTGGCATGTTGCTTTTGAATGCTCCAGCCTGGAAATATCACAGGGATGAGAAATAGAGGGCAAAACCCCCCACCCGTCATTTTGATGGGTGTGAGTAGGAAGGGGTTAACCCCTTTCACTGTTGCTAGCTGATCATCCCTTTCCCTTTCCAAAAATGCATAGACATTTATTTAAATTTGGATCTTTTTAGGTGTTTTATGATTTAAACAAGAATATGAAAAATGTTAATAAATACTAAAACTTGAATGAAAGTATTTTTTATTTCCGTAAACTAAAACTAAATACATAGCAGGTAAATAAAAGACTGATTGAATCCACCTGAAATTATAAAATTCTCCTCTAGAGGCAAATTTTCCCCTGGTTGAGAAACCCTGCTGTACTCCACTGATGGTATGCAACTGCAAGACACCACTGTATTTCTATAATTGTCAGGACTACTGTTCCTTCTAATTGCCTTTGGAAACATAACTGGAGTCCTGAATAGGAACAGGGAGTTTACTCAAAACTTTATGTTTGTGCATGTGTAGAAGGTACAGTACAAATACGAAGGGCTAACTTTACCCTTTATTTCTCACAGCATACAGCCATTCCTGTACTTCGGGAAATAGAGACCAGCACTTATTATTAAAACGTAGAAAGTAAGAAGTAAAACTAACTAAACTAAATAAGAACTAAACTTAGATACCTTACAGAGACTAGTAACATGAAGATTTGTCTTTTAACACTACATATGTAGTAAGCGAAATGCAATGCATCTTCAAATATCAGGGAGAACTAAGTTCTGGCCTTAAAGGCAGATATGAACTGACTGAAAAGCATGCTCGTGGTAAGGCAGTGAGAAGTCTCGCTCTTTTCTTGGCTAAAAGCCACATCTTAAATACTTATACAGTTTACAACATCATTTGCATAAACAAAACTATTCGCGTATATTCTGGCCAGAAATGGAAAATTAGAGAGGATAGCAATGATGGTTTTAAAGTAAAAAAAAAAAAAAAAAAAGTAGTTAGTAAAACTTACATAATATCAGATTGGAGAATCATAAGCATTTTAATTATAGTGTTTTTTAATGAACAATTAGCATAGAAATTTTAACAAATCATCTCAGAATGTGAAAGTGTGATTGTTTTAATTATTTTCAAATTTCACTGTGCTAAAATGTGTATGATTAAATTCATGCAGAATAGTAATATTGTACTGAACAATTATAATCACTAGTCTTAACTTTAAGATTAATCAGTTTTAGCATTATTGCATTCTTTAGATCAAGGTCTAAAGCGATTATTTGATGGCGATATTTAATGAAACATATTGTGTGGTAGTAGATTGCTTTAGAAACTATCACTTTTTTGCCTGTTTCCTGCTTATGTAATTTGAAAATATTTTCTAGTGCTTCTAATCTCAGGGTCATCAGATGTGTAGCATATATTGTTTTATATTTTTATAATTATGGATAATATTTTGTACATCTTCCCATTTCAAAATATTCTTACATGCAGAAATGATATATAAATAGTTACTTACATCTTAGAAATTATTCTTCCTTATTTTTAGGCCATTGGTATTCGCTTAGAAGAACTTTTAGAAAAAGAAGAAAAAGAACAAACTATCAGTAGTAGTGATGATAACAAAAAACGTCAGTTAAGATTAGAAGATGAAGAGGAAGATTTTCTTGATGAAGGTAAATTTATTAAATATAATTATGTTCTGATTAATCAATGCTTTTTTTAAAGTGATTAGTGATTAAGGATGAGTTCTTCATTTGGACTAAAAAGAGTACTTGTATCTGTTAGCTTTAATGATAATTTATATTTTCTTAATGAAAGTTTAAAGTAGAGATTGGCCAAACACTAAATTTTCTCGAATCTGAATCAAAATTCTGAAAGATTCTCGAAGCTTTTGAATCTTAAATCTCTCAAAGCATTCATATAAAAAGAAAGGAGAACATTTATTTAATATTAAAAGTTTTCCATTAAAGTAAACTTTTAAATCCACATGTAATGAAAACAAAATTTTAGAATATAGTTTTTTAAAGTAAATCTATATTTCTTAACTTCTGAAAACCAGTGACCAGATACAGTATCAGTCACATTTACAGTGTCTCCAGAAGCCAGGTCTGATCAAACTCTAGGCCAAAAAAGTTCTGCCTCCCTTTCCTGAAGTTTTTAAAAGATAGATTGCAAAATGCATAGTCAGTTGACCTCCCTACTATTTCCTTACACAAATGTTTGTCATACTTTGTGAATTTGTAAATCCCCCCCAAAAGGAAAATATAATGTGTTGACATTACTGAAGACATATTGTACTGTAACAGTTCTGTTTTATTAATAGTTGTAAGCTCAGTGTTCCTCACATATTTCCCAAATATAATGAAAATATGAGCAAATTATGTATAGAAACAATTTTCATATTTACTTTAGGAAGATATGAAAATGTAGACATTGGAAGTGAAAGAATGATGTGAAAATAATCAAAAAATATAGTATGTTGAAGACAACATAGTCTCCTGGTTAATTTATGGAACATTACAAATTATAATAAACAGGCGATTTTTATTTATTAAAAGCAAAATGCTCAACTTACGCAGCTGAAATTATAATATGTATACATTATTTCATAGCAATCCTTCATGCCATACTTGAATTACAGAAAATTGTCTCTGATTTTACCACACGTTTCCTACTTTAAAAAGTTAGTATTGAATAGTGGGTCATCAGCAAGGTTAAATGCAAAATATTTAATTCAGAAATGTTTGCAACAGCAAAATCGTGAAAAAATTAGAAATCTTTTACTTGATAGGTTGTTTATATTATACTGACAGCTGCATATATAAAAATGGTAAACAAAAGTTTGTTGCCTATAAATATGCGTCAAGTAGCTTCTCCAATTCAGATCTTTATGATTTCTCCAATCTTATTTTCAAATAAAGAAATTTTTGCTGTGTTTTTTAAAGCAAGCAGTTTCTGATTTTAAAGGTTAAACATCAGATGTTAAAGGTTTTGGATGTTCTTGATAAAACTTATTCATGACTGTGCCTTTGAGTTTTGTTTCTATAATTTCTGATAACAACTGTGTTAATCACAAAATGTTTGAGATGCCATATAATGGTGTAACTATTGAATATGAACTCTGTTTGATGAAAAAGATTTTCCTGTTTCATTCAGTCTACTTATTGAAATGAAGGAATAATTGGCTGAACCAAACTGAAACAAATCAAACCTTTAATGTGCCATCTTTTAGTGATGCAGATAATAAAATGTACTATGCAAGTTTACTGCATTTGAGTAAATTTTACAACATAAGGTAGGATGATATTTTTTGTTTAGAATAGCAGTGTACTTCGATCAAAATTAAACTTTTGATAAAAGGAATGTTTCATTATTATGTATTTAATTTAAAAAATGAAACAAGGCATAGAAAAGATGTTAGTCAAACAAAATACTTTTCAAAAATCATATTGAAATAGTGGAAAATTTTCAGTGTTAAACATCCATATAAAGCATTACATTTAATTGATCCAAATCATAAACCATTATTTTTAGGTAATGATGATAAAAATACTCATCTTACTTCCATTTTTGCCCAGCATCTAGATTTACTTGAATCAGCTATAACCTTTGCTACTTCCCCACTTCTTGGCCACCCCGGTCACCAGACCTCAACCCCTGCGACGTTTGGCTATGGGTTTATCTCAAATGAGCTGCTTATGGTGATAATCTAAGCAATTTGGTGGAACTGAAAGATGCGATACACAGACATGTCCGAATTCCTCTTGATATGCTAAGAGCTGCGGTTAAGAATGCAGTAATACAATTTAACTTGCTTTTGGAAAATGATGGATGCCACATTGAACATGCTTTTTAACACATTTCAGAAATGATTAAACACATTTTAAACTGATGTCTTCATGTCTTATTTCGTTTAACAATATTGCATACAGCACCATTTCCCCTGCTGGTTAGTTTTTAAACTTCCCTCCCCCCCCAGAAAATAATTTCCCATGACCTCCTTTACATGATTACCGAGTTTGATAACCATTTGGCCCAGTATATATTTGCCATGTATATGGCCATGTATATATTTGCATGTTATATATGAAATGAGAAAATTTCAGTTCATGTGTAAAAAGATACAGATTTCTAATCTAAAGTAAATTTTTTGCTGAAGTCATAAAAAATGGATGCAAATTCTAGTGTGTGCAGGAAGCAATGATTGAACATTCCTTTTATATGTAAATTAAAACTGATGTTCAATACCCATAATCATAAATTTCAGTCAGGAAAACAAATTATAACTGAGTAGAGTAACTTTAATGTGTATATGGGTAACAATTACTTATTTGAACCATGTCCAAATGACACTCAGGAAGTCTGATGAAAGCACTGCTAATTTTTCATGTTTCCTGCTCTGAAATAAACCTAATGACTCTACAAAGTACATAATAAGAGCTCTTGAATATTGAGAATCTCTCTCTCTCCCCCTTTAAAAAAAAATGTAAATTAACAAAAGATATTTGAATAGCAGCTGAATTTTTAAATTTTTCAGAATCTTTTTAAATCAAAGCAAGTGCAGAGGCATGATTATTATCTCAATCATTAGCACAGATAAATACTATACATGGTATGCTATGTTTTCTCCAGAAAATTAATAATAAGGCTGCTAAGAGGTGATACTGATGATCTGGGTTCACTGAAATTACATTTCTCTTTTAATTTCTGTTAGACATCAGTAAAATTAATTTTTCAAGAATTTTTGGCTAAAATGTTTAAACAGTTTTTGTGTTAGCATTTAAAACATTTCTGCAAAGGAAAAAGTACAGATTTGAGTTTTCAAATTTCAAATCATCTGTGAGATTTTTGGAATTTGCGAATTCAACTACCCCATGTCTAGTTTAAATTTTTATATATAGTAAACTTTATAATCTAATACTTTTGTTTATTATGTTGCTGCATTCATTTTTAATGTTTCTTTACAGCATGTGTCAATGCCAGTGGATCCGACTGTCCCTTTGCTCTCCGAATTGCGGCCTGTCAGTTACTTTTTGAAATAACTGCATTTATGAGAGAAACATACCAATATTTACCTCATAAGTCAAGCCGCTTAATGTCTATCAGAGATAAACCAATGTTTGAACCCAGAAGCACTGCAAATCGCAGATGGAGCATGGCACTGAGTAGTGTTGGTTCCTTATCTGATCCTCCAGGTATATTTTTATATTAAGGCATTTTTTTTGAAAAGTTTTAAAGAATTGTTTTTAAAAAATTCTAATTTCTATAGAAGAATTATTAGAATTATGGTTCAGTTTTCTATAGCACTTTAAGAATTTGCAGAGAAAGTGCTGTAACCCAGAACTAAATTCAGATATAAAGCCCAATATGTTTTCACATCATCTCCATGAAATTTTGAATAATACCGAACTTTTTAGTTTTTAATACTGACTTATTTTTTTTTTTTTTTCCTAAAATTGAAAATGCAAGGAGGTATATATAAAACATGCCACAAAACTGATAGTACACTGAAACATTTTCGTAAAATTTCATAAATGAAATTATCGTCTACCACTTTTTTTAAAATTTTTGCATTTGGCTAATGTTTAAAAAGTTGTTTGGTTTTATTTTTTGCTTGCTTACTTTATTATGTGTTATTTAATGTTTTCATGTCTTGTAGTCTTAAGAATGAACAGAACAATGAAAATTGATAATTTTTTATCATAAAGATGGATTTATTTGCTGACCTTTTTATCATTTAAATATTTTGAAAGATAATTTAAAATTATTCCCCTAAAATTTGGATACTGGAAAAAACTTTATTTTTTTTTAATCAGGCTAATGATCCTAAGCACATGGTCCTCAATGATCCCTTTTGGGTGTCTAAACAGTAATGATAAAAGAATGGAGGAACATTGGTGCAAATATTGCCTTTCCCCCCAAAAAAATGGTGAACTCTACTCCCAGACATGTGAAAACTGTTATAAATATGGCAATATTTACTAATATGTGCAGATGTCTTTCAAGCATACAAAGACTTTTGTGAATTAACTTTTCTGTTACTTTTTAATTATTCATTCTCCCCCCCCCTTCAAAAAAAAGGTTTTAATTTCAGAAAATAATTACTGTAATTTTGCTAAGAGACAGTTATAGATATTAAAATAATCTCATTCTAAAATATTAATTTTTTAATGAATAAAGCAATATTTCACTGTAACTCATAAGTGTGCAAACACTTTTGTAGGCCACTGTATGTAATCAACTAATAGAATTCTATTGAAAATATTAGATCCAGCTTACAGAAAATTGGGCCACAATTCAAAATAATTCTAAACAAGTATCTTTGCTTTAATTTTTTATAAAAGATTCTGTAGAAGCATTTGAGTATTTAAAAATATTATGAAATCAACAACATTTCATCTTTGGAATAACAAGAAAGAATTAAATCACTATTTCTGAATAAATTTTTTAAATTTAAGTTTTGAAATGATCAGTGGCATGAAAGGGAGTAAAAACCTTTTAAACAGATATGATTTTTTTTCCTAATAATTAATCTTTAAAAATCGTTTTGAATTGAAATTGAAATAAATATAAATCTGCTTTGAGTAATAATTGAATTTTTGTTATAATTAAGAAACTATTTCTGTTATCATAGGCATATATATACAATAATTAAAAACATTAATTTCAGGAATGAAAATTTTATAATTAAGAGTATAAATTTAACCATTTAATTAATTTCATGATTCTCTTCTTTTACAAGATTTAAATTTTGTATTATATAAAAAATACTGTATAAAATTAGTAGAAGTTGTTACAATAATTCAGAAGCTGAAAAACATAAAGCCAAAGAGGAAAAGCAAAATTTTCCATTCAGAAATAATTCAGCTTTTATAAATAAAAAGTTTGCTGTTCAAGATTCCATATAGTACATCAAAAACGGGAAATTTGCTTTGAAAATTTGAAAATCAAATTGAAAGCTTTGCAAATTTCTATAGACTATCATTCTATAAAGAATTTATAAAACTTCCATATGATTTTCGAAAGCTACATTCTTATAAAATTCTGTTCTGTGAAAGCTTTATGAAATTGCTATAGAATTCTATAGAGTGGCGTTTGTATCAAGGGTTACCTATAAGGCTCTATACAAATTTCTATAAATAGCTTCGTCAGTCTGTATAGAAAATATTTGTAAGGGCAGCGAGTAGATTAGTTTGCCTGTATATCAGATTATCATTTAAATTCGTGTAACATTTGTATTTTATGTAATTATTTTTAATGTTATTATTTATTTATTCATTTTGTAGGAGACCGTAGGATCAGTTTTCTACTGCAAGATAATGACCGATGTGTGGATATTGATGGGGAATCTGAAAACAGCAGCAATACAACTCTTACAGTGCAAGAGGATGATGAAAAGAAAGGTTTAACTTCTTTAATAGATTAGATGTTTATGTTATTGTTTTGTTCTTTATAATTTGTTTTTTAATTTGTTCTTCAGTTTATTTCTTTAACCTTTTGGTTAAAGTTTTCTTTGATTATGAAAATTATGAAAAGTGTTCTTTGTTTCCTTCTTGCTTGTATAGGTAGGTGCTCTTAATTTGTACTTAAATTCGAAATGGTCAGAAGCTCTGACAAATGTACTTCATTCACTATTATATTACTTTGACAAGTATATTTCATTGTGTTTGGAATAATATAACATAATTCATATTTTAGAGCAACTATAATAAAATGCCTCTTTAAACAGTTGGTTAGATAAATCTTGATAGAAAACACGTGTAAAATTCATATCACATAGGACTAAAATAAATAAGTAGGTTGTGTTAACTAAAATTCAAAACTTATTTTGATTACAAAAGGGAAAAATGTGCTAAGTTTAAATCTTTTCGTAATTATTTTTTGTTATGTAAGCAGTTATATTGAATTAAAGCAAAAAATACATTCTTTTTCATCCTGTATATGTTTTGCAATTTAAAAGAAACCTAACAAAAAATTATTTGTACAACAGTTCTTTTGAAAGATAACATTATAAGGATATGTTGTTTTTAATTGCTAAACGAAAATAGGAACTCTTTTAAACTATATACATTTAACAACATAATTGTTTGAAAACAATCATTTTTACAAACATTGTCAATATTTTGTATTCATTTTCATAAATGATGCTTTAAGAAAAAAATTTAAAAAAAAAAAGATTTGAATGCTTTTTATTTAACTTTTTAATTTATCTCAATGTATACTTATTGTTTTGTTTTACAGTATTTCATGTATTCAAATTTAGCATATTTATGTGTGATTTCATAAAATGTCTGTCTTTAAAGGCCGGCGATTGGGAAGACCTCGCCTGCTTAGAAGAGGTTTGGGCTCAACAGCTGGTAACAGTTCCAGCTTCAAGAGAAGAAGTCTTAAACTGAAGAAGCCAAGTGAGAGACGTAGCAGAACTCGTTCATCTACTTTTGCTGAGGATGAAGAAGACATAGTTTCTGGTAAATTCTTATGTTGTGCAAATATTTTGCTCAATGAAGTAACTTGTGAATAATGCTAGGCTTATATACTAGGATTATTCTGAAATAGTTTTGGCTTTCATTTATAGAAATAAATTCTGAGCATTAATCTAAGCTCTATCTAGTTTATCTGAGGTGTAGAGTGGTTGTTGTAGGTTTCTTTTGTATTTTAGGTAGGATAAATGTTTCCAAAGAGTTTCATATCAGTTCATTTAACATTTGAATACTTATCATATCCTTCATCAGAATAATCATTACAGAATTTCATTCTTGCACAAAATATTTCTGATATATCTTTTATGAAAATGTAAGGACTCTTGACCCAATATATTAAAAAACATGTTGAAAATGAAAGAACTTCAACAGCATGTGCATACATTTTGAGAAATTTAAGTTTTATTTGTGTCCCAGAACATGGATTTTGTGTGTATCCAACTAACTTATTAAAAATATGATTTTCAATTCTTAATACGAATCAAGTTGCATAACATCTCAGTTTAAATAAATAGTACTAAAAATTATGAGTAGTATAAATTTAAGGAAGTCAATAGCTTTGATAGCTTTTTTTTGTGGCAAAATTGAATTTAGTTAATCACAAGTTTTCCAGATTTGGTCACTTGTCAAAGTGAAAATTTCATACATGTATTGCCAAATAAAATCCATCCTTTTTTAAAAAGTAAAGCATTATGTATGGTGTGATTAGGTGCTTAAAAACTATATTGAAATTATATTTAGGAAACATGTATTTAGGATGTATCTCAAGAAGAGACATTATAACCTTAATTTTCATTTTATGCTATTATATCATTTTATTTTCTGTTACCTGTGTTTGCTTATATATATATCATACATTTGGAGGCAAAAGATTTAGGAAATTTAAATAAAAATATAGGAATAGGAAATGAGGAAAAAATATTTTACATTTCTGTTATTGCTAACTTTTGTGTAACTATAAATTTTTCTGAGTGGTTTTTATTTACATAGTTAACAAAATTGTTCATTTTGAACCGTCTTGCACGCAGCATTTAATGCTCACCTCTTTACGTCATTTCATCAAATAGCATTTGCTATTCTTTGTGGGAAATGATTAAAATAATTGGGAAATGAAGGAAGTCTAATTACTGTTTCTTATTTACGTTCACAGATATCTTTCAGAAATTTATAGATTACTCTAAAATAATTATGTAGTTCTGATTTTGAGGTAGGACTGATAGAATCCACTCAAAAGCAAAAAATGAATACTGTGATAAATTTAATCAAAGTGAATGCTGTGGCGGTTAGTGCTTTTTACTTCCTTGTACGAATTAAAAAGGAAGTATTGTAATCGCGAAAAGTTTCAGGCAGCATATTTCAGCGAAAATATCCATTTTGATTGCTATCGAATGCAATTTAACGATGTTTTTGCGTGATATCCATACGTAAGGACAGAATAAAAGACTCGTTTCCTCCAAAAAAATATAAAACTGCTTTAAAATTTATTCTGAAGAGAATTTTTCATTCCGTCTGTACGAACATATGTACGTACGTACGTATCTTGCATAACTCAAAAACAAGTAGCCGCAAAACGTTGAAATTTTGTATATAGGACTGCTAAAACATGTAGATGTGCACCTCGTACTTTGGTTGCAATTGGACGCACCAAACGTATATAAATATATTTATATATATATCCACTCAGTTACCCGGCTCAGTGATCTCAGTTTCTTTACTCTTATATGTTTGTAAATTGTACATTTTTTGCTTTAAAAATGATTGAATTATATTGTTTTTATCTTCCGGTTAAGGTTTTTATGCCTTTAATAAATCTGTGTGCAATATTTTTAGAATTATCAAAAATTTTAAAGTTGTTTAAGTGCCGCTAAGCCTTTTTTAGACGGCAGATTTTAGATTGTTTACATTTGAAATAGCAGACTAGTGGATTTGTTGCCAATCTAGAGAAACTTAGCTTTGCAACAACAAAGATAACGTCTTCATTTATTATTGCGAATTAAATCATGCTTAATACTTTCTGGAATTTTTTCGAGGAAATAAGCATTTAAGATTTACTTCGTAATTTTTAATATAGATATTTTGAGTTTTTATGTATTTTTGCCTTGTCGCGAAGTGAGAACTGAATTAATTGAATGAGAAATACTCAATCGTCTGTGAAAAACTGTTTCTTTTTTGTTTTGTTTGCTTAATTTCTTTTATACATCGTTCTAGCTTTATTATAGTATTTGAATAGAACATGTGGCAACAACTATATAATTCTATTCTTTAAATGATATAAATTTTGTGCATTATGAGTTATAATATGAATGAAATATGGTAAACTCATACTAGAGTGAATTTTAAAGAATGCATTTATTCTATTGTGATTTATGTGCTGTCGGCGAAGTAGATTTAATTCAATCCAATAAGTTTAAATGAAATGAAAAAAAAAAAAAAAAAAAAAAGGCATATAATTTAATATTCCGTACAAGGAAGTCATGTGGTGTACACATCAGATTTTTTTAAATCGAGTTTGTGGTTGATTTAACCACACAGTTTATTCTTGATTCCTGAGAAATTTGTATAAAGCTAAAAGTGCATTATATATAATTTTTTTTTTTTAATTAAAAAGAAATACAAGTAGATGTGCTAACATTTGGAAAAAGCTTTGTGTAAACTAGTTATTAGAAAGTGGTGTATCTTTGTTTACTTCCTCCTTTAATTTATTGATCTTGTTTTATAATAGCCAGAGTAAATGATTAAGATGACTAAGACTGCCCTAAAACAAGGGCTAGTTGTTTAAATATACAATCTTATTTTTATGAAGTTAGGCTTCAGATGTGAAGTATTCTCAAATCATTTCAAACTTCTGGATACTGTGTAGGAAACATTTTTCACATCATTTTTTAGGCAATTGCACTTTGAATATGATTTTTTAGAATTTTTCTAACCATAATTATTTATTATTATGGTTATTTTAAATTCCTTAATTTTTCTGATTTACCATTTATTTCAGTATTAAAAATGTTCATTTTGTTTTTATCATTAAGTATTTTCCATGCTTTAGCCCTGCAGAGGACAGATAGTATCCGCTCAAAGCGAAAAGTCAGTGCTGTTTCCGACAGAAGCGACACCAGTGATAAAGTTGATTTATCTGGTGAGGAATCACCAGGAGTTCTCAGTGACGACTTAGCTCCTGAGAGTCCACCTGATCTTGCTGAAAGTGATGATACTCAGCTAACTAAAAACCTTCCATGGCTAAAGGTGATGTCATTGGATCTTATGCTTATATATATATAGATATATATATATGCTTATATATATATATATAGATATATATATATATAATATGCTTATATATATATATATATATATATATATATAAATTTTTGTGTAAATATATTATTAGACAAAGTTTTTAAAATAGTTTCTTTAAGACTTTTTAAATCAAAATTTATAATATTTTATCTGTTGTTGTAGATAAAAGTGTCATATGTGATATTTTATGCTATAGTAAAGTTTTGCTTTTATTTTGTTGTTAAAATTATAGTTATGAAATTGAAAGCATATTGAAGCTTATGTCTCAGTACTAGTTGCATACTTTTAGGCAGGGTAGGATGCACCCAGATGATTCATCACATTGAAAGGTAGGGCTAGAAATGACATGGATATGTGATAGCACACACACAAAACCAAAAAAAAAAAAAAAAAAAAAAATGAAAGGACTCTACATCAGTGAATATGTGTTTTAATAATAAATATGCATTTACGAAAAAAGTAACAAAGGTCAAAATGATGATCAGAGTGTTCTCCACATACTAAGTTTTGAAGTAATAGTTAAATCTGAGCAAATCAATCATATTTATGAATTCTGTAAAGAATTTCATTTTTTAAAATTCATTTATAATTAATTATAAGCTTAGGTGATACATGTTAATACAATTTTAATGATTGTTAAAAGTAATTTTTGGTGGGATCTTGTTGGAGAAGAAAGATCTGTACCATTGTTCACCTTAATTTATCAAGCCTTTTTTTATTCAAAAATAAAGCTTTTTTTTAAAATAATATTTCCCTCATTCTTAACGTGTTATTTTTTTAATTTAAAAAATTTCCATTAATTACTTTAATAAAACTAAAATAAACCTATGGTGCAGCTTTTTTTTTTTTTTTTTTTTTTAAATTTTATTAAAAGGTTTGTGTTATGAAATGTATTTTCAGGAAAGCTTCCCCCCCCCATATTTTCATAGAAAAGTGGTTAAAAGTTAAACCAAAACCATTTGCTTCTAAGGATTTATAAAAAGCTATAATTTTCAGGGCATTGACTGATTTTTTAAATCAGAGTACTTTAAGAATTCTGTTTTAGTTTTTTCCTAAATGATTATAGATTTTCAAGAAAGAATTCATTATCTGTTGAAGATCTGGGAATTCATATTTTTACTTGACAAATCCATTTAATTTTATTTACATAGCAGCTAAATGTTTAAAGAATTATTTCAAACTGAGGAAGTAATTTTTTTTGTTACTTATACCATTGTAGTATATGCGATTAATTATTTCAACATTTTTGTTAAAAGAAAAACCAGGAAGAATTTTAAAGGCATGAATAAAATTTCTTTTCAGGTGATGATCAAAGTCCTGAAAAGTTTAAATTTTGAGTGTCCTCACCAATACTTTTGTCATGTAAATTGCTACCGTAGACAAATGCGGTCATGCAATCGGTTGGTGAAAGCTGTCCGCAAGGTAGGTTACTGCTGTTTTATGAATAATTCTGTAACAAAACCTGTATTTATTGCCCTTGAGTAAAAACTATATATATTCTTTTCAGGTGTATGGTGACTCGTTTGGAATGATGATTGATACAGAAAAACACGAAGAAGAGAAAGGAGAACTTAAAAAAGAGAAAAAGATTAAAAAGGTGTGTTATTTTTTTTTATGAGGTTTTGTAAAATTAGGCAGATGATATTGAATGTTAATGAAATTTTTTCACTCTGTAATAGTGAAGCACTGTTTATATGCTTTTCATCTGTATGTCTTTTACATTTATGCATTGTTTCATTGCTCCATCAGTTCATTGCTATTCATAGTAATTGTAAAATATTTCATCTGTATGATGCATAACTCCATTTAGGTTGATGTTAGTAAAATGTTTCACTTATATGATCCATAATGTTGTTTTTTCTTCTGCTTATTCATTGATATCGTTCCCCCAATTTAAATTTTTTTTTTTTTCAGTAGCATTTTAAGTTTGTGAGAAAAGGAGGTAATTCAGTGGGCTAGAACAAACAATGCATTGCATTGATGAAACAAATTTGCTAATAGGAAATACTTTACTCTTGTGTCATTTGTGATACTCATTTTAATGTGCTTATCTGTCCTTTTTTTAAAACCTAATTTTCTGTTAAAATATTTAGAAAATGAAAGGCACAAACATTAACTCTCCAACCAACCAAGGATCTATCTCCAAGACCGCAAATTTCTCAAAATGGTTTTAAGGAAGAATTTTTTTTTTTTTTTTTTTGATTAAATGCAAAAATAGTCCTTCCACTTTAAACCTGAACCTATTTTATTCTGATATACTACCTTAAAAGAATATGTTTCAAGGCATTATGAAATATGTTCTTCGACATAATGTATTTGGCATGGCCATTTTGAGGGTTAGAAAATAAACTGGAATTTTTAAAGACAGTTAATGAAAATAATTTCCACTTTGGAATTGAACAACAATGATTCAAAGTATTTTTTAGTCAAAATTTAAATTGAATGCCTATTAGCTTGACTGTGCTATTCATTGACAACTAACTTATTTTCAGTGAAAGACAAACTGACCTGCTAGTAGCAACACAATTTGAGACAAACAATAAGAGAACAATAAGGCTTAGGAGGCTAAAGGAGGCTGAGGTTACCAACTCAATTTGTCTTAAAATTATCATTCGTATTTAAAACTAATTTCATTTACATATACTGTTAGAGCTGATGAAATAGCAGACGTGAAGCACAGATTTTAAGATTAATAATAATATGCATGTTAAAATTAACTTTACAACCTTTCCTGTTTATTTCTCCATTTATATAAACAAGTACATTATTCTTCAGATAACTACCTGTTTTATGCCTGATTTAAATACAGAGTAAATTTTTAATTTATTGCAAAAACAGATTTATTGTTAAAACCTATCATATTTTACATTTTTAATAAGTGTAATACGTGTGATCACATCAAATGTGTAATCACCATATGTGTAATCACACTAAAATGTAAATTTTAAATATGTCTTCATTCTTCGTAGATTATAACTGCTCCCAGCTCTCCCTTGCGCCGTAAAGCTAGTGTTGCTCATATGGACAAATTAGAAAGACCTAGTGATGTGCCACATCTTGCAGCTTTTAGATCTCTTCACAGCAGCACTACATTTCTAGCTCACGATATTGAATCAGGTGTGCATATTAAAGAGACAGAAGGAAAATTGCAACCAGCTGGAAGTGAGAAGGACAAAAATAAGCTAAAAGAAGAACTTCCTGTTTTGAAGTATATAAAATCTCAGGTGAAAACATTTAGTTAATTTATATATTTTCAGTGTGTGTTAGATTTCTTTTGTTTAAAGTGACAAAATCATTAGAGAAAGGTAGGTCCTGTATTTTGTTGATTTAAAGTTTTTTGGTGCTGTTTTATTAAACTTCATGTACAGGAAAAGGCACGAAATATCATACCATTCATCCTCCCCCAAAAAATTTTAGTGCTATACATCAAATGTTAGAAACATGTATTTGAGAGCTTTTGTTTACGGACAATTTGATAGGAATCAGTGTCAGACTCTAAATTGCTGTGAAGCAGCAGTTAATGAACTGACAGATAATGGCTGTTAGGGGGTCGATCAGAAGGTTAAAGTTGTAGTGTTTTTTGTAGAAATGATGAGTTTGATGGTGACATAAAGGTATTTTCATGTGCACTTTATTTAAGATGGAGGTGCCTTGCAAGCAGACTGTTCACAGATAATTTTAACATATGGAAGCCACTGGCTATGTATTGGAATAAATCAGGAGGGTAGTTGCTGAGTTAGGAATATTCTGTAGGTCAATTGGAAGGACTATGCAGCCCATCAATGGCTGAGTAGTTAAGACCACTGGATGTTTGATCCAAGTTCAATCTCAAGTGAATGAGTTGGTTGTTTTTCATGATTTTCCTCATATGTAACTTGAACATGAGCTAGTTTCCCATATATAGTCCTCCACAAAGGCATCCTAACTCTTAGGCAGATAGCCTCGTGTGCTTTATAGTATTCAAATACTTAACCAAACATAGCCAAAAGATTCTGCAATTTGATCCTTAATTATTCCCTTATAAAATGAGAGTTCTTCGTAAGTTAATGGCAGAGATCGAGAAATAAGAGCTTCAATTTTCTTTTCTTGGGCAACTGTGGCATGCAGTTTTGGAAGACTCGTGCCAGAGGGTCAGGGCTTGTAAGAGGTTGTGAAACAAAATGCTGGTCTTTTTGCTCACATTCTGTACTAAACTTATATTCCATGCTCAGACTATGTATTAATTTTTGCAATATTTCAATGATAAATGAATGTGTTATAAATAAAACAATATGATGTTTCTTGCTCTCCCACATACAAGGGTTGGACAAAAATATGGAAACACCAAAATAAAAACATATTGCTGTGACTAATACGGTGTAATAAAACCTTTAGCATTCAAAACAGCTTGCAGTCTTCTTGAATGGGTAAATAGAGATCTTCTATGCTTTGCAAGGGGATCTTGTAAAACGTTGGCAAGTTCAGTTAATGATGATGGCGGTGGATAGCACTCATGCAGATTTCTTCTCGAACTAGCCCACAAAGACTCAATAATATTGATATCTGGTGACTGTGGTAAACATAGCAGATGTGGAAGTTCACCCTCATGCTCAGAAAACCAGTCTTGGATTATGATTATGTGAGCTGAGTGAACAGGAGCTCTGTCATTTGGAATATGACATCACCATTGGAGAACAAAATTTGTACCATGGAGCCAAAAGATCACATACTCCTTGGCAGTAATATCTTTCACAGTCATGATGGATCCCATAGAATACCATGATATGGCTGCATAAACCATGACCGAACCCCCACCATATTTCACTCCTGGCTGCAAACAGCCCCTATCATATGTTTGGGATGGCGTTTGTTGCCGGACGTAAACTCACCCAAAAGTCGGAAACAATGTGAAGAAAGACCCATCCGACTAGATGACCATTTTCCATTGCTCTACAGTCCAGGTTTTATGACTTTGGCATCTTTTTCTGCTCTTACAGGCATTTTGATCACTGATGAGTGGTTTTTGAATTGCCCAGCTTACCTGAAAATACCCTGCTTTGTGGAGCTCCTTTCCTGTTGTTTAGGTGGTGACAGGGTTTGCAAAGGGGACGTTCAGTTTAGTAGTCACTATTGCGGCTGTAGTCCTCTTATTTTTCATCACAATCCTCTTCAATAATCATCTGTTCTTACTCTACACACATTTTCATCCACACTGTCATATCTCAAAATTGATTTTTCTGATGTTCCTTTGTGAGTTAAAAATCTTAGATACTGTGCCTCTTGAAACACCGAACACTTCAGCTACCTTGATTATAGAAACACTCACCATATCAGCCGCAATATTTTGCCCATGTTCGAATTCAATTAGCTCCGACATGATGCTCCCACAACTGCACAGAACACTGTCTCAATAACAAATGACGTTTGCACCCTGTTGAGGATGTTGCATAGATGGTGTTAGTGAGCAAACACATCTGTGCTACCAACAGCTTATGCAAGCGAGCATTTCAGTTCAAACATGTATTTTACGAGATGTTGCCATATTTTTGTTCAACCCCTGTATATATACAATATTATTGCTTTTTTAGATTTCTGAATTTTTTCATTATTAAACTTAACAAACAGTTAATGATTAGGTAATTAATTAAAGTATTAGAGAATCATTAGGTATAATACCAGCCGTGTGTAGTAATGATTAGGAAAAGATATATATTGTATGGCTATGCTTGGATTCGAATCTTATGTATTTGTGATTGTAATGCCTTTACAGAATTCAAGCCCTTTAAATCTGTAGATCCATGAGAGATTGATGGAAAAGAGAAAAATGGTATGGGTTTGGTATACATTAGGACAACTGAAGCATGTGCTGTGGGCCTCCACTTTCAGGGGACCTTCAGATCCTTTTATATAATATTAGTAATACATGTACCTCATTATAGGAAACATGACATTTTGATGAAAATTGCCATATTTCGTATAATGGAGTGCATGTACTACTTACAATAAGCATTTAGCTCTTATTCAAACACATTTGCGTACATACGAAAGTTGACATTAAATTCAATATACGAGGGTAAGTTGAAAAATAAGTTTCCCCTGTCAACTGTGGTCAGAGTTGTGTATGAAAGTCAAAAAATAGAATGAGACATTAAAGATATGACATACCTTTATTTTTCCACATAGGTACCAAGTACATTGAGGCATTTATCATATCGCTTGATAAGCTTCAAAAAGCCTCCAAGAAAAAATCTGGGCTTTGCATATGGAAGAAGCGTTGAATGGCTTGTTTCACTTCAGTATTGCTTCCAAAGCGCCTTCCCCCGAGATTTTTCTTCAAAGCCGGAAACAGATGGAAGTCGCTTGGTGCGAGATCAGGACTGTATGGCGGATGGTGTAGGCACTCCCAACCAAGAGTTGCAATATGGTTTTGCGTTGCCATCGCCAAATGTGGTCTGGCATTGTCATCCAACAGCAGAACGCCAGATGTGAGAAGGCCAGGCCGCTTTTTCCGAATCGCCTCTGTCAATTTCGACAGGGTGTCACAGTAGCGCATAGCATTGATGATTCCAACCTCCAAAAAGTCCAGCAACAAAACTCCTTGGGCGTCCCAGAAAACTGTGAGGAGCACTTTACCTGCAGAGGGAGTTGTCTTGAACTTCTTTCGGACAGGTGATGACGTATGTTTCCACTCCATAGATGCGGCCTTCGATTCTGGCGTGAAATGGTGGACCCACATTTCATCCCCCGTTACAATCCGAAACAGAAAGTCATTGCCATCTTCATGGTAACACACGAGATGTTCCAGGCTGACACCCATGCGTTGTTCCTTGTGTGTCGAGGTCAATTAACGGGCCACCCATCGTGCTGACACTTTTCTGTATCGAAGAATGTCGTGGATGATGTTTTGAGCTCACTCATGTGAGATTCCAAGTTCTTCCGCTACTTCATCGATGGAGATACGCCAGTTCGCTCTAATCATGTCATCCACCTTCCTGACATTTGCATCTGTAGTGGCCGTGTGCGTCCGTCCAGCTCTCGGTATGTCCTCCACTTGCTGACGTCCATCACTGAATGTGCGACACCATCTCCACACCATTTGCTTCGACATCACACCTGGCCCATAGACTTCCACGAGGCGGTTATGAATTTCTGTTCCTGATACTCCACGTGCCCATTCATAGTGGATAACCACTCTCACTTCCTCCTTTGACCACGAATTCAAAACGCACCTTCTCTCCATACCTACTGGGGCTCAAATGAGAGGCTGGTCTCCGCTTTGCACAGGCACTGCAACAACGCCATCTGCTTGATTTGCAGCAACCTCTACCCCATGGTGTATTGGTGACTTGTGCATTTTCCTGCTGTGTCGCCTTTCGCCCATAGCCGTTCAACGCTTCTTCCATTTGCAAAGCGTGAATTTTTCTTGAAGGACTTTTTGGAGCTTATCAAGCGATATGACAAATGTCTCAATGTACTCGTACGAGAATGATAAAATCAAGGTATGTCATATCTTTAATGTCTCATTCTATTTTTTGACTTTCATACACAACTCTGACCACAGTCGACAGGGGAAACTTATTTTTCAACTTACCTATGTATTTTAATATAAAAAGTATAAAAATGATGCAAAAAGATTAAAATAATTATAAGATATAGAAGAATCTTTAAACTTTTTTATACCCAAAAACATAAATACAAACACTAAAAAATACCAAAATATTATTTATTATATCAAATTTTGTAAAGAATTTAAATAACTGGTAGTTACCCTGAAAAAATATATAAGATTAATGTAACTTACATATTGACTTATTAATGTATTAGATATAATTCATTCATTATTAATGTATTAGATATAATTCAGAAACCGAATGTGACTCGTCACATTCGTTTTCTGAATATAAGCAAAAAATAGAAGGATTTATATAAAAATGAAGTCTCAAGGCACAAAAAATACTTTATGTTATTTTGCTTCTTTTATTATATAGTCACGATATTTGTGAATGCGGAGGAGAGTTGTGTTTTGTGATGATCTTTAACTATTTATTGAATTGACTGAATATTTAGCATGTCGCTGTGAGTGAAAAACAAAATGGCAAAATATTGCCAAATGTGATGAAAACATATTGTTAATACAAGAAAACAATATTTATCTTAACAATATTTATACAAGAAAACAATATTTATCTTACATAACAATATTTATCTTTTTAGAGCTTCTTCTGACACTCATTTCTGTAAAATCTCAAAAAAGATCTTAATATTTAATTATAAAATCGTTTATACACAAATTCATATCCGAACTCAATTATTCAAGGTAAACATTAAGACTATAACCTTTCGGCTAATGGCATTTATTCAATTCTGTAAAATCAGAATTCAAAAAGAATATCATTGTATCTTACAAATCCCTATCCTTTAATATTGTATCCCCATCCTGATATACATCCCCATCCATATTGATCCCAATCCATCATATTTTGAAATTTATTTCTAAATAGTAAGAAATCATTTTCTTTAAAATTCTTAATATTATATTTTACCATACAAAATTTATTATCTCAGTTTTAGTCACTTGAAAAAGCATCTCTGAATTTATAGGTTCTATGAAACCTTTTTTCCATTCTTTTTTTCATACATTTTTAAAATTTCTTTATCAATTTCAAAATCAGATTCCCTTATTAAAATGAGTTTGTATCCTGCATCTTTTATCTTGTTATTGTTGTAAGTTTTTTTTATTCCATATAAATCTTTCATGCATAGTTGTTTGTATACATGTTTCATACATACTTGTTTATGCATATTTAATATGGTTTTGGTAAAGCATCTGGTACATCCATGAAATTGATAGACTGTATTTTCATAAAATCTATCTACTTTATGTATTTTATTATTATTTATATATGATGTAATCCTTGCATGAGTGAGAAATAGCAGTTAGTTTTTTTAATTATTTTTTTGGTATTAAATGAGAAACTATTGAACATTTATTTCTCTGCAGGTAAAAGATTTATTTCACAGCAGTTTATCGACAGTTATTAAAGGTGCAGTTGTAGTGCCTGAAGACTTGTTTACTGAAATCATGTCAGTTTCTTGGGAATTGCTGTTGGAATGGGACTACCAGTTAACTGCTACTGCTGGTATGTATATTGAATCATATTTATATTATTGAAAAAAAAAAAGAATGTTATGCTAAATTTGCTTGTTCTGAGTAATCAGTCATACCAAATTTTCAAGTTTTTTTTTTTTTTTTTACTGTAATCTGCTATATATTCAAATTTATTGTACTAGTATGTTGTTATATGTATGTCTTATTCATGTAAAACAACTTTCAAAGTAAAGTCGTTTTTCAGTAAACTCACTTTTAAATCTTTTATCCAAATGGTAACTAGACTGAAAAAAAAAATTAGTATAGTAATTCTATGTGGTTATTATAAACATTTGATTAAGATTGTGTCAAGTTATATTGTTAAATTAAAATCAGCCAATTATAATTATACTAAACAATCATTTTGTTGCAAGGGGATTAGAGGGCTACTTGTATATATGTATATATATATATATATATGTATATGTATTTTTCTGTGTTTGAAGCTTGTTGAAATATCACTTATTACACCTTTATTTTTAATTTATAACATTTATGTATTGTATATAATTTGTATATTTGGGGTCTATATTGAATGAAACAAAGAATAATATGCAAGCTATAATAAATAAATTATCTGACCCATGCAATCAATATGCCACTGATATAGATTATTGACAATTAGATTAAAATTGTCGTATGTTTCCGAAACCATATTTTATACTGTATCTTTGAGTTTTTACAGTTTTCTGCAGTTCACCCCTCCATCTTTTCCTACTAAGTGTTTTTTTTTATTAAAATAGTCTGTATTTATAATATACAATTTTTAAATTAATATTATTACAGTAATAATTGCAATTTTATAGGTCTTTTGTGAAAAACAGCAGCTCTTTTTTTTTTTTTTTTTTTTTTTTTTTTTTTTTTTTCTTTCTTCTCTCTCTGAAAGAATTATTGTTTTTAACAATAGTGAACTGATGATACCATTTTTACCTCTCAAAACAATAAAAGAGGTATTATTTTGTAAAAGAAGCATCTCGATCTGTAGCAGCATATTTAGCCATTGTTTATTATGACAGTAGCATAATTTATGTTTTGCCAAAACTCATTATTGATTTTGAATATTTCAGCTGTTTCCTTCATATTAGCATCAGTTAAGGCTCCAGATTATGCTTCAAAGTTACTGCTTCAAGAATTTCAACATGATGAACCAGCTCGAAGAGTCAATGCAATTTTAAAGTGAGTTTATATTCTGTTTAGTATATAAACTGTTGGCTAAGTATTTCATGTTGTGCAAGATAATATTTTTAAAATATATTCTTTTGAATAAGGGCACATACCTTAAATTTTTTTAATGAAATTAAAATTATTTTTCAAAAATCTTGCAGAGATGCACAAGTTGCATATCTTTAAAATATGTATCTGGAGATTATAAAACCTGGCAGCTTGAAGTCAGCTATAAAATGTAAAAGGAGGGATTTGTGTACAGAAATTAGAATTCTAAAACAGTTTGTGAACGTTTGGATTTAATAACACTCAAAGATTGCTTATATAATCCTTCATTATACAAACATTGTTTAAAATGATTTGTAGTAAAAAATATAGAAATTAAAAATTTTCCAAAAAGAGTTATTTAGCAGTAATTCATCATATGAAATTTAATTATTGTTGATAGAATTAAATATTTTTTGCTTTAAAAAATATTCATAAAAACCAGGCAAGCAATTCTTTCCTAAATTAAGGGCAAAATTTTAAGGAAATGATTTTTAATTTTCACAGTTAATTAATAACCTGAAATATAATTGTTAAACAGTATCTCTTCATGAACTTACAGATATAAAATGATGCATCTATTATATCACTTTATAGAACTTTGGCAGTTGAACTTTAAATACTTTAAAAAAGATGTGTAATCCCTCCTTTTAACTGTTTTATGTATAATACATGTGCTTTTATTTATTCATTTAAATATAGATTTCAAGTTCTTTGGCGAAATCGATACCAGTGCTGGCCAAGGATGGAAGATGGAGCTCACATTACCTTTAAAGTATGTTGTAATTTTCTAGTATAAACCCTTATAAAGGCTGCATGTTGTTATTTGTTATTTTCTTATATAAAGCCCATATAAAGGCTGTATGTTATTATTATCTGATGTGAATTTTAATCTTTAGTATGTTATGTACACACACTGGCCAGTGAACACACACTGGCAAATCAATATATTTGCATTGCTTTTTTAATTTATCAGAATTTTGAGAACTTCTATATTGCTGAATTGACTAAAAAAGATTGCATAAAACACTATGGAAAAATATATGTATCTGTTTCATGTTCAAATATTTTATTGTGCTGTTCATTTATATTTTGAATATGTATATAACAAAGTTTGAGATCAGGATTCGCTGGGACTTCAGCGATATCGGATTTGGGATTTTTCTGGATATCAGATCATCAATTTAAGTTTGGTAAGATGGCATGTGGAAATTATAAAATTAAATGAAATTTTAATTTATGAAATAGTGAAGCATTTATGATCTAAAGGTGGAGAGGTTATTTTGAAGCAGGAGTACGTGAAAAATAAGCAATACCTTTGCCGGGGCTCGAACCTGCATGTTTTGAGTATGTGCCAAGTGTGCTAACCATTACACCACAAAGGCATGTAGAAAGGAGGAAGAAAATATATACTCCCCCTTTAAGGAATGACTGGAGATTAGTGGACCCATTTGCCAAATCTTGGTGGTGAAGATTCATCATCCACCACTTTTTAGTTCAGACACCATGGTAGAGTCATTAAGTTGTTTTGAAGAAGGAAAATGTGAAAAATATGCAATGCCCTTACCATGACTCGAACCTGGACCTCTGAAATATGCGCTGAATGTTCTAACCATTACACCATGAAGGCATGCAGAAAGGAGAGAGAAACTACCTTATAAGGTATTAAAATTTCCAAAAAAAAAAAAGGGGGGGAAGACTTAATATTTATTTGTCTAACTTTATTAAACATTTCTTTCAATGTAAGTTGTTTATGTTGCTTCATTTTTTGTGCTAAAACTTTCTCTTTAATTCTATAGACAGACATAATTTCTTGTTCATTTGCAAAGTTTTATTGTTCAAGTCCTATAATTGCTGTGTTGAGAATGCCGACTAACTTGTCATTAATTCCCCCCCTCCCCCCGTCATCTCTCTGTCACTTTCTTCACTATTGGTAATGGTATTTTCTGGATCTAGAACCATACTACAGATTTCTCATGTGTTAATTGATTAATGATTGGGACGTTGTCATCTCAAAAAAAACTTCTGTTATATCATCTTCATTTATTACGCTTCTCCACAGTTCTTTGCAAAATCCATCAATTGGAAAATTTCACCTTTAGTTTGCAATATCTGAAAACCTTCAGATTCAAGGCTATCATCTTCATTATTCTCACCATGAAATATGGCAACAGGCCATAAATAATGCCAAACATTTAAAAAAAATATTTAGAGATACGTCCTCCCATAATCTTGCGATGTTCCACATTGCAGATTTTATGCTAAAATATTTCAAAATTTCTTGAATAATCTTGCCATTGCTCAAGAAATTTTACATGGATTTTAAAAATGCTACTTTATATTTGCATTTCAGTATGCACGCTATTTCGATATCCATAGGCTGAATGATGGATGTGCAATTTGGAGGAAAAAATAATGTGGATACATTATTTTTCACTAAATTTTTAAGTGAATTATGAGCTGAACTGTTGTCTACAATCAGGACAATTTTTGCATCATCGGGTAAACCAACTGAATTCAAATGTTGCCGAGCCTCGGGTATGAAATCATTTTCAAACCAGTCGTTCATTAACGCTTCTGTCATCCATGGTCTTTTATTTGCGCAATATATAAGAGGAAAATTCTTACTCCTTTTCATCCTCGAGATTGTGTATTCTTTCTGATTACAAAAAGTTTACACTTGTGCTTTCTCACCTGAAATTTTTAATTGTCTTATACCATGCCAATTTTTAAATTTAGTTAACCAACCTGTTAAATATGTGCATTCAGTTTTTAAGTTCATTTCTTCATGAAATATTTTGGCTTGAGCCATTAGCATTGGATCCATTAATGATATGCCCTTTCTGCAGCTCTGTCTTACCCATTCAGTCATCACTTTTAGCATAAAGAGTTTTTTTATTTATTATTTTTTTACTTTTATTTATTTATTTTATTTATTTATTTATTTATTTGTTATTTATTTATTTATTTTGTTATTCATTGTGAATCTACAAAAAATTCAAAAAGAGCTCTCTCTCTCTCTTTATTTTATTTTTATTTATTTATTTATTTATTTTTGTTTGTTTGTTTTGTTTTGTTTCTTTTTGTGTGTTGGTCATATACAGTTGACTTTCCAATCCCGTACTGCTCGAATAATTTTGAGAAGGATATACCTTTATCTATTTTTTCTAGGAATTCCACTTTTTGTTTAATGGACATCAAAACATGTTTTCACTTTATAGATCCTGTTACAGCTCCAGAATTAGAAACACCTTTTGATATAATCGAAAGTTCAAACTTTAATTTTCATAAAATTACTGTAATAATAACAGCCTACAAAAAATAATAAGCTGGACTAAAACAGAAAGTTAGGTAACAGCACAATCTACTGTATTAACTGAAATTCCTTGGAATCATTAAAGTATAACTGTAATAGCTTAAGAGCTTAATGGTGTAGCATTATCGGCTATATATCATGAGATTGGCGATGAAAGACAAGTTGTTCCACTAAATTTTGTCTTCCTTCTATCGTGCACTGAGACACTTAAGCCTGAATTGTATTTGTTTAGTTATTTATTATACTTACGTCTATTTCTTGGACATGCTTAAGGCTTATCTGTGTTCTGAATAAATAAATTACCACATATACTTAATGCTTATTGAGGGCCAGTGCTAGATATCGTACCTACCGCCTGATGCAGTGTCTGCACGTCCTAAATTCTGTTACCAAGCACCTCCTAAAAACTAAATTTTTGCTGCCCCTAAATTTTGGGCCTGAATACTTTCCCTAAATTCTCAAAATTAAATCATCCCTTAATTTTGTTGCTCAGTGCTTTCCTAAATTCCAAAAATTTTGTCTTCCCTAAATTCTGCCGCCTGGTGCAGCCATATGAGCTATAGTGCCAGTTCTGGATTTATATAAATAACAAATCAGTTATTCTTAATTCAAATAGCACTAAATGTGATCTTTTGGCCTATGACTATCATTAACAAAATCTATTTTTAGCATATGAAAAAAAATATTTGTTAAATGCTTCCTCATCAACATTTCTTAGCACATTTAACTTAAATCTGTAATCATCGTCAAGTGTAACATGAGCATAAAAGGTTACCATACTCTTTGTTATTCAATTACTAATTTAAAAAAGAAATTAATTGTTTAGGCATCATTGCATGAGTCATTACTCAAGTTGTCATATGTTGATAAACATATGGTGATGAAAGCAAAACATAATAAATAATGATTTGCATGGTTGACTTCAGGGATATAAAATATTAGTAGGTGTAAAATCAATGATGTTTCTATGTAGAATGTTTCAGTTTGAGATGTATGTCAGACAAATATGAAGCTACAGAGTCATATTATTAAACACAGAAATTTATGCTAAAAATGATTGTTTTTTTCAATAACAAGGTATTTTATTTAATGCTGAAATGAAATTGATAATCAGGACTCTCCACATGTCATATTATGGGGAGGAGAATGAAACGCACATGCGTAAAGCATACGACAAAAAATTCCTTTAAAAAAAAAGGTTGTTGGTGGCTTTTAGGTCTAGATTTTAGATCATTCCAGATGCTGGACGTCGGATCTCAGAAATAGATTTACAATATTAGAGAAAATAATGGCTGTTAAAGAGAGCTAACTTGTTCAGTGAATTAATTTCTGATTCAAACCTATGATTTAAAATTATTGTAAGAAGATGAAGATGAATGAGAAATAATATGGATGTAACGTTTACATTTTATGTCTACAAAATGGCGTATCAATTTATGTTAAAAGCTAAAGAGCATAATCAAACAGAGTGCATAATCATTTTATGAGAAGATGCTAATTTTTTTTATTAAAGTTTGAAAAGATAAAGTTCTTTGCTAAAATGTGAGGTATGATAATATATCATAAATATGATTTTCCTTACTTGTTTTAATGAACAGCTGTAGAATGGTCTAAAAATTAGTTTTCTGAAATGAAATTTGTGGTTCGATTTTTAAAGTCTTTAGTACTGTGAAAACGTGGCGCTTTTTAATTTGTTTTTTAAAATCTCTCTCTCTCTCTATATATATATATTGCCTATTTAATAGTTTTATTGCCGGAATTAGAGGTATCATTTTTCAGAGATCTATACAGTTACTAGAATACACTCATAACATCGACATTATTGGCAGAAGTTAACAGATGGTTGTGGAGACTTATTTCTCTAAAGTCTGCAGCCACAAACATTGGACTAACCATTAATGAGAGTAAAACAAAATTTATACCTGTAATAAGTAGAGCACATAATCTCGTTCCACTGGAAATAAATTCTTATACTTTTGAGGGCATTTCTCAGTTTTATGTATCTTGGTACTACTGTCTCTAATATTAACAATAATAAACTTGAAATTGACAATAGATTATTTAGAGCTAATAGATGTTATCATGGATTAAAGAATTTATTAATGTCTAAATTATTAAACTTCAGTACAAAAATAAATCTTTTATTCAACTTTTATTAGACGTGTCATACCGTATGGTAGTGAATGCTGGCCATTAACAAAAGCAGAAGAAGAAAGACTTCTAATCTTTGGAAGAAAATACTCCAAAAAATATATGGCCCAGTGAGAAAAAATAATAGATGGAGAATTTTGTTTAACCATCAAATTTATCAAAGATACAAGTAACGTAATATTTTCCGAGTTGTCAAATCTTATTGTATCAAATGGCTTGGGCATATTTTTAGCTGTGACAATTTGAATGTTCTTTAAAAGGTGAGAGAAGTGTAGAGGGTACCAAGAATAGAGGAAGACCTTGCATAAGTTAGGTAGACTGTGTGGCGGCAGATCTCAAGACATTAAAATTAAATATTGGCAGATTGTAGTGACTGATCAGATCCGTTGGAAGAAACTTGTTGAGATGGCCTTGGCCTGTAATAGTCTGTAGTCCAACTGAAGAAGAATAATATTTTATATATATTTTAAGAATCATTTAAGTTGGAAATTAATGCTTATAACATTTGGTATTAAATCTGAAATGACTCTTCTTTAGTATCTTATTCGTGTTTTAAAATTCTTAACATATAATAGTTAAGCACATAAAATATATATCAGAATATAAAAAATTATGAAGGATCTGATTATTAAATACTTAATTAATTATTAAATACTTAAAGATTTAATTATCAGATCCCTCATGATTTTTTAATTTCTATTAAATAACTGTTTATTTTTTAATTTTCAATAATTCCCTTTTGGATGATTCTTCAAAGGTCTGTGATCTTAAAAAGGCCATTGTTATACTAATGTATTTACAGTTAAGTAATTAAAAACCTGCTTTTTATAAACTGTGAATTTTTAAATTTTTTTTTATGTATAGAATTAAAGCACCTGCTAAATAAAATTCCTGTAATAGGTGTAATTAAGTGAGTATTTAGAAAATTGGGGGGGGGGGAATATCAGTATTTCCCTTTGTAATCTAGCCCAATTTAAAGTATTTTAAAAGTTTTTTACAATACAGTTATATTAAAAAATAAAGGCCATAAGAGAGTCTGGAATAAACACAAGTGGAACCATCTTGCACAGAGCCATTCAACTGCTGGCTTTCACCGATGACATTGATATCATTGGGCGATCAAAACGAGTTGAGGTCGAGGCTTTTGTCTCGCTTGAAAATGCAGCAAGAAAGCTGCATTTACCTAATCATTAATGAAGACAAAACAAAATTATGATTGCATCTAATAAAACTGTTGATTTATCCCCCTTGAAGATAAACAGTTATACCTTTGAAACCGTAAAACAGTTTAAATATCTGGGCACATTGATCACAAGTTGCAATGATATAAAAATTGAAATAAAGAATAGAATATTTATGGCTAATAGATATTACATAGGCCTTAAAAAACAACTTAAATCGAAACTAATCAGCGTAAAAACTAAATTAAATTTATACAGTCAAAAGTCGTTAATTCAGACACCCATAATCCGGAATGATCTATAATCCGGACCTCAAAGCTACAAACTTTCTGCGCATGCGGCAAGTTGACGCATGCGTGTAAGACCTTTACGGCTGCGAATATGTGTGTGCGTGTGCGCAAAATACGTTTACGAATGCGTGTTTAATGTATAACAGACGATATAAGCTAAGCTAAAATTATCTAATTCAGTTAATGTTGCAGATTGCGTTGTTCCTTAATCTTCGAATTGGATTTGGCTTATTTTTTGCAGACTGTTAGAGCAATTTTATAAAAGTAAGCTTGAATTTTTGATTATGTCAAATAGAATTTTTGATATATATTTACTAATACGTAAAGGATCTACAAAGCGAAAGTATGTTTTGAAGTCTATTAAACAAAAAGTGGAATTGCTGCAAAAAATGGATAAAGGCATATCCTTTGTTTATCTAAACTTTATCGTTTGTTTATCTAAACTTTGTTTATCTTTAATGCTGTGGCGCGCAATGAATTGGAAGTTGATCTGTCAGCACTATCCTTATCTTCAGGGCAGATGTTTTTATTTTATTTGGCTTATAATTTCTTACTAAATGTAGTATTTCATCTCGATCTACTCCGTCTTTGATATGATTTAAATCAAATTCCTCGTCATTATAATTCACTTCCGATAGCGAAGAAAGTGACAGAGGTTATTGAAAACGAAAATATTTCGATTGACAAATTAGTCGGTATTCTCCACACAGCAATTATAGGACTTGAACAGCAGAACTTTGTAACATTTCATCTCGATGTACTCCGTCTTTGATATGATTTAAATCAAATTCCTCGTCATTATAATTCACTTCCGATAGCGAAGAAAGTGACAGAGGTTATTGAAAACGAAAATATTTCGATTGACAAATTAGTCGGTATTCTCCACACAGCAATTATAGGACTTGAACAGCGGAACTTTGTAACTGAACAAGAAATTATGTCTGTTTATAGAATTAAAGAGAATGTATTATCACATGAAAACGAAGCAACTTAAACAACTTGCATTGAAAGAAATGTTTAATAAAGTAAAACAAATAAATTTTAAGCTTTTTTTTTTTTTTTTTTTTTTTTTGTAAATTTTGATACCTTTTAGATCATAATTGTTCTTTATTTCATAAATTACGGTTTCATATTTTTAATTTTATAATTTCTGCATGCCATCTTACCAGATTTAAACTGATGATGTATAATCCGGAAAAATCGATAATCCGGAATCGCCAAAGTCCCGATGAGTCCGGATTAACGACTTTTGATTGTATAAAACTTTAATAAGGCCTGTTGCCATTTACGGAAGTAAATATTGGATACTTAACAGAGCAGAGAAAGACCTGATTTCAACTTTTGAAAGAAAAATCTTAAACAAGATCTTTGGACCAGTACAACAAAATGCCATGTAGAGGATTCTCTATAATCATGAGCTATATGGAAAATATGAGAAATATGGTGAAAATGATATTCTGAAAATCATAAAAGCATCTCGTATTAGATGGCTGGGCCATACGTTTAGGTATGATGATGCATTTCAACCAAAAAGATGACCTTTTTGAGAATTGAGAGATTAAGATGAAAAGGAAGACCACCCACTAGATGGATAGAGGATGTTGAGCAAGATTTAAGGTTAATTGGAGTTAACCGGTATAAGGTTATTGCGCTGAGTGGGGTCAGGTGGAGAAAACTTGGAGAGACAGCCTTGGCCTGTAAGAAGCTGTGGAGCTTTTGAAGAAGAAGAATATTAAAAAATAAAAATGTGTTGTGTGTATGTTACTTGCATATTATTTATTTACTATTGATTTTTTATACATCTATACATATTCTTAAATATGTAAATTACTGATCACTAAAAAAAATTTTAAAATTTAAAGCATTTTAAAAATATGCTTTTGTCATTTATGTAATTATGAACTATTGAAGATCAACACAATATGTATTATTGCAGAACTTCTTTAAAAGGAAAATTATATCTATTGCTGTGTTTCATCTATCTTTGCAATTTTTCAGGTGCCCCCACCAAACATTGAGTTCACGCTTCCATCTCCAAAAATAGCAACTGATCACGTACCTGTTGCAGACACCCCTTGGATGCCACATGTTAAAGCTAAAGTAGAGGAAGTTACTCTAAACCAGGACCAGTCTGTAAGATTATTCTCTCATAGAATTTTATTAAATGTAAAAAATTTCATAAAACATTGTATTATATATATAATATATATGTTAAAAATTTTATAGCTCTTAAAAAAAATAAAGTATATTTGTTATGCAGTTACAAAGATCGTTTGTCACTGCTACGAAAACCAGACGAAAGCAGCAGATGGAACTTATTCATCGTGCTTTGCAAGAAGAGGAAGAAAAGAAACGAACTGAGAGAGAAAACTATCATATTACAGCAGCAGCGGTTACCTCACAGGCAGCATATGAACCTGCTCTTTTTCATTCTGTAGAAGAGCATGAAGATGGTTAGTTTTATTTTATATGGATCATAAGCTTTGAAAAGAGCTTTTAATTAAATTAGCTTTATAATTAATTTATTATTTACACTGACATAGACTATTAAAAGAAAAAAAAATATTTATAAATATTTATTTTAGTGAAAGATTGTTAAAAGCAGTGTTTCTCAAATTTATGTTTCTGTGCAAGAAAAGCTTGAAAAATTAATCAAATTATATTTCTTTTTAAAAAAATGATTAAATGAAAAATGATGGTTATTTTATTTTATTAGATAAGTAAATATTAAATTTTATTAAAAATTTGTTAAAATTCAAATTCATTAACCCTCTGCTTACGGCATGATTTGGACATATTCTGGTTCTGAAATACAGGGCGGGGTTTTATATATATATGTGGGTTCTTTAGTTTCATAATCACAATTCATATTCAAACAAAACACATTTAATAAAATATTAATACATCTATAAGATCGTTCATCTATTAATACAGCATCTATATCATCTTACATCTATAAAACAACATCTTACATCTATAAAACAACATCTTACATCTATAGAACAACATCTTACATCTATTAATACATCTATATCATCGTATATCTCCTCTCATAAAACAAAGTGATGAGAGTTCTATCAATTTCACTCGTGCTAACAGCTAAAATTTAGACAGCGCGCGAGGAAAAATATTAAGGATTTAAAATTGTGGATTTAAAATCCCACACATATATATATATATATTTTCTCTATCTTCATAAACTACTATTCACATCTTTATAAACAAAATTAGTATGATGCAGAAATTTTAATAGTTTTTCTTAAAATTTTAAAAATATACTTACGCATGCTATTTTCACGTGACCCATATTAAGAGACGGATTTCGTATCCGTAGAAATAATCACAGGAGCCATATGTGGAGGGTTAATAAATTGCAAAATTTCTTTCTTTTTTATTTATTTATTTTTAATTTTTCTTAATGGATTACCTAAATCAGTGGTCTCAAACTGACAGCCTCCGAAATACTTTTATGTTGCCCATCAATTCATTTTTGATGAATTAATTAATGTCATTATGGAAAGAATTTAAAAAAAATGTTTAAGATTTTAATGGTTTTGAATCCAATTTTACAGCATCTTTGTTACTAAAAATGAACATGAGTAATCAGTCACGTAGCAAGGGGGGGTTCAAGGGGGTGTATGATGGCGCCAAATGGTCTCCAAAGAAGATTTTCATCATATTTCTTTTTTTTTGGGGGGGGGGCGCCAAAAAGGTATTTTGCACTTGGTGCCATTTATGCTCGCAACTCCACTGTGAGTAATGCTGTGAAAATTTAGAAAGGGAGCTAATTAATTTATACTTTGATATAAATTTCATTCAAAGATTTGAAAATGCAAATCTGATTAAGTACTTATCGAAAGATAAAAATTCCCAGTTATGAATTTTGCAATAAGAATTACTTTATTTAGGAGTACAGTTACATGTAAACAGTTTTTACCATAGTTGAAAACTGTCTACAAAAAGAACCAGACTGATCTGCAAATTGATATGAGTATCTACAGATTGGTAATGAAGATGCTTTCTAGTAATTTTTCTCCAAGGCTACAAACTTTCTGAAAACTGAAGAAGGCCATAAGGTGTGTATTAAATAGAAAATTGAAAATACAATCTAAAATAGATTTGTAGACTGAGATTACATAATTTGGCCTAATTTAGTTGGCTCAAACTTTAATAGCACGATTTAACTTTGACTAGCATCTTGCTGCCAGAACTGGGCAGAAAAATAAAGCTGCGAGCATTACTGTCAGAAGTTCTGTATTTAAAATATTCAAAACTCTGACCTTAAATCAATATAAATCATTTGCGTGCTGGTAAGGACAAATGAGAAAATGTTAAAGATCTAAATCGTAAAAATAGGTTAATTAACATAAAGTCTAAAATAATTACAAAATAAATAAAGTCTAAACAATTACAAAATATCTTTGTAGGGTTAAATTGCTATCTGAAGTTTTCAGAATGCGAGTTATTTATTTTCAGTAGCAGAAGATATTTTAATGTTACTTTTAATGATGTAAAATATTATAACCAACATCTTTGCTTTCAGTGCATTAATCATCACCTAGAATACTTATAAGTTTCTTATTTTTTCCCCAAGAGGTAGTTATTTACCTGAGGGTAAAGTTGTTGAGTACTGGTAGTTCAACCTAGGTTCCAGGTGAACATTTGGCTACAGGAGTGTTTTCATGGTTTTCTCCATGTGTAACATGGCTACAAGCAAATTTCCCTTAGAAAGTCGAAAACAAAGGCATCCCTCCTGTCGAGGTAAATAGCCCTTGAGTGCTTTGCTGTAATCAAACCAAACCAGCTCATTAGATTACATGTTATTAGTATCTGTGAACCACAGTTTGAGAAACATAAAGGTATAATCTGCCAAAAGACATTTAATACACTTGACATTTATTTGCAAATTCAAAATAACATTCCTTAATTATTTGTCATAATTTATTTTCATTTAAAAACTTTAATTTTATGAAATTTATTTTGAAAGACATTTACGAAACTATAACTTCATAAGTTACTAAAAGAATATGTTTATTACTTTGCAAATTATGAACAGAAATTTTAAATTCTTGAGCTTTCAAGTTATAAAAAATGAATGTATCCAAACACCTGCCTTTTTGTTGTTGAAATTATGAATTTAACAGTTTTAGTTTCCAAAATTATTGTTCTGTTATGTTATGTTATACTTTGCATTATACTACTGGAAATTTACTACCATAGGATTTGGCAAGTATTGCCCAGGACTTAGAAGTGAAGGGCTAGTTCATAGAGCTTTTCTCCCTGAAACAGGAAGTGAGGAAGGGGTTATTACTGTATGCATTTACAACATTTAAAAAGTCAATAATACTTATTTTTTAATTTTAATATAATAGATAAAATGTGCTACATTTTCTTAAAAGTTACAGCCCCCCCCCTGTGCATTTATTATTAAAACATGAAGAAAAAAACTATGGCATTCATTATCTTCATCTACATAGTAAGGGGAGAATTATGTTAACTATAATAACAGCTTTTTAAAGTTAGGCACAAAAGGGAGGGGGGAACTTAGTTTGATTCTAGTTTTGAATGTGTATGTCAGTTTCCTCCCCCTAAAGAAGAGAAACTTATGTTTGACTGTCCTTGAAATCAATAGTTTTATTGAAAATTTAATCTTATCTAATATTGCTTTTTTTACCTAATTATAAATTTTACATTGGCGTTTTTCTCATCTGATTTGATATAATAACACATATTTTTTAAATAATTGTCTAACTTATACTCAGATTTATACACATACATAGCATTTAAATAAATACAAAATCATGGTCTTAAGTTTGACAAAACAATTTTGTTCGCAATACCTAAAATGAATTACTTAATCTTTCAAAAGAAGAGCAAAGGAGGAAGATCTTTTTTTATGCGAAATTATTTTGTGCGAAATTACTTAATCGATATTGTATAGTAAGAAAAATTACTAAAAAGACTAAAAATTACCTAAAAAAAAAAGTCTAAAAACTACCTAAAATGCTGAGCTAGATTTGTTTTTCACAAATTATCTATGCATTCTTGTTTATTTTTACAGTTAGGGCATTCAGCAATATTTACATCGTCATTCTGTGAGTTCTGTTTTAAAATCATTCATATCTGATGTATTATTCCTATCATCATTTTCATAATCGGCCTCAAAATGAATTTTCTTCAAACTTCATTCGTGTAGTCTTCCAAAAGCACTCTGCATTATTTTTCTTTTCTTCGCACAGTATTCGATTTTAACAGTTTCTTTTGTGGTAATCTAAGTAAGCGATTTTTCATGTCATCCTTGCAAACACTGCATAGAAAAGGTTTGCAGCAAATTCTTGGATTCTTCACATTAATCGAATCCTGTCTTCTACACATATATGCATTTTTTTCGGTTAAAGCAAGTTGTCCTTTGGAAATATATGAAATACAATATCCCTATCTTTCTCATTTCTATGAATTTTATCAAACTTTGTTACAACACAAGAAGACATTACGTAAGCGATACTTCATAACAGTGGTTTCAAACTTGCATTGTACATGGGCCAGTGTGCAATTTGAAAGTAGCTGATGGGCAGCAATTAAAAAAAATCTGATGTGTACACCACATGACTTCCTTGTATGGAATATTAAGTTATACTCATTTTTCCTTGCATTTTATTTAAACTTATTAGATTGAATTAAACCTACTTCGCTGACAGCGCATAAACCACAATAGAATAAATGCATTCTTTAAAATTCACTTTGTTTACCATAGCGACACTCTGGCGCTAGGTTTACTTAACAGTATTATATTTCATTCATATTATAACTCAAAATGTATATCATTGAAAGAATTATCTAATCGTTGCCACATGTTCTATTCAGATACTATAATAAAGCTAGAACTATATATAAAAGAAATTAAGCCAAAAAAAAAAAAAAAAAACCCAGTTTTTCACAGACGATTGAGTATTTCTCATTTAATTAATTCAGTTCTCACTTCGCAAGAAGGCAAAAATACATAAAAACTCAAAATATCTATATTAAAAATTACGAAGTAAATCTCAAACGCTTATTTCCTCGAAAAAATTCCAGAAAGAATTAAGCATGATTTAATTGGCAATAATAAATGAATGCGTTATCTTTGTTGTTGCGAAGCTAAGTTTCTCTAGATTGGCAACAAATCCACTAGTCTCCTGTTTCAAATGTAAACATCAATGGCCGCCATTAAAAAAAGCTTAGCGGCAATTAAACAACTTTAAAATTGCTGATAATTCTAAAAATATTGCACACAGATTTACTAAAGGCATAAAATCCTTAACCGGAAGATAGAAACAACATAATTCAATCATTTTTAAAGCAAAAAATGTACAATTTACAAACATATAAGAGTAAAGAAACTGAGATCACTGAGCCGGTAACATAGAGTATATATATATAAATATATTTATATACGTTTGGTGCGGCCGATTGCAACCAAAATACGAGGTGCACATCTAGATGTTATAGCAGTCCTATATACAAAATTTCAACGTTCTGAGGCTACTCGTTTTGAGTTATGCGAGATACGTACGTACGCACGCACGTACGTACATACGTTCGTACAGACGCCACGAAAAATTCTCTTCAGAATTAATTTTAAAGCAGTTTTATAATTTTTTTGAAGGAAAAGAGTCTTTTATTCTGTCCTTACGTACAGATATCATGCAAAAACATCGTTAAATTGCATTCGATAGCGGTTAAAATGGATATTTTCGTTGAAATATGCTGCCTAAAACTTTTATGATTACAATACTTCCTTTTTACTTCGTACAAGGAAGTAAAAAGGGGGGTTAAACAAACCAAAGAATTGTTAATTAAATTAAAAGCTTATTACTAGATAGTTATAAAAACATATGAATAAAAATAATGCAGAGGAATGTATCAAATTTATACTTATGTTTTGCTTGAAATCTAAAAGTTGATATCTGCAAGAAATTTCTGTTGGTCACAATTTAAAATTCAAACAGACAGATCAATATTAAAATTATCCGACTAGAATTTATTCAACTAATTATAAGATACTGAGCTACTAGATAACTTTCTTTTAATTTAAACTAAAATGAAACATGCAAAAGCTTCCCAAGAGGGACAAAACCTGAGAATAAATAATGACAGCCTGTTTTCTTTCTTTTATTTATTAGATTTTTCTGTAACACAAAACAGAAAAAATAATATTTTTATGTAAAGTATTGTAAATAGGTTTGTTTTCTACTATACTTTTCACCTACACCACCTCATGATGCTTTGATTTTCATGAAAATTGTAATCTTGGAGGGAAATTACTAAAAAATATTATCACAAATTGTAGATACTCATCAGCAGGCTGATTCTTTTTGTAGACTTATTCATTTTTAACTACATAAAAAACTGTACTCATCTTAATGTACTCAAAAAAAAAAAAAAAAAAAAAAAGAAGTGTTCTTATTGCAAAAAATCATGACCTAAGATATTTATCTTTTGACAAGTACTAATAAAAGTTAATCAAGTTTGTATCTTAAACTCTTTGAACAAGATTTATATCATGGGGTAAATTAATCAGCTCTATTTCTAAATTTTCCAAAGAGTTACGTTCATTTTTGGTATTGAATATAACATTAAACTGGATTCCAAATCATTAAAATATTAAACTTTTTCTTTAAATTCTTGTCATAATAATGCTAATTGATTTACAGGAACTGTATTCACAGGCAGCATAAAGTAAGTTTAGCATTACTTAAAAAAAGTAAGTTTAGCATTACTTACTTCTGCAAGGAAATTTACTTCTTACTGGTTACAAAAATGGACTTTAAATTAACTTTAATGTTTTTTATTTATTTCTAAAAAATAGAAAAAAAAAAAATAAGGAATGGAAATTGCTATTGTTCTCCCATCCAAAGGTTTTCTTATCTTCCTTTTCTTCATCAGTTAATTCTTGAAGAATCCGAGCAAAATCAGCTGGTGGCACATTTGCCATGAAAACTGATATAAAACATACAGAGCCAAATGCATTCAAATTAAAATAATATACAGCAATTAATAACACAAAATGAAAAAATATTTAAGAAATATTTTCTGAATTTTGAAACACGACCACACGCGTGTTGTAACTTTTATGAAAAAGCTGCCACGTAGCACAAAAGCCCAGTTTTAAAAAAAATTCAAATGACTTCCTGTTGGCACATTCCATGATGTGGGGAAGGGTAGAAAGAAGAAATAGAAATGACCTTCAAACGTCTCAGCTTTTATATGCGAAAAATGTGCATTAAAAACGTTTGCGCATACGCATGTGCTGGAAGGTTATTTAATTTCTTTTATTATTTTAACAACAGTAAGTCTAATTGTTAATTTATTATTTTAACAACAATATGTAATAGTTTGAACATACAGGTTCAGCCATGCGGTAAAAATGTTGAACACTAAGTGGTAAAATTGTAGTTTGATTGGGTTCAAATTCTGCCAAATGGATTGGTGCTGTTGGAGGTTTCATGTTTTTCCCTTATGCAGTACAAGCCAGTTTGCCTTAAAACATCCTCCTCTTATGCAAATAAACCTTGCACCTTTCCTACAGTCCAAGTAATCCATTAAAATATGTTTAATTTATAATATATCCATTTGATAATTTTCATACATATTTACAGCTCTGTAATTAATAAGTACAGTTACAATTACAGCACTGTAATTGTATATATGAATAAAGAATTATAATTTTATGAATTATGTTTACATACCATTAGGTGATGAAGATCTGACAATGGAAAGAATAACAACGCATCATATGCAAGCTGCTCAAGCACTTTTTCCATCATGCCTTTGCTCTGCTGCTATTCCAATAATCAATTTGATGGAAGATGCTCAAGTGAATAATGAAGGAATTGCTGGTAAATCTTGTGATGTTTATCCAGTAAGGTACAACATATTGAAAGCGTGAACATTTTGTTTTATCCCCTTCATTCTCTGTTTTTGAGATTTGTGTTAAAAGACAATGAAATTGGAACTTCTGAGAAAGGTCATATGAAGATAAATGCAGAATCAAATAATGTTATTTAAAATTTTGGAAAGGATCTGTGTTAGTTGTAAAATATATTTTTTTCTTCATAGAAATATGTGTAGAAATAACAAATTTTTCATTAAGAATAATTGCACTCGACTGCTTATTTGTTCTTGTTTTATTTAAGTTCCAAATTGATCTGATAAAATACTATTATTTCTGCTTGTGGTCAGGGCTGGTATTTAGGGCCTTTATTTGTTACTTGGTGTAATCTCTGCAGCTTCTGAACTCTGATTACCAGTGCCTCCCTGAATTATAACAATTATGCCACACAGGTTGACTGTACCAGTTCTAGAGCTGGTCCTGTTTGTTTTCATTCTCTTTCTACTCTTTTTCTGATCATAACTTTTGGTATATTCAGGAATTAGATACCTTCCTTTAATGTTTCGTAATTTATTATGTGTATGCATTAAGTTAGTTTTGTATATGCTTTAAAGAAATTCTTTGTTATTCACAAATATTAACCCCTTAACTGACACGGAAAAGGTACAACATTCACTCCCCAGTGCCACCATATTTTTACACAAGGGAACATAGTTATGCAATGTATTAGGAGGGAAATAAGTGCAATTTTTGCTGTCTAAAAACTGTTTACTTTCACAACATAAAGAGTTAAAGAAAAAATGAAATACAAAATTTAATGTTTAGAGTAAAAGTATAATGAAAAAGATGTAAATATAATAAAAATGGTGTTTGTATAATAAAAAAGATACCCAAAAAATGGAGTTTCGATTCATTTATTTTTAGACCAGTAAAGTGTAATTTCAGGTTTCAGTGTTATACCTTGTAAAATCAGTATACCTAAATGGAAAGTGACATACACAGCATAGGCAAGTTTTTCAGATCAAGTCGTACCCAACGTCGAGCATCTTTTGGAGAATAGTCATAATCCTCATCATTTGGCGTAATATCATATTCTGAAGTGTCCGATCCTGAAGATGGACGGAAAGGAATCATCTATTTCACTGTCATACATATTTGTAAAAAAAAAAAAAAAGCACATACTACAAGTGGTAAACAAAAGCGGAAGACACAGAATAAAAAATGTACATTTTACTCAAACAGAAACATGATCAATAATTGCACAGTCATTATTTGCACCGTTTCAGAAACATCCCCCCTCCAATTCCTCCCCCATCCTTCTGAAATAGTATTCTTCTTTGCATGCTCTGTCAAGGTCATTGTGGTGTTACATTCCAAAGCTTTGAAAATAATTTTACTGGTAGCAGTGCAAAGCAAATGATAGCATTTCGGAAGGGCGTATATATACACCCGGGGCAGTTAATGCATCAGCTGAACAAGGCGTATACAGTCAAAAGTCGTTAATTCAGACACCCATTATCCGGAATGATCTATAAACCGGACCTCAAAGCTAAAAACTTTCTGCGCAAGCGCCGCGTTGGCACATGCGCACAGGCGTTTTACGCGTGCGCGTAAGACCTTGACTACTGCGCATATGCGTGTGCGCAAGTGCAGAATACATTTTCGCCTGCGCGTTTAATGTATAACGGACGGTGTAAGCTAAAATTATCTAATTATCTATTTCAGTTAATGTTAATGATTGCGTTGTTCCATAATCTTCGAATTGGATCCCGCTTATTATTTTTTGCAGACTGTAAGAGCAATTTTATAAAAGTAAACTTGAACTTTCGATTATGTCAAATAGAATTTCCGATGCTGGAACTTCCAAAGGATCTACAAAACGAAAGTATGTTTCGATGTCCAACAAACAAAAAGTGGAATTGCTGCAAAAAATGGATAAAGACATGAAGAATGTGACAGAGAGGTTAGTGAAAACGAAAAAATTTCGATTGACAAGTTAGTCGGTATTCTCGGCACAGCAATTAACGGAACTTGAACAGCGGAACTTTGTAACTGAACAAGAAATTATGTCTGTTTATAGAATTAAAGAGAAAGTATTATCACATAAAATGAAGCAACTTAAACAACTTACATTGAGAGAAATGTTTAATAAAGTAAACAAATAAATATTAAGCTTTTTTTTTTTTTTTTTTTTTTTTGTTTTGTAAATTTTGATACCCTTTAGATCATAATTGTTCTTTATTTCATAAATTACGATTTCATATTTTTGATTTTAGAATTTCTGCATGCCATCTTACGAGATTTAAACTGATGATCTATAATGCGGAATCGCCGAAGTCCCGACGAGTCCGGATTAACGACTTTTGACTGTATATATATATGCCCGCAGCATTTAAGGGGTTAAAAGGATATGATAAGTGATATATAGTTGTTCATCTTTCATATCTTATTCAATATACTTTGTAAGTATGTGGTATCATAGTTAGTTTTTAGAAGTAATGAAGCAAACAAAGCTAGGAATAGATCAGACATTTCTTTTTGTTTTAAAACATTGAGATAACTTTTGCAGTTTGATTTTGTGTCAAAGTTTACTTTATGTGTATAGATGATTGTTTAATCTTTTTTTTTTTTTTTTCCTTCTTTTTTTCTTTTTAGTATATGAAGCAGCTTTGAAGGTGACATATCTTTGTTTAATAGAAGATTCAGCATTATTTTTGCGACATATTTTAGAAAAACTGACTCGAGAAAGGCAAAGTGAAATGTTTCAGATCTTGCGAAAACTGTTGCGTTTCATTCCACAGTTACCTCCACAATCTGCTTATGCACTCTATAACTATTTGGTAACTAAACATTAATTTTTTTACTGACTATAATCTTTTGGGTGTATTTTAGAAATTAAGATGAGTTTTACTTCTACTGATATTTTTAAGAATGAATAATATTAACTTTATTACAACATTTTGAACTTATTATTAACTTCATTCATTTTCTAGATTGGTTATGTTATGTTCTATGTCCGTGCGCCCGTGGAAGGTGGTCAGGATCACATAGGGAATGCATTGTCAGTTTTATGGCAAGTAAGTTAACTTCTGTATAATTTTTTAAAAAATTTTTTGGGATTTGAAATTTTATGCAGGGAATTTTTCATATATTTTTTATTCTTTTTCTTATTACTATAAAATATAAATTTTAGGTTGTACTAGTGTTCATGGATTGTTTCTTAAAGATTTGAAGCAAGTGTTGAGAAAAGAACAATGTGATGTAAGTTCAGACTTTTTAAAAGCTATTAATATGCATTTGTTTCTTGTTAAATTGTTTCTTTAATGCCACTTAGAACAGTTTCTTCATTGCAAGGAAATTACAGATAGATTCTTACAGTACTTTACTCCTAATTATTATATTCATAATTCTTCTTTCCTAAGTGACTGCATTCAAATTAATCAAGATTTTGCACAACATAGTTTAAATAAGTAAGTGGTAGTTAAAACATAAATATATTAGTAGTTAGGCTATTGTTAAGTAACAGAAAAATTTAGGGCAATACTGCAACTAACAGAAATTAGTAGAAATTTGATTCATTTGGAAAAATATTTATAACTTATATTTAATGAAGTATATAGTCAACATTGTATGTAGTATAACAATGTGTGTCTATACTGTTATGCCATTTTAGTAACAATTACTTATAAGGGTAATTTATAGTTCATTATTTATTTAAATTTTTAATTGGGAAAACTGATTTCTAACTATTAATATAATTTTTAGATCAAATAATAATAAAATTAATTGAGTTTAAACAATAAAATTGCAAATCTAAGGTACTTTTCTGTGAAAGCAAACAAAAAAACGAGGGGGAATATTCTAGAAGTGAAGGAGAATTAGAAAAAACGATTTTAAATATATTTAATTTGGTGGGATCCTTTTTGGGGGATGTTGAATACATGGTTTCCATATAATGTATACAGAACCCTCGAGAATGAGAAGTGGATTGCCTTTTATTGTAATGAGGAATTTCCCTTGCTACAGGAGTGGATGTGGACTCATTTCAATCCATTTTTGGGCACAGCGAGGCAAGAAATGTGGTTGAACCCATTTCAGAAACTTCTTGTTTATTCAAGCAGAGAACAATAGCTATGAACTTGGAGGAGACAAGCATCCTTCAAGAAGAGAACCATGATCCTCCTTTGCAGTTAACAGCCAACAAAGAGCTTGCGAGGCAGAAAATGGGTGAAAATTTTACCACTTCCATATTGGAACAAACAAGTTATTTGGTATCTACCACCTTTGCTTCCTGAGTCAACTTGGCATTATGATTTTCTTTTGAAGGGGCAAAAGACAGATGCAACCTGACAGATACCTCTAGAACTCTTTTCTAATAACTTCAGATTGAATTTGATTGCTATTCGAGTCTTCAAAAGTGTTCATCAGTCTGGCCAAATATAGAAGAGCGTCGGCTTCATCCTGAGTTATCCTCATCAGAACTTATCACCCTTGGATAATTGTGTCTTGGTCATGAACTGTGTCAGGACTAATATGAAACATATAATTGATGTTCCCATAAGAAAATATGTCAATGTTGAATGAAATTTTCTAGAGGGCAGTCATCCTACTGCCCTTTAGATTAAATTATATGGAAATATATATATATGCCCTCTGTAAAATTATATGGAAATATTTCCAGGTATGTTCTTTTGTTTCTGGTTAACCATAATATGATATTAATATATTCCAATAATTAGTGTTTAATAAAATTGTGCTAGTGTATTCAAAAATTGTTTTTGATGTGAAACTCATTTCCCTAACCACTGAATTATAAAGGTAAAGCATTTAAACACTATGTGATAAGAGTAAATGTAAAGATAGGTTAATAATTAGTAGCTATTATTGACTACTTATATGTAAGAATGCAGTGCAAAAGAGTTTTCTGTTATGTCATTTCACTGAAGTTTTTTAAATGAAATTAAATTATTTTTAATTAAAAGTGTGCAACACAATTTTATCTGTAACAATACATATATATAGTAATATAAAAATGTACCCACCAATGGCCAAATGTTAACGTCGCTGAACATTGGTAGTTTGACCTGAGTTTGAATCCTGGCTAAGAGCTGGCTGCTTGAGTATTTTTGTGGTTTTCTCTATTTGTAATGTGGATAAGAGCTTGTTTCTTGTAGAAAGTCCTCCACAAAGACATCCAACCCTTTAGACACATAGTCCTAATGTGCTTTACTATTATTAAGTAGAACAAATCAATATAAAAATCTGTGTATGCAGTCAAAAATCAAGTCTTATATTTCTAATTTTTTTTTTTTTAAATATTATTTTTCCAGATTTGCAGTTATTTTCATTTTACAGTTCATTTTAAAAGTTTATTATTCTAATACATTTCAGGCAACTCTTCTGATAACAGCAAATGTGCCCAGTGCCAAAAAAATTATTATTCATGGGCCTGATGCCGGAGGTATTCCATCCCAGTATCCAATCCATGAGGTATTATAGGACTCTAAAGCATTTCTAGTATTGCACTATTTTTATTGTAATTACATTTAGTTTCTTAACAATCAGTAATAGATTTGAAACATTTTTGAAAAGGTAAGATATTTTTAATAATTTCAAGTGTGCGTCATGTAGTTTACAGAGCTTTACTGAATATAAGTAAAATCATATTAACTTCATTTAAGTGAATGATAAGAAAGGCAATACACTGCTCTTATTCATCTTTTTATTTATGATACATTAATTGTAAAGCAGAACGTAAAGAAACTGATCAATAGTAATGATAATTTAATGAGTTGAAATATATAAAGATCATTTGATATTTTTTCCTTTGAAAAAAAGAAAAGCACAAATAATATAATGATGTAATTTAGCTAGTGAAAAATTTTAATATCTTTTGATTCAGAATCTAATGGTAAAAAACATCTGTTTGGGGAAGGGCATTTTGAGATAATAGATTTCTACATGTAAGCATTAATTTTGAATTTTGTAGCACAATAGAAATTAATTTACTTTTGTTTGCCCCCCTTTTCTTCATCTTTAGCATTTCCAAGAGAATATGGTTTTTACTGTGTTGGTTTTGTGACCTAGCGAAATACAGCAAAAGGTTTCACTTTTAACTAATTTATGATGGAATAATATTATGACAAATCCTTCCATTACCACCACTTGGTATTACTATATTGAACAGTTCATTTTTAATGTACAATTTTAAGTTCTGTACTTTGAAGTTCTAGGCATTAACTCTTAACTTGATAGACATATCATAATTGCTTGGTTTAAAAGCTATTTCAAGTGCTAAATGGGCATCTAAATGGAAAGATCAAAATTGCATCTTTGTTTCTTTTAATTTTTTTCCCCCAATTTTTATATTATATATTTTCTAATACCTTTTTAATGCTTTGAAATTCTTTGTGGTAAATTCTTTAAGGTGTAAAAGTATAATATGAAGTTTCAGGTTACGATTTTTTGCAATTATTTTATGAATATTCTTGTAGTTAACAAAGCTGACAAAAATAAAATTACGGGTGAAAGTTATAAGTAATACTGTTATTTTATTAATTCGAGCAAATTTTTATCACCAGGTGCATAAAGTTTTCAGTGCCAAGTCAAATGATTATTGCCTTTTACAACAATTATCTTTTACATATTTCCTAAGTAATTAATATTAACTTGTGTTTTTTAATGAAGAGTAATAGGCTTTTATCCACAAATATTGCGTGTAAATGGGGGGGGGGATATTACATAAAATTTAAATTTTTATTTCAAACATCAAATGTTTAAAATTGCGGATTATAAAAATTTCCTTATGCTTACTTATTTTTAACTATTTAATTTCAACATTATTAAAATTAAAACTATTGATTTGTATATCACTAAAGATTTGACTCAAATTTCATTTATTAAGTTTGCCATTTGGTTGTGTCATAATAAAAACAATTTAATGCACAACTGCTATAAATTGTTAAAATAAATAGCTTAGATTGTGATAAATGATTATTTGTGTATATTTTTTTAAACCTTTAATGCAACCATCTATGAAAAAAAGGAATTACCAGTGCTTTTGACTGAGTATATTACAAGGGTAACACATTAAATATACAAACTAGCTGCATTTAATAATTAATTTTTATCTTTTTAGGACACTCAATTTGCTCTTATTTTACAAGACAGCTTGGATTTCTTTGGAATAGATGAAACTCAGCATAATTCACATTTTTTGATAGATACAAAGACAAGTAAGATATTGTATTAATACCTTAACATTGATTTCAAACCATCATATAATTTAATAGAGTTCTTGTGTGACTTCATCTGGAGATAACAGATTATAATAAACTGGAATTAAAATAAGTACTTATGTATTTTCCTGCCTAATGTGAAAACTAGTGGATATCCTGTTAAAGTTGCACCCATTGCTCGGGTGGAATTGTAAAGGAAGAGATGCTTCTTGATAAATAAACACATATCACCCTTTATTTAGTTATGTAATTCACAGGTACAAATTATACATACAGCACATAAGAAAAGGCTATGTAACTATAAACTTAAGCTTTGAGATTAACTGGCAAACATATTCATTTAAATTAGCTCCACTTTTTGGAGTGGCCAAAAATAACAACAACATAGTCATCTTCATTGTGAACTTGATGCTACATAAATTTGTTGAAATACAAATTTAAGTGGTGATGTGCAATTCTGTGCTGTATTTTATTGCATTATTTTGTTAAACCACAGAGTCTTATGATGTTTTGTATATGCACACCATTATCAGGATTTACAAAATTATACTGATGGTTAAAGTATGCAAGTCCTACAGGTATTAATTCATAAGTTTTATTAGTCTTTTAAGAATCCAAAACAGTTGTTAGATCCATCTGCTTTATGTTCTTTTATTTTTCCTTTTAGAATAGCCCCACCTCTGTCTGCAATTCTTATAGAAAAGTATTTGTTGGTCTTTCTGCACGATCCACCAAATAGCCAGTATTGTGAAAGTATTTAATCCAATTTGTTTTTGAACTTTGAAAAGGTCTTTCATCAATTTCTGCAGTTTTGTTAGGGCCCTCAGTTTTACCTGATTGTTTATCTGCTTTCTGTTGTTTATCTGTTTTCAAATGGCACCAATGTTTATCTGCACCATTTATTGTTTATCCATTTTTAAATAAAGTACCATCAAGTCCATTAACATGTGTTTTTCTTTTATGGCAGCAACTCTAAAATTCTGAAAGTACTCCACTACTTGTTGTTCTTTAGAAGGCATGTATGAAAAAACTGTAATATATATATATATATATAGATATATATATTAATGAAAGAGAAAAATGTAACAATGAAATTTACTTTAAATCCTTCTTCATAAAAACAGAAGTAGCTTGTTGAGAATTAATTGGGATTTTATGTCAAGCATATAATTCACACACCATGCAAGAAATGTTTGATAGACCTCAGCATAGTATTTTTCTGGTTTTTGAACGTCTAAAGAATGTCATGTAATTGGATTTTTCAATAGATTGCAAATCTTCTTACATTCTTACCATCTTTTACATTTCCTAATGTCTACTGACAAATTCTGGTCTTTGTTGTCAGCTATTTCAAAGGATTTCAGCATTAGTTTTCTCAAAATATACTGAATAAAATCTTTTAGCTGTATTTTTATAAGAGGAATCCTTTGCCATCGTTTTTGCAAACTTTATCCCATTGCTTTGTTCAAAGTTTTGGTTGTCAGGTGATTTATATTAGGAATCAAATATATTTTTCTTCTGTTTTTTAAGTAATATATCAAATGAATTAGATATCAAAGGTTCTGTTCCTGTTAGGTGAATTGTAATATTATTCAGCTTTAAGTCCTTAGATATAGATGAAATGCAAGTAGTTAAATACAGTGAACTCTCATTAACATGAATTTTAATGGACCAAAAAAAGAGTTTGTGCTAAAAATTTCTTGTAAACTGTGGACTCAAATTTTATTTTTGGAATAGTTTTTTTCCTACCTATTAATCATTTATTTACTGTAAGATTCATGTACATCACTGCCAGGACCGAAATTTCATTCATGTGAACTAAGCGTTCGCTTTAAACTAGTTCATGTTAAAGGGGGCTTATTGTAATATGCTTATCTACCACTTTTTATGAATTGTTTGTGATTTTTATTAAAACTGTTCTATCTTTAAGATCTTATACATAAAATTCATCATTTATGAATTTAAAATTTTTTTGTAACGGGGCCAAAAATTGCGCTAGTTTAGCTGTTTGTCACCAAATCTGCATTTAAAGCATATACCCTTAACAGATATTCAGGTTACCATTTGAATTCATCCTCATAATTACATTTAAAAAATTCCCCTTTTTTTGAATATCAATTCCTAATTTGTGAATTTTGTGACAAGTTTTAAGCAAAAGTCATAATGTTATTAGGATATCATTAAAATAAAAATGATATATTAAAATTATGTTTTCTAGAAAAATAGCATTAAAATAAAACATCTTTATTTTCCTTTGCCATGTTTTAAAATATTAATATCTTTCATTTTGGTAGTTATGAATATTTTGATTGTGAAATTTAAATATGAATTAGTTTTTAGCTTAAAAAATGCTGCTGTAATTAAATCAGAAAATAATTGGCTAATCTTTGGAATATGGTAACAGGTAGTTTGGCGACATTTTGGTAAGGCGATAAAGGTTACTACCTAGGACTTTAGCAGTGCAAATGGATAAAGTCAAGAGTGTGCGCAGTGTGCCATTTTTGTGCAATTCTGGGATGTTTTTTTTATGTGAGAATAGGTCAACGTGTACATGGATACCGTGTATGTGCAATTCTTAAAAATGTGGCAAACAGTGAGCGATTCTGCACTTTCTCCCAATTTCGCACCTAATCTTCGTCATGATTAAGCACTTTTGTTCCATAAAAGTTCTAGCATAAGCGTATAGCAGATTGTTGGAAAAAATGTTGAGAGAGAGAGAGAGAAAAAAAAAAAAAAAAAAACTAGCAGGTTTGGTCACCAAAAAATCGCCAAGTTACCATAATCCAAAGATTAACCAAATGATTTCATTTGTCTAATTTTCTATCTTTTTATGATAAGTTTTTTTCTGTAAAATTTGCATATTGATTTTGTTTGTTTCCTTATCAAAAAAGTCTTCACTTGTTTTTAGTGCTTAGGAAGTTAACATGTTTGAATATGGAGTTATAACTACTATTAATTTTGTCTTCATTTATGATTTTCTAATGATTCTGTAAACATGCTTCTAATAATAATTCACATTATAGTTCATTTTTAATAATACATCAAACATTATTTTATCTTCTATTTTCTTTCTCGATCATGCTGAACACTGTTAGTTCACTCTGGATTTCAATCCTAGCAAATATGCTCTCTGCATGCGAGATTTTGTGCTCTTTTTACACATGTAACATGAACATGAGTCAATTTTCTTTAAAAAGTCCTGCATGAAGACACTCTTAGGCAAATAGTCCTCAAGTTTCCCATAATTAATTAATCCTCTTCAATCCAACTTTTCTTATGCGCTACTATGTGCTAATGATTAGAAAATTTACTTGTGCATCGCCGACCAGTGGCCAAGCGGCTAAGTCGCCGGTAGTTCGGTCCAAGGTTGGAATCCCATGAACGGGCTGGCTGCATGGATGTTTTTGTGGTTTTCCTCATGTGTAATGTGTATACGAGCAGCCAGTTTCTATTAGAAAGTCCTCCATAAAGGCATTCCCTTCCCTTAAGCAGATAGCCTTCGGGGCTTTGCCGTAATCTCAATAAAATAAACAATTACTTGTGCATCAGTCTTTTATTGAATATTCCCAGTTTGGAAAATTGCAATTAACTGCTTCATGTGACTTTGTAACTGTAACTCTCAAAAATAACATTTGCTCTTACATTTTGAACTCTAATGACTATCTGTTATAATGCTAATTTTAGTTGTTCCTCCCTAGTTTTAATTTGTTGTTGTATTTCATTTGATATTGCAAGCTTAACTTTTTTTAATTGCATGTTGATAGCCTAAAAGGAAAAGGAGTATTTTTCTTTTAGCTAATTTCTTACCTGAAATATAACAGTTTTACCTTTCCTTAAATATATATAAACTTTTTATTTACTACCTTTTTAACTACTATTTTATAAATATGTGTATGCTGCACGTCGGGAAAAGGGACAGACATTGTTTATAATAAATTTTTAAAAAAATATTAAAATTTTATTTAAATTTGATGCTAGGAAAGTCGTTTACAATCTCAATGGATCTGTTCAAAGAAACATGCCTATTTTCTGGTAAATCGGCTTGGTTGAAGGCTTTGGGCACTTTTCCCTTGACAAGTTCTGCATGAGGCCTTGAGCAAAGTGGATTGACCATGTTTTTTTTATGGCATTATTTCTCTGTACTATATAGTTTTTTTAGATTTTTTCGCGTACCCATTTTGATTTTGTTGTATAGTTTTTCTTGTGTAATATGTAGGTTTTCCTGTGTACAATTTATTGCTTTAACGTAGTTTTAGTTGTTTTAACTTTGTTTAACATGTAATCTCTGGAATAGGAAAATTCAAATGTTCTTTACAGCTTTAGTTAATTTTTCCCTATTTTTTTTTTTATTATCATTCTTTTTATTTAGATATGATGCATTGCCCTGAAAGTTATGTGAGAGATTTCTACTTTTTTAAGCGATCACAATATCCTCAGCTATCTTTAGTTCATATGAATCCTGACAATGCCTTTGAAACGATGCAGAAACAGTCTTTTAAGTTACGTTTTCTTGAGCTTGGAAAAGTAAGTATAGTTATTTTATGCTTTTATACAGGAATGCTTTACACTATATGTCTTCTTCATTTTTAATAAATATGAACTTTCTAGGATAATATTATATTATTCTATAATAATAATATATGCTTGTAAATATAATACTTTGTATGCATACGAATTTTGTAAAGGGATCATTCCATTCAGTGCTATTGTGTTAATACCACCACAGTATCTGTAGCATTTCCTAAAAAATTTCCTAAATTCTCAAATCTCTTCTATACTGCCAGTGAAGCAGTAATCCATTTGGTGATAACCCTTTTCTAAAATCAGCTATCGGTACAATCCAGAGCATATATGAGTCACTCAGAAACCAGATGTGGTTAAGTCCAATTTTTGATATTTTCTGATTTTTGTAAATTTTGATGAAATAAATAATATTCTATTTGGTTATTAAAGGATTTACTCATTGCTTCCTTTTCTCTAGGTCAAACAACCTTTTTTTTTTTTTTTTTTTCATAGCTTCTGAATATATTTCAGAATAATAATTTCTGAATTCTGTATAATAATTTCAGAAGCCATTGTGAGTAAGTCCACCTTTTATCAATTTTTTTTTAATATAAACTTGGAAATAAAAATTAAACTATTCTTTTTCTTTCGATATTTGTTGGCAACACTGAATAACAACAAATTCATTGTAACTGTAACTGTTACTTCTACTATTTAGAATTGTTCGAGTTTTATGTACATGCTTTCTTTTAAATTGAAATATCTAAACTTTGGTTAAAACATAAAAATATTTTATTGAAGTTTTTGTGAAAATTATTGTGTTATCAAAAACATTAAATAAATGTTCTTTAATAACTGTAAAAACTCTGACTGATAAAAATGTCCTGGATATTTCTTATCTTTTTCAGCTGCCAAAAGATAGTCCTAAAATTTTTAAGAGGCTGTCACTGTTACAATAAATACTTACGTTTTTATTTACACATCATGTACATATCTTGCTTTTTTGCAGAGTTTACCCTTAGCAAAAAGACTTTGTATACTTTTCTGATCAAATTAATAAACCAAGAATTTTAAAAATTAATGTATCAAAAAACATTATTCTCAGTTTTTGTTTTCTGGACTTAACCGCATTGCCTTCCGAGCAACTCATGGCTGCGGCTTGTTATGGCATATTAGCCAGTTTTTCTTGTTAACCCTCTAAGGTAAGGTGACCAGATTTTAACATTGGTAAAGCGGGATACCATTTACCGAGGGGGGATTCTTAATTAAAAATTTAGTCTATATAGACAGACTAACACAAATTTGCATAGAACGCAAAAATAGTACTGTAATATATTTTTTAAAACTTCAACATAAGTACAATTTACAAATATATTACATTAAAACATTATGTATAGTATTTTTTTTTGGGGGGGGCATATTTCGCATTTGAGTGAACTCTTTTAGTAGCTTGTTGTCGTTTTTGGTTGAATAACTTTTGGACAACTTGTGATATACAAGATCTTAAGGAATATTTGTGATTATTAGCATGAAAAGACATAAGTCCTTCTGCTAATGCTAATTTCTTTTCTTTGTCTCCATAAATTGTTTTTCAAAGAATTCCTGCATTTTGGAGGAAGATGCAGTAGTATTTAAATATCCTTTGTCCCCAAGTACTTTGAAATATCATTCTTCCAGTCGGGCGAAATAGAAAATTCACCATTACAATTTCTCACATTTTACCATGTAATCGCTTTTGGTTTTTTTAACAAAAGAAAATTCACTTCTTAGATCATCTTTGAATTTGCTTCTTCTGTTCTTACTCGTTATGTTAAAAATCTAAAGAAGTAATTTAATATAAATTTATGAACTATATTATAAATTTTATTTATATATATTGCTTAAAAAAACACAGTAAATAGGTATATTACATGGACATATTTTATTAATAGTTTAAAAATTTAAATTAATTTGTTTGTTATAAAGTAACTATATTTTAAAAATTATTTTAATTTTAATCCTATATTTCTTTCTAAGTAATAACAATACTAACTTGTATTATTTTTCCTCTGAATTTGCCGTAACGTAAGTTGTAAGCGTCACTTTCAAGGACGACGTTGGACCTTTTTCCGCTACTATAAAATTTAAATATTAAGAGTACTGACCTGCTAAATTCAAGAAAATGTATGCGTTTATGAGATAAATAAATTACGTATCTAAATTATCTGAATAGTTGGTTTGTTGACGACATAACTTGTTGTTGCACTCAGTATGATGTGTATTATCTGAGAGACAGTTACAAAATGTTTTCATCATTGCCAATGCCAATAAGTCCAAACAATGCTGATTGAATTCTAACAACTGATCAACAACTGAACCGCCAACTGATTATTTGTTATTATTAAAATTTAACATTATAAAATTAACAGAAATAATATAAGACTCATATCCTGGCAAAGTAGCAAATGGCCCCCGAAAAATGTATTCTCCCGCCGTTCCCTAGCTTGTCATGCATTCTTTTAAAAAATGGGGAATTTTTTAAAATGTAGCAGGACACAGGACAAATTGTTAAAAAGCAGGAGGACGTCTGGTCGCCTTACTCTAAGGGGCAAAGCCATATATATATGGCCTAGAATATTTTTTGTGATATCTGTAAGAACGTGTATATACGTGCATATTAAAATATCTCAAAGAAATTAAAGTAATATATCAAAAGTACACAAATCCTGGTATGAAAGGAGAGCTTTTACATTTAAAAAAAAAAAAAAAAATGTTCTCATAGTAGTTTTGGGAAATTTGTACTTTCTTAGCAAAAACCCTGGCCGCTCAGAGGTTTAATAAATACTGTTTGACAATGATGCAGTAAAATATGTAAATATCATTTTTCATTTTTGGTTTTGACATGTTTTGCCCCCCATATTTTCTGAAGTTTGCCGTTGTGCATCTGTGTGTGTGTGTATTTTTCTTTCACATGATTTATTCTGAATTGAATATTAATTTTTTATTTAATTATGCATTATTACATCACTTGTTGCTGCTATCAGTGCAGCATTGCATTAGATTTTGAACTGTTTTTACTTTGCATGCATGTAGCATATATTTATTGTAATGAAGCAAACTTAGATATAATGTTGTAGGAATTTTGACTGCATAGATACTGAAGATGTCACTTTTCTTAGAAGCACACTTAGAAGTAATGATGTTGTAGAAATATTGATTGCACAGAATGTTGATCCTTAATGAAGGGCCATTTTAGCAGCCAAAGTATATTAAATATTCATTTTTATTTCAAAAAATGGGTTGCAGCCGCAAACAACTTGACACTGTATTTTGCACGTATTTCAAAAAACGTTTACATTTTTGATAGCTTTGCAGTAAGAAGGGAGCAGCAGACTATCTAGGTCGAAGTGCAAAAAGCAAGTTCTGTTCAGGTGATGGAGATTGGGGGCACCTGGCATCTACTAGAGGTAAGCAGGTGCATGTCCCTCATCCTCCACTATCCAGCACTTATTGAAAAGTTAAAGGATGTAGGTGAAAAATATGGTGTTATCTTAATTTTATATCAGTTAGTTTTGGTTATGAATGCATTTGATTTGATAATTAATACTGCTATAAAATTATTATTGGCTGTTTGAGTTGTAGTTGTGTTTACATAACCAACGTTATGTAAGAGTCATACGACATGGATTAGTCTCAAAATGATGCAGTGCAGAAAAAAATTATTATTTTTAGAACAGAGAAGAGAAAAACTAAGCATTGAGGGGCATTACTAATTTAAATTAAAATTTATATTTACATATATTTTTTTATCTTAACACGCATAAGTCCTTACCCAGTCTTTATTTTCATGACTGTTGGCTTTTGACTAATGTATGAAACAAAATTGACCAAGCTATTTCAAAATTTGAGATGTTTGATGTCATTTTTAACTTACCTTTAGGGGTCAATTAATAATATTAGAACAATTCTTTTTTTAATGTACTTTTTTGTAACTTACTTTAATTTATAATTTTGTTACAATATGCCAAAAGAATTTTCATAGAAGTAAAGCTTGCAATGCCATAAATATGTTATTCATATTCTCATAAACTTTTATTAGATAACTTTAGATTCATAATTTAATAACCATATTAAAAATTCATTAAACTATTTTTTATTTATGAAAATAAAGTTAGAAGTTGGCTATGTGTGAATACTGAAGCTTGCCAGGGTTTTCTGGAACACAAATTTATAAAATTTTGTGAATGTCTTCCTTTTTAAAAAATGTATATATTGATCAATAATTTTCATGGTAATCTGCATGGAACTGCTTGTTATTTAATCTATTAACCCTAGAAACTTCTTTCTTAACTGATATTTTATTTTTAGTTATGCATGCATGGAAACATTCACTCTTCAATTTGTGTATGGCCCCTAAATATGACATTAATGTTTAAAATTAAACACCTCAGTCAAGTATTGCCAAATGGGTGTCACACTTTTTGTATTTCATTTTTTATATTGAATATAAAGTTTTTTCAAATTTGACGATAAGGGCTGAAACAACGTATAAAATATTAGATTTTGTAACTTTTATGAAATCTATGTTTTTTAGTAAAAATACTCAGAATATGAATATTTGCATCATTTAAACATTTTTTTTGTAATTGGAACTATATGCCCATGACAGCAGTTGCAGAAATATTGGCCAAGTAAGAACTTTTGGAGACATGATGTGTGGTGTGTATGTGGGGGGGGGGTAAATGAAAGCATTTCAAGTGCTAAATGTTGCTGGTATCAAGAATCATGCATGCATTATAAATGCCATTATAATTCAAAAACTAAACTACTGTGTGTTGCAAGCAAGTCGGATTTCACAAAGCAAAGGGAGAGTATCTCGCGAGCTGCAGTCGGAGCATTGGAGAGCTGCAAGTGGCTTGTGAGCTGCAGTCAGGGCGTTGGAGAGCTGCAAGTGGCTTGCGAGCTGCAATTTGGCCATAACTTCCACTTCTGTTTCACTTTATTTACCAACAAAAAGCACTTAGTCTTAATTAATTATTTCTTTTGTGAAGATCGTTAAAAACTCATAAAATTAGATCTTTTATTATTAGAAAAAAATATTTTTAAAGCAATATACAACTGAACTTGCAACTGAAGTTTACAAGATTTTTTTTTACTATAATTTATTAGAGGCAGTTATTAAAAATATTATGTATTACTAATAGTAATAATAATTTCAATTATTTAAAGTGCATTAAATGTACTAAGATTTCATTTAATTTTAGGTTTTGATGAGCTTGGCAATACTGAAATCAAATACTCAAATAGCACAAAGAGTTTTCTTTTTACATGAAGAGCTTATGAAATTACCATCATTCCCACGTAAAGCTTTAGAATGTGATTTCAACCTATATTCTGGAACACTCGGAAAGGTAAGGAATTCTTTGTGGAATATGTATTTACAGTAAAATCCCGCCATCAAAGTTAAGCGTTATATGAAATAGCATTAAATGAGGTCATCTCATTATGTAAATAATGGGGTTAGGAGAAAATGGGTAAATAAAAATAAAAAATAAATAAATAAATAAAAATCAAGTATTCTGTTATTTAAGTTCATTAAATACTATGTTTTTTTATAAGAATACAAAACAAAAACTTTTATGTAACAAATGAATATGTAGAAACAAATAAAGTTTTAAATCACCATTTATATTTTAGATCATTCAAAATTTTCTGCATTTCCATTTTTCTGTTTTTTAACAAGAAGGTATCTAATGACATTTGCATTTTTCTTTTGCGCTCTGTAAGAAGTTGTCGATAAAGGGACAAGACATCCATAACACCCCATCTTAGCTTTGAACTCCTAGCAAAATCTGCATCATTTTCAATAAATAACTCCATAATTTCCATAATGGAAGCTAAGCTGGCTTTTAGAATTGCCAATAAAAGTTCTTTCTGCACTTCTTCAGAAGCGCTATTTTAATATTTTTGTGTTCGTCTTGGTCCGCTAATTCCTTCAGCTCATCATTAGAAAAACTTTCTGCTGTTTCTTGCAAACTTTCTTCCAGATCTTCCCTATTTACTTCATCTAAACCTGTTAGTTTTGCTAATTCTACTACTTCGTTCATATCAACAATAGAATCTCTCTTGTGTCATCATCCTTGTTTAAATCTGGCCAAATGTTTTTCCACACTCCCATCAAACATTTTTCTGTTACCACATTCCAAGAAAGAATTGCGTTTTCTATAGCATTCATTGTATTATAGTTCCTCCAAAACTCTCTTAGTGATTGTTTATTATCTCCATCTGCTTTTTCAAATATTTGTCTAAATCAAGACAGAAAGAGTTTCTATGCTAAAAATCTATGCCTAACACAGGTTGTTGCTTCACTTTTATGATTTGTTTAAATGTTCACTTTAAAATTTGATATAACACCTTGATCCATCAGTTGGATTAATGCAGTTGTATTAGGCGGCAAGAAAACCACTTCGATTGGAATTCAGGTTTTTAAGTCATATAAATTCGTTGGGTGGCTTGAAACTTTATCCATTAAAAGTAGCTCTTTTGGTTCAAGTTTTTTAATTTTGCAATAGCATTTAACAGACAGGCAGAAATGTTCCGTGAACCAATTCTAGAAAATTTTCTTAGTTATCCATAATTTTTTTATTAGACTCCCAAATTACAGGTAAAGTTGATTTTGATATTCCTTTGATCACTCTTGTATTTTTGGAGATGATGAACAAGAAGTGGCTTAAATTTGAAGTCTCGACTGGCATTAGCACCCAGGAGAAGTGTTAAGCAATCTTTCGCAGCTTTGAAATCCTGGTGCACATTTTTTTATGGGATAGAAATGCATACTTTGGCATTCTTTTCCAAGCTACAAGGAAATGGAAAATGTGATTTTTGGATTGCTTGTTCAAAAATCACACTTTCCTTTTTTCTGCAACCAAAATTATTCACACACACACACACACACACACACACACAAAAAAAAAAAAAAAAAAAAAAAAAAAAAAAAAAAAAACTATCTTGCATTCTTTAATTAAATTTTCTAGAGATGTTTCACATTAAAAACAAACAAAAAAAAAAAAAAAAAAAAAAAAAACTTTCTGTTCTGGTTAACAACCCTAATTCCAATTCACCTTTACTTTAAGCCTTTAAGGAAATTCTGTTTTAGTTTTCTTGTTTCATAAATAGATGGTGCCAGTAGCTTAACTTCTGTCTAGCCATTCTAATTACCATATCTTATCTCATTTATTTGCACTTTGGCAGCTGAGGAAGGATGGTTCTGTAGTCAAACGATCGAAACTAACTCTGGAAAATTTGCAAATATAACACTGATTTTTGTTGTTTGACTTCTAAAATAATCGTTGTTTGCTGTATTATTTTAACCTAAACTAATGCTATGTTAAAATCTTTAATATAATAAAAATAGTTTAAATAGTTATAGTTGTATTTACTCATAAAATCAGTAGAATGATATAATTAAGTAAACAAACAAAAAAAAATTCTAAGAAAAATGGTATCTATAGTGTGAATCAGTGAAAACGTATTGCAATATTTTTATTGCAGGGGAATCAGGGAAAACTTATTGCGATGCATTTAATATTATAGTTTTATAAACAAAAATATGAAACAGCCTGCTAAATTTTCATAGAGTTTTTGGAAATTGTTATTGAAAATTGCATATATTCATTATATATATATGGATTTAATCTTTTTAATGCTGTTTTGTTATTCTTCTTCCAGGAAATGCTAGGCATGGACACTCTTCATAAAATGGTTTGGGTTAAAGTAAGTATAATTAAGCATTTAATTAGTTAGAAAATATCTAATCTTGTAATGTACTGAGATATTTTTTTTTTCACTTATATCACTTTTTCATATTTTATGTGATGTAATTTAAAATGTAAATAATTTACGTGTCACTTAAAAAATAGGTAATTTTCTTGTTAAAAAATAACAAACATTGTCTAGGGGTGTGAAAAGTTCTATAAATGTGTTCCAAAATGTTTTTGATCTGCTCTGAAATTGACTTTTATATCTAAGAAAAAATTCTACTGAAGTAAGTGTGAAATTAAGATAAATCTGTCAAAAGTTATGCAGCATTTCTTGTAAAATTTGGACTAAATTCACAGAATTTTTAATTTTATTTTAATCACTTCCACTGAAATATCATTTTAGGAAGATAGATTCATATGAATGAAATGCTCAATATTACATAATAAATTTATTCCTGTTCAGTCAGAAATTTTACTTAGGAAACAGAATTAAATACTTGTTTTGTGGTGCATCTTGTAGGTTTGTCTCTCCTATAAACAGTATGATTTCATTTGATATAAAAATTCAGGTGCACACTGCTGGCAATGATTGAAACACATCAGCTCACTCTTATCTCTGCATCTCTTTTCTAAAAGTCATGATACTATTTGCACAAATATATTATAAATAAAATATAAATAAGCATAAATAAGCTATTTGTGTGTCATAATGTGAAGCTTCTGAACTAGTTGTACTCAATAATCTTCTTGTCATTTTTATTGGCTTTCGAAGCACTAAAACCAATATTGGCATGTGTGTTCTCATACATTACTGTTGCTGTACATGCCACATATCCTTTGAATACTTCTTCCACGCTGTGACTTTAATCATTTCGTACAAAAGTTAATGTCCTTTCTCTTTTTGGATTTTGATATTTTCTCTTTCGATTATTATTTTGAATTAAGCTGTTGTGCCTCTATCAGTGCCTTTTACTAGGGAGAATACTTGACTATTCCATACTGTCCTGTCATTAACTATAATCGTTATTTTAGAAATAGGCACTCCAAGGTCATTTTCTCCCACCTGGCTTGTCTTGTAACCAGAAAGTAACAGCTGCAGGTGATGGAGAGTGGGCACTCCTGTCAGCTACCAGAGGTAGCAGGAATTGTCTGCACCATCTCATCAGGAACAAAAATAATTTTGACATGTCCAGACAAGAGCTGAGAGTACATAAATGATAGATTTCAGTTTTTTTTTTATTTTTATTTTTATTATTATTATTTTATTTATTTATTTATTTATTACACTTTATAATAAAGAGTTTTCATCTTGCAACAATAGCTACAGCAGATGGTCAAGTTCCCTAATTTTTTTTCCTTGCTTCATATGTGTTTTGCATTGTGAAAAGTGCATAAATAAAAGGCTGTCTTTAACTGAAGTCTAAAATGAGATAGAGAAAATAAGTGCTTTAAAGTGGTGATGTTGCAGTCACAACTGGAGAAGAGTTGGAAATACCTTAAAATGCCTATTTTAAATTAAGAGCCTAGAATGAGTGCAAACTGAAATTTTTCAAGATCAAAATCGTTACCATGATTAAAATGCAAAACCCTCATTAAAATAAATAAATTCAAAAGATTTAAATTGTATTTTTGTAGATAGTATCTGTTAGCATGTCTGGAAGTGTCTCTTTAATGAAGGTGTATATTCCTTTCAAAAAGTAAGAGGTGGAACTAGATATGATAATTATATTTCATCAATAAATATGCTTGAATTATATTAAATATAACAATATTAAATGTCTGTAAAATTATTAAACTAAAAATAAAGAATATTATTATTGGTTTAGAAAGTAATCTGTTAAATTTTTGCATGAGGTTTAGTTTAAACTTTTTTAACTTTTAGCCTAACCTACGAATTTGTAACCTAGGAATGCAATTGTATTATATACTTTTTGTACAAATATGTAGGCCTAAAAAAGAACTTAGCATATATTTTGTTTAATCTTGATAAAGCACATGTAATACTGATATTTTTTTTTAAATTAGATTTAGTTTTGTATATTCAATTATTGATTGCATTTATTCCATTCGAGATGAAAATTTTAAAATTTACTATGACTTTAAATACGCTACAAATGTTAAGTTCTATATTATAGCTTTCAAGAAAATTTATCTTTTTATTATGCAGTATTAGGCTTTTTGTTTTAATAAATCCATTATATCTAAATTAAAATGTATTTTTTGTTTTTTTGGAATCATGCTTTTTTTTTTAATGTGCAAATAATAAAATGTGGAATTTTCTTTTTCCCTAGCTTGTTGCTCGCATGTTCGAAGCAATGGCAGGCCTTTTTGTCCATTCTTCTGATATTCATCTGTTTCTGAATGTTGTCAATGGAGCTTTAGTTTTACATCCTGAAGATGCAATGATTTTGCGTTTATGCATGGCCACTTTCTTAAATGCTGCTTTACAGTTCAAAAATATATTTGCTTCAAATGGGTATTAATTTGCTTTTTGTGATGCAGTGTTTATTTAAATAGATTAATTATTTTTAAAAACTGTTCTTCATGTAATTTCTTTGTTTCAGGTATTTGTTGATTATGCCAACAATGTTACGTATCTACTCTAATCATCAAACTAATAGTTTGTTATGCCGAACTATAGAATTTGTGTGCAAACAGTTCTACATAATGCATCGAAAGCCTTTCATCTTACAGGTTTTGTAAAATATCATTATATTTTTTTTACCGAATTTCTGTCTTTTTAACTTCCTGAAATTATTCTGAACATCTGTTGTGTTACGCTTTTGCTGTGCGCCCAAAATGTTATTATTTTATGCACAAAAATATTTATGGTGAAATATTAACTGAAAGTTTAAATTAATTGCAATAATAAGTTTAATTTGTGTAGAAAAAGGTCAGCTTTCATAAACTGAATCGTTTGAAGAAAGATTGTATTTATTTATGTTTATGTAAATATATATAGAGAGAGTATGGCAAAGTTGACTTCTGATTACTAAACATTCCATATAACTCAACATTTTTTTTAATAGCTAAGTGATTTCTGTTGGTCATGCAGATCATATCTTTGTAATAATACTGTGATTTATTAAAAGCTAGACTGCAATAATTTCTAATATTACCAGTACAATGCAAACAGTATAAGTGCATTTTCATTATTGTATTATTGTGATTACTCTGTGCATATTTATACATATGAATGTTTGCAGGATTTTTTATGATATTTGAGGGGTCATGAACTACCTCATCATAACCAGAGGAGTGGCTGAATGTTGTCCATGTGTTGTTCTTATTTCAAGAAATTTTGCAGTGTTTGTTATGAAAAGTTTCAGTTGTTAGCAGAACCCTTTATCCAGTAAGGCACTATTTGAGAGTCATTAAAGCAATACATATTACATTCCTTGAAATTAAAAAAGTGTTTTCAGATAGTTAGTTATTTTTGCAGCAGTAGTAGATGCCATCAGTTCAAAGTGAAGAAGCTTCTTTAGAGGAGCAACTCTGTGTTTAGGTAGTGCAAAGGATGTCTCCAAAGTAGTGGGATTTTGAAGGTATGCTATACTACCTTACCCTTTGATAATGGCATCAGGGAACACTAATAGGATCATATCTCCTGTATTAATTGTTAAACCATACGAGAAATATCTTCTAGAAATGTTAATGTTAACAAGTTTCTCAATTTCAGAATAGCATGTCAAGAATTTCCTTCTTAGTTCATCAGATACCTCAAAATTTCAATCACAACCAGATTTCCTTAATTTGTTAGTGCTAAAGACATATGCAGAAACTAATGTCATAAATTTTGGCTGTAGTTTGTAAAATGAGCCTCTTTGTTATTTTCCGTTAAATTATTCACTGAATTGTGTTACTTCTAAACTTAAATTTTTACTTCTAAACTTGATTTGCATCCCACTTCAAACATAGAATTTTTGACGAGTTATTATTTAAATTATTTTTCTCAGTATCTATTCTGTTTTTAATCCACAATTCTTGAAGAACTCCAAGATGCATGTTTGCATCTTCCAGAATATCCACCACAGTAGTTAGCAGATAAAAGGCCCAATAGTTTTGTTTTCATTTGCACTCGTCTCAGTTTTACAATTCTCTACTTTCGGTTTGTTTTTAGATAAACAATCATGTTTATTATGAGATAATTTTTTACATATTTTACAAGCTTCTATACGTGTTCTACAGGAAACTGCCCTATGTTTTTTAAAGCAGCAGTAATACAAATTCAGAGCTTTTGTTTCTGTTCATCAGTGTATTGCATACAGTCAAGAGAATTATATTCATTATAAGTATTACAAAAAACACAAAATTTCTTAACATAAATATTAAATGTAGAAGTTGATGATTTATTTTTATATAATTTTTGAACCCTTATTTATGATTAGCCCCCTCATATTTATTACTTTTCAGCTATTAATCAACATGGTGGCTTCTCTGCATTCAGTTTCCATTTTAATGAATTCTAGTAATTCACTCACTTCAATATTTTTCTTAGATGATCTTTCCCTGAGAAATTCAAGAACTAAATCTTCAGGTAACAACTTAAGAATTATTGGGTTCAATAGCTAGTCATATGAACCACTAGTAATATTTAAACTACTTACATTTCTAGCACAGATTTGTAAATGATGATAGAACTTTCTCAAATCAGGAATATTAGAGGAACTTTTAACTGTAACAGTATTTGCTTAAATTGTGATATAATACAGTCAAAAGTCGTTAATTCGGACACCCATAATCCGGAATGATCTATAATCCGGACCTCAAAGCTACAAACTTTCTGCGCATGCGTCGCGTTCACGCATGCGCACAGGCGTTTACGAGAGCGCGTAAGACCCTTACGGCTGCGAATATGTTTGTGCGCATGCGCGTTTAATGTGTAACGGAGTTATACGCTAAGCTAAAGTTATCTAATTCAGTTAATGTTGCAGATTGCATTGTTCCTTAATCTTCGAATTGGATCCGACTTATTATTTTTTGCAGACTGTTTAGAGCAATTTTATAAAAGTAAGCTTGAACTTTCGATTATGTCAAATAGAATTTCCGATATATATTTACTACAAAGCGAAAGTATGTTTTGAAATCCGAAATCTGTTTATCAATTTCACGCTGCTCTGCGGCAGAGGGGGGGGGGCAGAAACGTCATTATTAGATTATGATAGATTAGAAAGATTATGTCAAATAGAATTTCCAATATATATTTACTAATATGTAATTTGTATCTACAAAGCGAAAGTATGTTTTGAAATCCGAAATCTGTTTATCAATTTCACGCGGCGGATTGGAAGTTGATCTGTCAACACTATCCTTATCTTCAGAGCAGATGTTTTTATTTTATTTGGATTATAATTCGGTACTAAGTTTAGTATTTCATCTGGATGTACTCCGTCTTTGATATGATTTAAATCAAGTTCCTCATCATTATAATTCGCTTCCGATAGTGAAGAAAGAAAGTGACCCAGAGGTTATTGAAAACGAAAACATTTCGATTGACAAATTAGTCGGTATTCTCAACACAGCAATTATAGGACTTGAACAGCGGAACTTTGTAACTAAACAAGAAATTATGTCTGTTTAATAGAATTAAAGAGAAAGTATTATCACATGAAACGAAGCAACTTACATTGAAGGAAATGTTTAATAAAGTAAACAAATAAATATTAAGTTTTTTCTTTTTGTAAATTTTGATACCCTTTAGATCATAATTGTTCTTTATTTCATAAATTACGGTTTCATATTTTTAATTTTGTAATTTTTGCATGCCATCTTACCAGATTTAAACTGATGATCTATAATCCGGAAAAATCGATAATCCGGAATCGCCGAAGTCCCGACGAGTCCGGATTAACGACTTTTGACTGTAACATCTTTGTGACCAAACCTTTTTTCTAGACTTTTGATACATGTATCATATTTTTTTCAGATAAACTATATAACCAGCTACACTGTTATATGTTTCAGATAATAAACCTTTCAAATATCTAAATTTGTCTGTTTTTGATAAACCTGGATTGGAGTGAATTCATTATCATATGAATTAAAAAATTCAAGCCATCTACGGTGATCACCAGGAATTTTTTCTAAATTCAATTTAAGTAACTTTATTGAAGCACTACTTACAACAGCATTGTTGTTCAGAGTGCTGCTGATATCATTACTAGTTGCAAGTGCATTTCTTTCAACAACTTTATTACTATTAATTTTTCTGTATTTTACTAACACTCTTAGCTTTAATTGTTATGATTCTTTTGCCATACTGTTCACTTGCAAGTAGCTCATTATCATATTCTTTTTCATCAATTACTAGAGCATCACTCTTTGAGTCAAGAGTTTTAAGTTTTTCGTCATATTCAGTTAAAAGCTCATGTGATGAGCTTAAATTTTCTAGATGTTTTTTGTTTAATTCTGCTGAAAACAATTTTTAAATTTCATTTAGAAGTATGGTAACTTTACAACGCACAGTAGTTTTTTTTTTTTTTTTTTTTTTTTTCTTTTGGAGGAGGCATCGGCGTCAAAGTACACTGTTATTCAGTATGAAATTTCTCCAAAAGAAGGTTTCTGTTTAAATTGCTTATTAAGAGAAAGTTATCCAATATGAAATTTTACCAAGAGAAGGTTTCTGTTTAAATTACTTATTAAGCGAAAGTTTGGTTAAAGTTAGAATTAGTTACTTAGAAACGACACAGTCGCGAGAACTTTTCATGCATTACGTATGCTAAGAAGGGTACATATAAAATCTAAACAAGAAGTTTAAAGAACTATTAAGTTAGTGATTTATTAGAGATTTATTTTCTTCTTTTATATTTTACATATTCTCCTTCAAGGGGGAAAAAAAAAAAAAAGACTTGGCAAGAGAAAACACTTTTTAGAGAGAAAGAGCTACAGCATTAGCAAATGAAGAGAAATAATTTGGAAAATACAAATGATAAAATTTTGTCCTGCGTAATTGAAAAATGTAAACTCTGATGATATTTTAATAATAGTGATAATAGAATTCTATGCAAATTTTCTGTCAAAAAGTCTTAGAATTAGAAACGACACAGTCGCGAAAGATTTATTAGAGATTTATTTTCTTCTTTTATATTTTACATATTCTCTTTCAAGGAAAAAAAAAAAAAAAAAGTCTTGGCAAGAAAAAAGACTTAGAGAGAGAGCTATAGCATTAAGAGAAAGAGAAAGAGCTATAGCATTAGCAAATGAAGAGAAATAATTTGGAAAATACAAATAATAAAATTTTGTCCTGCGTAACTGAAAAATGTAAACTCTGATAATATTTTAATAATAATTATAATAGAATTCTATGCAAATTTTCTGTTGAAAAGTCTTAGTTTTAAATCCGTATTATTGTTTAAATCCATATATGTTTTAAATCCATATTATCATATTTTTTCAGGTGAGGCTTTTCAAAACTTTGCACACAATATTATAATTATAAAAATTTTATTTATGCACCCATTACATATTTTAAATAAGTACAGCAAATTTCAAAATTTCATAACGTAACTAATTTTTAACTTGTATTTTAACATCATAAACTTTATAATAATACAACTGAAATTATGTTTTACTGTTGTTATTGCATTTCTAATTTTCTTATCTTACACAAAACTGGAAGACCCCACAACTTTCTGTAAAAACAAACAATTCCTTCTATTGGTCTAGTCTACATTAGCAAATTGATGTATACTCAACAATGGTTAAGTGGTTGCTAGACAGTTACTCATAAAGGCAACTGGCCTTTTTGAATTGCACTATAACATTCCATAAAAAAATTTAACCACACACTGTTATGTATAAAAAATAATTATACATAAAAATTAATAAGTGGGAGCCTTCATGTTTATATTGCATGAGGAAGGTAAAAACAGGCCTCTGTTTTGAATCAGTTTTCCCTCAACATACTCTATTTTTGTATAATTCTTTTTTACTTTTTAATAGTATTTTTATAATCATTGTTCTAATATTTAATGTCAAATTATTTCATATTTTCTAGATTATATTTAAAATACAATTCTATATCCATTTTTCTGTACCAATTTTTCAAAATTAATTTATTCTTAAAACAGCTCAAAATTCTTTAAAATTCAAATTTTTAAACAATAATCTAATCTCTAGTTATTACTACAGTAATTTTTAAACACCTCCCCTAAATAAAGTAGTTAAAAATCTTTAAATTGTTTAGTAAATTATATTAAAACATAAGTATGAATTTTTTCTTTACTTTTCTTTTCTTTTTTTAATATCGTAAAATTTTAATAATTTTCATAAAAATAGTATTTAATCTTTAAAATATAATATAATAAGAAAAACAACATTCAATGTCTAAACTTCAGAGCAACCCTCAATTTAAAATTACTTACTTTAGGTTAATGAAAAATGTTTAGTGTACATTATTAACAAAATAACATTAAATAAACTCACAAAATTTGTAAATTAAAAATCATTTCAGAAATATTGAGTCATTTTTTTAACAATATTTTTTGCTTTTGCCAATTAATACAATTAAGCTCAAGCTCAATCCTGTCAGACTTTATTACAATGGAAACAGTCTTAGAAATCTTGGAATATGGTAGAGACAGTTAATAATGAAATGATGAAATATGGCATATTGTCATTGTTGCAAAGGCTGCCCAGATGCTTCTTCAAATCCAGGAACAGACAGTAGTCACTGGGTTCCAAATCTGGACTGTTTGGAGCATGATCAAATTATTCCCAGCAAAATGACGTGATGAGATCTTGAGCTCGTTTAGCTGTATGTATACAGGTATTGTACTGAAGCAAAACGATCCCCCTATTCAACATGCCATGCTTGTTGTTTTGGATTACATGGTGCAATTGCTTTAAGGTCACAAAATTTATTAGAATTTCATAGAATGTATTGTGTCTCCACAGGCCAAAAAACCTACAACCAACATCCCCTTCCTGTCCGAAAACACGGTACACATGATTTTCGGGGTTGAAACTATTTGGTTGAACTTCACTGTCTGGGGTGATGATAAATGCCACCATTCCATGGACTGCTGCTTCAATTCTGGTTGTAGCGTAAGCCAACCAGGTTTCGTCGCCTGCGACAGTTTGGCTTGAGAAACTTCCTCACTGTACCATGAAAGGAAAGTTAAAGCATTTCCTAAATGCTCTAACTGTGCACCTCTGTCAACATTTTCAGTATCCTCCACACAATTTTTGATAATTTAAACGTTTGCTTACAGTTGTATAGAAAACTCTGTATGGAACCCGAGGAAAGTCATCAGGTAATGATGAAATAGTTAAACATCTGTTCTGTTTTACTCCTTTGTCAACTTTCTGCACCAAATCTTCAGTAATGACAGAGGGTGTCTCACTTTATTTATCATCATGAATATTCATGCAGCTGTCTTTGAAAGCTCTAACCTATTTCCATACCATTTCATCTCTCATAATGTTTTCTCCATACACTTCTCTAATCTGATGATGAATTTCAGCCACTTTCATATCTTTAGCATTAAGAAAATGAATCACCGATTGTGTTTCACACTCAGCAGGATCCTCAGTTGGCAGAGCCATTTTAAATACTCAAATAAAAAAATGTTATCAGAGTTGAAAGTTTCCTTAATGGCACCATTTCCATAGTGTATACTTTCACTTATATATAATAATTATATATAAGTGAAATAATATAAATATAAAATATCTAATATAAATCTTAAAGTAAATAATTGGGAAAATGTGCAGTATTTTTTCTTAAGGATTCTGTTAAAGGTCTATGCTGTTATAATGTGCATATGTGTATTTATTCCATTTGATCTTGCTTTAAAGTGCAAGTTGAGTAAAAGTAATGTTGCAAATAAAAGTATATCATACTACTTTGATAACTATTTGTTTCTGATGTACTACCAGTTATTTAAATTTACTTCTTCCTTTCCTCCCCCCCTAGATGTTTGGTAGCGCTGCTCCTATTTTGGACATGGATACTCAAAGCAGTTATGGTGATGCAAGCAAAGTAATTTTCTATTTTATACCTTTTGAAGTATAGAAAGTACTTTATATCTTGAAAACATTTTAGTAATTTACTTTTGCAATTGAAGTATTTGATTTAGTGAAAAATAATTTTTTAAAATATTGTTTGTTATTTGTAAGTTGTAATAGAAATTTGTATCGCTGTGTTGATTTGTAATAACTTGCTTATGACAAAAAATAATATTCTAAAGCTTCTCCATAAAGTATTTATTTTTGTTAGTTTAATAACTATAAGTTTATTAGGACATATTAATAGCTTTCATTGGCAAGTGGACTATCATAAAAATTGAAGCAGATTAGCGAAATAAGTTCTGAAACTTTTTAGGGGTAGCTAAACGGGAGTTTCAAATGTTTCTTGTACATATGATGTTAAAGAAAAAAGGTGAAAGCAACCACTGTGAAGAACTACTTTATATACTGTGGAAAGTAATTTATAGCTCTTAAATCTTAGAAAACTGATATTCTTTGGTTAAATTCCAGTCTAAAGTTAATCAGCATTGGATTTTAAAAGGTATTTAAAGCAAGGCTGGAATCACCCATAGTTTCATAAATGATCTTGAAAAACACTATTTGCAGTTTGAAGGAACCCAAATATTGTCAAGAACAATTCAAAAGATTCCATGTACTTATTAAAGTTTCTACAACAATCGATATTAAAAATTGTATAAACTGGATACTGAAGAAACTCTGGATCGAATGCTTAAGGTATGTATATCAATAGGCCTGCAGCATAATCTAAAACTATCTATCAAGATGTAAATAGAGTTTTATTGAAAATTGGCCTGCTAGGGAGAACACGGGCAAATTCAATAGAAGTTATAGTAACAGAAACAATTAAATCACCATTATTCATTCCTTTAGTTTTATAATTATAAAAAAGATATTCAAAGTATTGCCATATTTTTTAATCTGACAGAAAAAAGTTTCATTCTTTTAATAGTATTATGCATTTAATAGGTAATTTTATTAAAAAAATAATTTATTCTGTACTATCTACAATTTTTAATATACTTTTGAACACTTCCCCCCCCAGTCATAAAAGTTTTTTTTTTTTTTTTTTTTTTTTGAATACTAGAGATGATTTTATTCTTGCATGTCTATATAATCTCATCATCAAAAGTGTTGGGGGTAATTTAACATACAGTAAGACCCCGCTTAACGCTGTTTCGTTTAGCGCTGTTTCGGTTTAGCGCTCTTTTATTTCAACCCGGGGATTCCACGAAATCGCTCGCAGCATACGGGGATTCCCCGAAATATTATGCAGCGATAGGTTTCAAATACATATCCGAAAGAGTGTACTTGTATTTCTTGTTTGGTGCGATATTGTACAGACATATTTTGAAGGGGTAAATGTGGAAGATGTCGAAGAAATAATTCAAGAAGCAGCGGCTAGTCTTTCTAATGATGAGCTCAAGGAATTAACTGAACAAGAAGAAAACAAAAATGTTGACAGCAGTGGTTCAGAAGAAGAGCAAAAAGAACTTTCGATGGTGTTTGTAAAAAGGAGTTTGTCTACCATAACTGAAATAATGGATCAATTCATTGAAAATGATCTGAATTTTGATAGGAGCTCAAAAGTAAGGCATGGTGTTAGAGATGCTCTGTCCATTTATGAAGAACTTTTAAGAGAACAACGCAAAAGAAAAAGGCAAACAACATTAGATGCTTTTGTCACAAAAAGGCAGAACACTGAAAACGCGGAAGGCTAACTAAATATGACTGACTTAGAATTTTATTTGTTTTTTTAAGAATATTCGTTTTGTTTATTTATATTTTGTTTTTATTTTTGCAAGAAATAATAATGTGGTATTAATTTGGGCTTTAAGAAATAAATGTTTGGTTTTATTTTTATTAAAAAAACATACTTTTTAAATTTAATACCTAACCAATTTCCTAGCCATCTTCTTCTAACCCCAATATTTACATGTAAAGATAGCCTCGTTAAGCGCTGTTTCGCATTACGCTCTACTTTGATGGAACGTATCTCCCACATTAAGCGGGGTCTTACTGTATTTAAAAGTATTTTCAAAGCTCCTCTTTCCTATTCGACTAAGCTGTTAAACTATTTGTAAAATTCTGTTGAGGAAGAACTGCTTTTATTTATCATTTGTTGTTGAGAATTTTTTTAATGTACTTTTTGCTTGGGTCTAAGTACAGTCAACTGTACTTATACAGAAATTAAACTGATATTGTGCATAATGCTGCAAACGTAACATTTAATTTTTGTTAACAGTTGCTAATGACAATAATATATTAAGACTCTAATTAAAATTAGGATGCTTATTATTTGGCTTCACTAAGCTGCCAAATTTTAATTCAGATCTTCAAATTTTGAATAATTTTTTTCAACAAATTTGCTGTAATGATTCATCTTGAACCATCCAAGAAACTAAGGGTTTGGCCTTTAAAACCCTAAAATTAAAAAAGGTCATGAGTAAATGGCACTCTGAGATTATAATTCCAAAATGACCTTCCTACTTTATACCTTTTCTTCCAATATTTATATTACTAGTTTAATTGTCGAGCACATTTCAAGATATATATATATATATATCTTTGTACTTAAATGTATCATGACAAATATTCTTTAACATATGCAGCATTGCTGCTATGTACGCAAGGGTAATAAAGTAAGGTTAGGTAAGGGTCAGTACAATTATTAATATCTGTTTCCACTACCTATAAAACTTTTCTCATTTAGAAAACTTATTAACAAAATATCATGTTTAAGTTTTCATTTAGTAGATTTAGCAATAAATTTTATGATTCTTTTTAATCTAGTTTGACTACCATTAATAGTCATAATTATATTTGAAATCATACAAGAATATTGTGCAGAGACTGTTCTCACAATGTTTAGATGATTTTCATTGTATTTACAGAAATATTTTGCCAAAAATTTTTGGGTTTTAAATGTTCCATTTGATAACCCTTAATCTTCACTATCTTCCTACACTGTAATTCCTCCCTTTTCCCCCAAAATAAAGCCTTTTTTAATATGGAAATTGGTATTTTATCCCATTTCTCTTGGACAGCTTTCCAGAGTCCAAGGAGAATTATAGGTCAACATTTGGACAATTTGCTTTTAAAGAGTCCAAAAGGGCAAATATCTATGGATAATGCATCAGGAGATTTAGTAGGGATAATAATGAAGGGTATGCCCTTGATACCCGTTTCTTGTTCCATTTTTGCCAAGAAATTAAGGGTGGATTTTGATGTGTGGCTGCTTGCTTTGTCTTGATGCAGTTCTACCAATTGATGACACTGTGGGTAAAGAGAAAATATTTCATGTCTGAAAATAGTACATAAAATATGTTCCTGGTAATATGCGGTGTTGATCTTAAAATTTTTTTGCAGTGTCTTTATTTTTTATTGTTGTATAAAAAACCAGCAACGATCATAAATCCCTTTGAAAAACTTCCTTTAGGTTCTTTGAATCCTGAAGATTTTTTAATAGCAAAGCAAAGTCATTTAAAAAATGTGTGAATAACCTCTGTGTTTCCTCTTTTAAAGAATCTCAAAGCTTAATGTAATATATCAAAGATAAGAAAAGCATTTTATACATCAATATAGGTCAGTGAAGAACTGTGTTAATATTAATGAGCATTCATTTGAAATAGATAACATCATTTTTTAATTACATACCCTGTATTTCATTTAATGTTTTTTTTTTTAATATATATATCAAATATCCAGAAGCTGTGCCATCATTATATCCCTTCTATTTTAAATGAATTATCTTAAAGTATTTATCTGCAATCCCATTCTGATGAGATGCAATTTATGTGAAATTAGCATACAGACAATGTGTTGCATAAAAATTATACATTTCACTCATCATACTTATACTTTGCAATTTTTTAAATGTTTAATTTGCTATATCAGTTTATGAATGTATCTCAGTTAAAAAGATCAGCTATAACAATATAGTGCATACCATTTCACAACGTTAACTGTCAAAACTTAAACAGCTATGCTTCATTAATACTATCCCAGTTGATAAACTGCAACAGAGATAGCTACTGCTTTGGGTTTGGATTTTGCATGTCCTTTGATAATAGTAAGTCCACATGATGTTATTGTATGTGAATTTGGGATACATCAGTCTACTCTTTGGACTGTGTTGAGAAAAAAAATTGCATTTTAAGGCTTCCAAATTACAAAGCATGCAAGCACTGAAGCGTAGTGACTAGTTGCAATTTCTAAACTACTGCGTTTTCATGGATGAAGTTATGCAAGATGAACATTTTTGCAGTCAACTGCCACCTATTAAAGAAATGGCAATGTTACAAACTAAAAATTTAACATTTTCCCTTTACAATGACATATTAATTATAATTTTCTGTATGTAATTATAGAAAATGTTAAATTCAGTAATCGGATGTTTGTTTCCTGATAACACTATATAATAAAATTTATGAATTTTATTCTTTGTTCTTTCAGGTACAACCGAAAGCTTTCTTCCAACTGTTACAGTCACTGGAACAGTACGTGGTCGACCCATTAGACATTTTAGAATTGGTAGATGTAGAAAAACCATTGCGTGCATTAGATTTTTGCTATCAAATGGATCCTGACACTCTTTCAATGCTAGATGCTATCTCTCTGTGCATTACAGTCGTTGCATATGCTGCTGATTCACAGCGGGGGCATCAAATGCTTGTAAGATATTATTTCTTCTAGATATTTTTTATATGTTATTCTTATATTTTTTTTATATGTTTCACGTACAATAACATTAATCTTCTATGAGCTACTATTAATCCATATACTTTTATGTGTTTCTGTTATTTCCTTATATATTTATTCTGTCAGTAAAATTACACCATATAAGAGGAGAAATTAGAGAAAAATAAAAATTACTAGGCTGGTTCATGTTGTCTCACACTAATTTACTGTAAGTGTCAGCAGTGAAAGTAAAGTCACTAGCAAGAACTGAGCCAACGATTTATTATGAAAGATTTGTGGAGAGTGCCATAAGAAATAAACATTAAAATAAGTCATGAAAAAGAATTTATATTTAAAAATAGAGCAATGCACTTCATATGTATGAAGCAACTATATGCTTGAAGTGCGATAACAAGCCCGAGTCCTGCATTTTCAGCACCATAGGCTATTCACTACAGTTGTAGTTTCATATAAATTATGCACATTTATAAATTCAAAGCAAAATAAATCTTTACTTAGTTGTCACTTAAAAGAATAACTTAGCTGGCATCCTCCAAAAATCAGCAACTAAGGCTGTGTCATTATGTTTGAAGCCAGTTCTACATAACTTAGTGATAGTTATAATAGCTGATGAGGGTAGAATATGTCTAAGGCTTGAACATTTTATGAAGAAAAGTGAATGCAACAGATGACTGCCATAGCAGCCAACTTTCCTAATTTCTAATTGCGGCTGAAAGTCTCCCAGTAGGGTAATAATCGAGTGATTGATAAAGAATAATAGTATTATAAAAAATGGTGAGTGCAGCTCTTTTTTCTATGAAGCTTTTTAATGCATTTTTTATATTAAAAAATAGCTGCCTAAGACATGGAGCTTAACTGATCTTTTTAACGTTTTTGGAACGGATGGCCACTGTATTGTCAGTTGTGTTCCCTGTTTGAAAGGACAGTGTTGTCCACTTTAAATGGTCATGTTTTTTCCCCATTTCCAGGCTAAAAGATTGGGATGAAATGTCAAAGTTGATGTCCGTGGAGTCTTATCTCTTTCAAAGGCCTTTGTATTATATAAATTTTTCCTCGTTGAGGAAAAGCATCTAAAAGCCTAGTCACTAATCCCTACATTTTCCTTCTTTTTGTGTATGAAGGTCACCCCACTGAGAATCCATTACACAACACACAAGGATCTTTGTTGCAGGAAGGGAGTGATTTCTTAAAGGGAGAAATCATTAAATTCAAGATTCTCATCCTCTTACAGCTGCCAACGCCCGTCCTCAAAAGGTTAAGATGCATCAATACACATTCAGTCAGCTTGTGTAGACAATATTGAAAGGCACATAGGAATGTGGACATACCTTAATGAGAGACAATAGGTTCTGTGATGTTTTCTAGTAGAATAATTGTTATCCATAGAACAAATAGTGTAGGGATGCTTTATATTATAGTTTTTACCACTACTTAAAAATTTGACTTTGTATGGGAAATCCAGATGTATTATGACAGCTTATTAGTAGTAAAAAACGTATGAGAATGCTAGAAACAGCCTGCTTTCGGATGAACCATTTACAGTACATTTAGTATTGTTACTAATTCAACAATATTTTTTTGGTTTAACCGCTTGTGCTATGACTAAACTTCACAGTTGTGGTGCCGTGCTCTACAATATAACAAGCGGTAAAGTGTCTCATTTACGCCGCTCCGCGTCTGCGAGTGCGAGAGCTGTAACTTGAGAAATAAACAATCTCGTTGATAGGCGACGTGTGCACCACATTATTTTCATTTTTGCGATAAATGCCTATCGACATGGTATTCACGTCGCTCGTGGTTTAAGACAAAAGCATCTCGACGTGCATGACATGTCTTTTTAGTGCAAGGGGTTAAGGAATTTCATTTCTTTTCTCCTCATTTTGTCAATAAAGCAAAAACTCTTTATTTGGCAAGTTTATCCCAGTTTGTCAAACTAGAATTTGCATGGCCAGCTTCCTTGATATAAATTATAATACAAATTCTGAAATCTGGATGTCCAGTATCCAGAATAATCTAATATCTGGATACCTAGAACGACAGCCAAAAAATAAAATAAAATAATAATAATAATAATAATAAAATAATATAAAAAAACCTAGGAATGGAGGATTAAAACACTTACTTCATCATCAAAAGCAATTAGGTGTGATGTAAATGGGATTTTTCTCTGAACTAAATGATATTCTTGTCTATCACATTCAGACACCTGCTGGCTAGAAAAGTGTCACCATGGGTAATCACAATACATTAATTGGTGGTGTATTGATGTTTTTCGTATTGTGTATTGATGTTTCAGTAAAGGGAGCCCCAATGTTGTCTGTGTACATATAATCTTTCTAGATTTAAATTGGTAATTCAAAATCGACGAAGTCCTGACGATTCTGGATCTTGGATTTTTTACTGTATAATACAGACAAAGAATTGCATTTGTTATTTTTAAATCTCTTAGTTTGGTATTAGTAACAGGCAGATTAAATTGGAAAGAAAAATTAAATATCTTATACTTTGCCATTTGGAAACAAACTGGCACATGAAGCTAAAAATATTTTATTTCTTTTAAATCACTGAGTTTGTTAATGAAATTCAAAAGACAAGTATCTTGTATTCTACTATCGCCTAGTTTTCTGATTAAATTTTTAAACTTATAATCTCACACTTTGTCGAGTGGAACACATTGCTCTTAAATTGCCAACTTTGTTAGTAAAAAATTCATTAAATTCACTCAAAATATGAAATAAATCAAAAACAAATTAACTCAAATCAAATCAAATCAAAACTCAAAATTTGGGTTTCGAGATGCACATGTATAGGTGAAGGACTATTTGTTTTCAAACTCAGAATATGAAACTAAATAACTCAAAATATGAGATGAATCGAAAACAATTTCAAAACTCAAAATTTGGGGTTCAAGGTGCACATGTGTAGATGAGGGACTATTTTGTTTTCAAATCTGAGTGGTTGTAGGTGTCACCATTTTTCCACAATGTGAGGAATGTACGTACAGATTTTTCATTATTTACTAAAAAGAATTGTCAAAAATTTCCAGTTTTTAATATTTTTGAAGGAATTTTTCCTAAAAATGAACAATTTAGGTGTTATTTGTATGTAACTTTTTTCACTTCCAAATTTGAGTAATTATTGCTTCCGTGTTAGGAATAATTCAGTTATTTAAAATCAAGCATAGAAAAATTATTATCATATGAATGTTGAAAGATTTAGAAAAAAAAATCTCAAACTACAAATTAACATTTGGACATTTTAACATTTGAAATTGTTAAAATGTTCTTCATATGCTGAGTTATATATGAAGCTCATGGAAGGAAGTGACACCAAATATTATCAGTAATCATTAAGACACAATAACACGCCGAATAAATACTAATTAAGAAGTCAAACAACAAAAATCAGCGTTATATTCACAAAATTTTCACAGGACTAGTTTCGATGGTTTTACCGAACCATCATCTTCAGCTGCAAAACCGCAAATGAACAAGATAGGAAATAATGATTAGATAAGATAAGAAAGCCTGGACAAGAATAAGCAAGTGGCGCCATCTGTTGGCGAAACCAGAACTAAAACATAATTTCTCTAAAAGCCGAAGGCAAATTTGGATTGGAATTAGGATCGTTAACTAGAACAGAAAGATTTTTATGAATGTGAAATGCCTCTAGAAAATCCAGTTCTCCAATGGAAGATGTTTTTTGAATAATTTTGGCAGCAGAAAAATTGAAAGTGTGATTTTCGGACCAACAATGTTGAGCAACAGAAGACTTCTGTGTTTCCTTTTTTCTAACATATGCCTCATGTTCTTCGACGCGAAATTTTAAGGCTCTCTTAGTTTGGCCAATGTAAATTAAACCACACTGGCAAGGAATCCTATAAATACCCCAGGAATTCATATCCGGAATGGGGTCCTTGAGTATAGAAGTTGGAATTTTATTGATGGGAGAATAAACAACCCGAAAGTTAAATTTCTGCAAAATATGTGCAACTTTATAGCTAATTGATGGAAAAAAGGGAATGACAACAGAATTTTTATAATCTCCTAAAATAAGAGTGTGGCTTTTAGTGTGTTGAGATGAGAATTTTTTAACTGCTTGATTAATAATGTTGGGTGAAAAGCCCCTGTCAATAGCTATTGCTTTTAAATAATTTAGTTCTTCATCAAGGGCTAGTTTGGAGGAGCAAACTTGAATAGCACGGAAAACATAGGAATAAAATGAAGCTAACTTTTGTTTAGTCGGATGACATGATTTAAAGTGTGGTGGAAGGCAAACCGATGAAGGTTTACGGTAAACTGTAGTACTGAAGTTGGATGTGTTACGTGTGACCAGAATGTCGAGAAACGGAAGAGAATTGCAAGTCTCAAGTTCAAAAGTGAACTGAATAGCAGGATCAATAGAATTCATTGTTGAAAGAACTTTATTTAAATCATCTTTATTACCTTCAAACAGGGTAAAAGTATCGTCTACGTAGCGGAACCATGCCGGGAAGTTTAAAGTTTCAAACAATTTTGATTCATAATAATGCATGTAGATATCAGCCAGGATGGGACTGAGGGGGCTTCCCATGGCTAATCCCTCAGTTTGCTTGTAATATTTATTTTGGAAAACAAAATGTGTTTGTTTCAAACAGAGTTGAGTGAGAGAAATTAGCTCATCAATTTCGATGCAAGAGAAATGAAATTCGCGAAGTCTGGTTTCTAGACATCTTAATGCACCCTCCACTGGGACATTGGTGAATAATGATTTTACATCAAAAAAAGAAACCATGAGTAAATTACTAGGAGAAATGTTTTTAACCTTTTTTACAAACTCTATTGAATTTTTTATGGTGTAAATGTTATTGTCTAATAGAGTGGAAAATCTAGAAACTAAATATTTAGCTAATGGATACGAGGCAGTACCTAAATTTGATACAATAGGGCGGAAAGGAATACCACTTTTATGAATTTTGGGAAGAGCATATAATCTGGCACAATTCGCAACAGATGGGATAAGCGAATGTTTTAAGTTGCTTGAAATGATTTGCGAAGATTTGATCGCAGTTTTTATTTTGGATAAGTCCGAAGGTGAAGGATCTTTAGGGATCGGATTATATGGTCCTTCGTTTAAGAGTTTAGTGACACCATCGATGTAAGTGTTCTTATCCATGACGACTATCTGGCCACCTTTGTCGGCCTTTGAAATGATAATATCCGGGTTAGAATGAATTTCGCGCATTGTAGCTCTTTCTCTCGCAGTTAGATTTGGTTTCAAAGGTTTATTATTGAATTTCACATTATGAGCGATAAGATGCCTAATCATTTCTTTCTGTGAATCTGAAACTTTACTGAACTTGAAAGCTTTTTCGATAGGAGCCAAAATCTTTGGAATCGAGGGTTTACAGGTTTGTGAGAAGTTAAAATTATATTTTAGAATTCTCTCTTGTTCTTCTGAAAGACTAACATTAGAAATATTAACTACTGGCTTGATGTTTACAATGGGAAGATTTTTTGAGCTACTTGAACTGGAAGACTGTAAAAGAAGTTTTTCGAATTTAACTGCAAGGGTGTTTTTATGACGGATAACTGCATTCTCCGTTCTAGACCAAGACTTTTGTTCAAGGGCAGTGAATTTTGGATAGGATTTAGCGAGTTCCAGATGAAGCTTATAGAGTTCATGTTCAATTTTGGACAATTGTTGACGTGTATCCCTTATCACGGACCGAAGTAAGGCAAGCTTGCAATTTAACAGAATTCTTGAAACGCGACTCGAAGGTTTTTGATTAGATTTGATTTGAATAAAATTGGGGATCAATTTTTTACATTTACATTTAAGTAAAAAGTCAAGATGATTCAGGAATTTTTGCCGTTTCAGGCGTAATTTAGTGAAACGATTAACGGATGAAGGCATGATAAACAATGCAGAAAATCAAACTAAATTAACTGAGCATAAACTAATAGCATAAACATAATTAAATTAACTTAAATAATAAAGTACACACAATACAGCAGAAAAATCCCTCACTGAAATGAATAGAAAACAAAACGTTTGTAAGAAAAATGCATGAAGTCAGACAAGCAAAGCACAATATCCAAATGTACAAAACATAAACATAACTTGAACGTGGTGTGGCCGCCATTTTGTGATTGTAGGAGTTTCGGTGAGTACATTTTTGCAACTTTCAAGTTGTTTTCTTGGAGGCTTTTAAGTAACTAGAGATTGCAAAAAAATTTTCAGTGAAATATGAATGCAATATCAAGTCCAAAATATATATGTTCCATATCTAGACCTTTGGACCACTAGTCCAATTAGTAAATAAATATATTGTTACTTTTTTTTTCTGACACCAGTTGTTACGTTATTTTCTTCTTTCATGTTACATTTAAGAGGTTCGTGAGGATTTGGAGTGAATAACGACGACACTTAATGAAGTATCGAAACACACTTTATTGAGCCAATATTAATCAGGGCAGCTCCAAAATCACGTTTTACAGTCATCGAAGAACTACTATAAACACGCTGGAACAATACGCGACATAGCCTTCAGGTTATCAGGCTACCACGGTGCAGGTAGCTTTACTGCAAAGCACCAGATTACAGCTCCAACTCTGCTTGGTCGTTCTCGGAACTCCACGTACTCTCGAGACTCTCCACGCTACAACTCGTGATGCACTTGACGATACACAGAGCACAGCTCCCGACTCTTCGGCTCAGTCGTTCTCGGAGTTCAACACGCTCTTTCGACGATGCACTAACTGCAATACACTAAGAGACTCCTTCGGTGTGCTCGACGACCTACTCGGCACTCGCTGCCCCACTGTCAACTCGATCGACTCCACACAGATTGCCTAACTCGAGACTAACTATTTCGCACTCTAGACGAGGCACACGCACTAACTGACTGCGGACTAGCAGGGTTTATATAGCTTTCGGCTTGTGTTCGAGAACGTTCTGGGCTAAACCAGTAAGAATTTGTTCCAGAAGGTTCTCCATTCGTCCATGGAATATCACCAATTTTGTCACCAAATGTGGCAACCTTGCCTTCCCTTGCCATTTTATGGCAACCCTAAAACTACTTTGCGGGGAAGCTATCTTACCGTGCCTTGAGATTTCGTAACATTATAAATGAAATTTAAATAGCAAGAAAAATTCCCCATCCTGCTTATAAAGGATAGGAATGGAGAATATTATACTCAGCAAAAAAAGGCTAGGTATGTCATAAATGCCATTTTTCTCCCCAACCAACTGAGGTTCTTTGCAGGCATGTCACTTTCAAACACCTACTGGCTAGCAAGGGGCCAGGTGGCTAGTGACAATTAATGCTGACTATGAATTGATTGACATATTAATGCTGATTATGAATGATAAATTTTGTCCTTGAGAGGGTTTGCATTTTTCTGTCTAACCTAAACTCTAAGAGTAGCCCCAATGTTGCTATGTCATCATGTCATTTTACTAGATTACCCTTTTGTCCTGAATGGTACACATAAGTACCACTGATATTTAAAAATACCTGCATTTCATATTTAACATTTAAACTAAACAAAAAGTGTACCACTACCGTATTTTAAGTACCACAACATCACTGCAGTGTATATCACCATGCAGATTTCACAAATGTAAGTTATGTTTGTTAATAAACCAATGAATGCCTGTATTATATATTTTATAGTAAATTTGTATAAGAATAAACTTGATTTTATACATAATTTTATTCTGTAATACTTATAATACGTTTAGAAAAGAAATAGAATATCAGATATGTAAGAATTAATTAGAGTTTAGAAATTATTTATCTTTTTGTTTATCTGGTGTATATATATATATGTGATGTATCAGCTTTAGTCGTAGCTTAAATAATCAGACGATAAGTTTAAAAAACAGGATCCATTTATTATTATTCAGGAGAAATAGCAGTTGCAAAAATCAGATATCCGGAGTAAATAAAAAGAATTACTAATAACTTTTTGTATGAAATTTACTGCATCGTGACATTTAAGAAAAAGCCGCGATGTTCCTTTTGCGAATCCTTTTATAGCCTCTGGAAAGGCGGAGCTTCCAAGAAATGACGTCAGCCTCGTCAGCCAATCCAGTTCGCTTTAAATATTTCCAGAACATTCTATAACTGTACGTGTAGAAAAGGTGGGAAAAACAACTTGACTACGGGGCTGTGGATTTAATTCCACGTACTTTCAAATAAGAGAACATCGCCATTAAAAATGAAAAGAACATACAGTTAGAATTTTAAGTGTATTCTTGAATATGGAATTTCATGATTACATACATATATATATATATATATATATATATACACACACACACACACACCAGCCAGTATTATTACTGGTACATATGTGTATCACTTTTTATTACAGGTACATCTGTGTACATTATTACCGGTACATATGTGTACCATAATTTAGGCAAATTATTGTTACAGAGAATAAATTATCTAGCTTTGGGTACATACATGGCCAACCACAATCCCCTACGAAAAAACAATGCAAAAAATAACAAAACTACAATGAGTAACCGTAGTCAAACAAACAAATTGCTTTTGTCTGAAAATCTATTATTCATATTCAGGGATAAAAGGGTCTAAAATTCAGAAATTATTTCTCAAATCTGAAATTGCCATAATTTCAGGTATTGGACTTTGTACTGTGTCAGATAAAATACTCAGTTTTTTTTATAATTGAAGATGAAATTTGTGGAATAGAATTGTTAAAACAAATGGAGCCTTTGATGTCAGTTTCCTCTCCTAACTCTTATAATGCAGCTCTTATAATTTGTATGTAAAATATCTTCCATTTATCCATTGTGTGTTTATATGCACTGTACAATTTTTGTGCTGCATTCCTGTGTGTATTTTAGTAGTTCCTGATGTATGAATAATCTTCGTTTGCCAAATTATAACACTGGTCGTGCTTGATTTATCAAATATGGTTTCAAATCTAGCCCCCCCCCACGTCCAGTTTTATAAGGCATGTTTTTGATAAAGTGCATACTTTCCATTTATTAATATTTGTTAATTTGTTCTTAACTTTATTTTTATCTATTATTTTTTTCTTTTTATCCATGCCCACCAGCAGGTGGTAAAATCATTGAACACTTGTTGTTCAAACCAGTTTACATCACGATGAGTAGGCTGGCTGTATAGTTGTTTTCATGGTTTTCCCTCAGATAACTTGAATATAAACCTTAAAAGGACCTCCATGAAGGTATCCCTCCTTGTTATATGTTTTGAAATAATTTGAATAATCGAATCCAGGTCTTTTTACCAGTAATTTCCTTTTTTATTAATAATTATTAAAAATATTATTTCAGTATCTCAAATGAGCAATAGTAATTAATAAAATATATATCTTTTAACCACAACACAGCATTTTATATTAATAACTATACCAAGTTACTTTATTTTTGTGCATGTTGATCAGTTTTTTAATTTTTGTTCTTTAGACTATTCTTGAGGCTGTGCTTCCCTTCTATTTGCGGCACTTGCAGAATCTCACTATGAAGAAGGAAACTCCTGGTGGTTCCCGATCTGAGCTCAGCATGATTCATAGCATTTCCATTTGCATGAAAACTCTCATTAGCAATTGTGAAGCTCTTGCCAGGTGAAGTTTCTTCATTTGTAATTTTTTCATATTTATTCTTCAAAATTTGTGTGGAATAAATGACAGTAAACAGTTTAATATTTAATTGTTGATTGAAAAAAAAGTTGCTCGGAATAATACTTGTAACAAAATTGTTAAAATAATAATAATTGTTAAATCGTAATAATTGCAGTACATTTCAAAGTAATGGTTATTAGAATGCAGTATTAAAAATGAGTTAAAGGTACAGCAATATAATCTAATTTTTTATTGATACAGTTGAATTCCAAGAAACCTTGGAATCGGGTTGCATGAATTAGAGAATTTAATGGATTTAGTGGAATTAGAGAATTTAGTCGTCATATCCTTCTGAGTTTTGTTTAAATTTATCTCTTTCTCATTTTTACGTTAAATCTGCATTGTGTGCACATAAATAGCTATTAAAACATAGAATACAAAAATATTAAATTTTAAATACAATTATGTATAAAGATTGTCAAGGGCAAAATGGGTATTTTATAATTTTTTCATCAAAAGTACAAATAAATAAATATATTGCCTTCAAAAAAGTGTGCAACAAAATTTTCACTGAATTCAATCCCTAAGCTTTATCAAATATGGTTCTGCCATTATGTTTTGTGCACATGCAGTTGGATTGATAATGCTAATAGCAGTTAAAAAAAGTGCTAGAGTTGAAAATCTGGACTAATAAATTGTCTGGTACTGTTCTGTTATCAGGACTTGAGTCGTCACCAAATGTTTTACTAAACTCACTGAGAGATTGGTTCATTATGAAGTGTTTAGTTTTGAAATGAATGCCTTTTCAAAATTGGCAATGAGAAAATAAATTCTAAAGATGTAACAGTCACTTATGTTTTTATTATTATTGTATTTACCATAGATTCTTATTTAACTGAGTTTATGAGCTGGCAGCAGCATTCTAAAACACAAATATGTTCAGACATTTTAAGCAATATCTGCCATTTCATGCCTCTGTGTTAATCTTGATTTGCTGAAGTTTAATTTACATTCAAAATTTCTAATTTTGCAAAGATCTGTTATGCTATGTTTTCTTTTGGATTTTTCTTCAACTTAACTATATTGTAAATATTTTGCCAATTCTTTTTATGTTTCGAATTTTCTGCCAGATTGTCAGCTTTTAGTGATAATTGAATCCAGTCCCAATAACAGAATAGTATCAATTTTCTTTATGCAATTTTTATTTGCTATGTTTTCTGTATTTGATATCACAAAAGTCTCTATAGTTTCCCTGTTTGTCGCTGATTTAAGTGAACAATACTTATGTGCACAACGTTTGTAGAAATCACTGAATTTTCAAAACATGTGAAACTCTGACGATCACAGTCATTAAAATTCTGCAATTTTAACAAGCAATATCATCTTTTTTTATGCATTCTTTTTATTGTATTTCAGGTGTCAATGGTTTTTATAAATATATCATACCTTTAACTCAGTTTGAAAATGTGTTTATGTGCTTTGCTTGAGATTGGAAAAATTGCTTTATAATTTCTGCTGGAATGTACTATTTTGCCATAAAATAGCTAAAGGGATTGCTTTAAATTTATTCTAAATGATCAGCCATACATTTTCTATCGGAACAAAGAAAGAAAAAAAAAAAAAAAAACTCACTTTTTGGTAGATTTATTGACTGATAATTGACATAATTACCTTATTAAAATGTAAAATATGCTTGTAATAAAAAATTATATTTTCAGTTTCATGTTATCATTCCTTTTCTTCTATAAAAAAGCAACCGAACTGAGTCAAGATGGTTACACAAATGCATAAGTATCAAACAAACTTGTTTATTGTGCAGAATGCAAACAAACCAGCTATGATGCATGCAATATCTGACAAGTAAGGACAAGTAAATTCTTTACATATGCTAACCACATAAATCCCAAATTAATTGAAAAATTTAATTAAATATATGTTCAAGAGAAGAACTTTATTTAAATTAAAAAATCATAGAGAATCATGATTCATGTTTGTCTAAAACAGAAGCAGTGACGTGCTCAATGAAATTGTTAAATAACTTCAGTCGTTGCATAAATTCTTTTCTTCAAACAAAATGTTAGAAATCTAGAGTATTTTTGTTAAGCATACTATAGCAACAAGAATCAGCATGAAATTTGCAGGAATGTGGTTTCAAAGGTTAATTAGTATCTTCTTCTTCAGTTGCAAGAGTGTGGGGGGGAAACATGCTATTACAAAAACAACAGATAAAATCGCATGAGTATATTTTCCCTTCAGCATCTGAAGGAAAAGATTCTGTTTAACGTTTGAAACTATATTCCTGCAAATTTACATGCAGATTCTTCTTGCTATAGTACATTTAACAACATTCTTTGGCATGTTTTCTTAAAAAGTTTATTTGTTTATAATTGTAAGAAAAAATACCATTAAATTTCTCATGTTGAATTTTTAAAAAAATTGAAATTTTGCTTGTATGCATACAAAAATAAGCATTGATTACAGCCATTTGTGGGTTCAACATTCATGAATTATCAGAATTCTACTGTATATGAAATATTAATAAAAAGTCACTAAGTATATCCAGTTTCCTTCTAATGTGCATTTATGCATCTGTATTCTTAAGGTAGTGTAAATTTTCTCTATTAAAATGTTAAAGTTTTTCATTTTAAAATATCATTATGTGTACAGTTTTCAGTCCACCCATTAGAGGGAAAAAAATATTTCACCCGAAAAGTGATATGCTTATGTAAGTCAGCAAAATGGCAAAACAAAAAGTATAAAATGTATGCCTAACCATCACCTAGTGTTAGCAGATCTCACATTCTGATAACATATTATCATTTGTGGTAATGTGCTTGACGTTATTAGTAGAAGTTTCTCAATAGTGGCCACTATAGTATTCTTTTTAAAAAATGAATTTTTGGGTTTGTTTTTACATGTTGTTCATTTTAAATAAAGTTCTTACCAAATTGCAGTGAATAAAATAATAAATACAAAATTTATATGAAGTTGTTTCTATATGCAATGATGTGCCATCTAAATCTATTTTGACTCTTAATATTTTATTCTAAAATATCAACATTTTGTTTAAGTGGAACACAAACATTTATTGCACAAAGTTGATACATGGGACATTCATTTCAAAAAAGAAATGAATTTTTAAATCTCCCCCCCCCCATTTAGGAACTACACAGGTCCACAGCGGGCAATCGATTTGCGTGGATCCAGTATCAAAAACATGTCTAGAGGTGCATGTTCTCCACCATATGAAGTAGACGATGATAGTCATTCTAAGTAAGTTGTGTTTTTTCCCCTCCAAAATTTGAATATTCTATGATGTTTATAAATTGGTCACAAATCTTTATATGTTACAAAATCTTATGGAAAATAATGTTTATTATGAACTGCAGGTTCATGACAGACAGTTACTACAGTTCACGTAGACCTCAGCAACCACAGTATGACCGTCAAGTTGAAGATAGTGATATTTTGAAATCTGAATTCCGCCGACCTCGAGACACTTTGCTCAGTGTTGTTTCTGAATTCTTAACAATTTGCTCTGCAAGATTAGCAGATCTAAGTAAAAAGATTCCTGACCTGTCAAGCAAGTCTACTGAACTTTTAGACAATAAATGCCATTTTGTAAGCATATTTTAATAAATTAAATAACTTCAAAGTCCTGTAGACACCGTAGAGCAGGGGTCTGCAAACTTCTTAAATTTTGTATCACATAAATAAGAATCAAAGTATATGCATCATCATAAAAGTATTTTCTAATTAAAAATCAATACATCCTAAATAATTTGGTTATAAACAATGAATACAATATTTTATATTACTCAATTATGTTCATAAATGAAACTTGTATATTATAATAAGATATAAATGCACTAGATATTGTAGTAAATAGTTGGTAAATAATACATAATAGTGAATATGAAAATTTATTATTGATAAAAATTAATGCAACAATCAGGCCTGTTTCATTGTAACCAGTTTGAATATGTTGGTCATTATTTTTATTAATTTCAAGCATGAGTAAGGTTCAAGTTGCAGCCTTGTTCTGCTATTATTTTTAATTAATAGCATGGCCGAAAATCCATACACAAAGCTGTGTGTTGAAAGGCATTAAAAACATTTATTGCTTTGTCAGATGTATATTTATCTCCTGATTTTAGCCAAAAATTGCAATAAGTTTTTTTTTTTTTTTTTTTTTTTTTTTTTTTTTTTATTCATACATGAGATTTCTATCTCATGAAATATCTAAAACCTGATCTGTTTCCTGAACTGAAACATTATCTAGCATAGTACTGAAAAAGAAAAATGTATCTCTTATCCAACTTTCATTTTCTAAATTTTCAGGAAAGTAGGAAGAAAAATTGTCAACAAGTCTTGTGCAGTATTTTAAGTATAGCCAAAAGGAGGGGAAAAGTGCATATCTGAATAGAGATTAAAACAAAATATTAAAAGCAGCATCATTTTACATTCATTTTGAACATTAATTTAAATCTTTTGTGCAAAAATTATAGCATCAAAAATAATATGTAGCATAGTTTCAAAAACTCTCGGTTAGAAAACATGAATTTGAGACTACTTTTAGTTCAGATACTAAGGGGATTACATTGTTTTTTCCCTTCTGTGTAACATTATGTAATTTTTTCCCTTCTGTGTTATGAATAAACATTGAAGAACAAATTATAAGTTGGCACAGTGTCCTGCAAATCATGAGGCATTCAAAAGGTATCATTTCAGATATGGGTTATCTGCTACTAAGTTGTGTGTATGAGGTGGATGTATTCATAATTCACAAAGAAATGCCTTCAGGAATAATGTGAAACACATGTTTGGTTTGCCACTTATATTTTTATATCTTGTTAATAAAGGAGTTTTTTCTCCCTTTTCTAGAAATTTGTTAACAGTTTTTATATTCTTTTGAGTTGTTATATATTTGTGAACACATTAGGCTTCCAATTAACTGGGGTAATACACATCATGATATCCGTGGACAGTCCGACAACAGCTAAGGAAAACACATAATTACCAGGAATTGCAATTAACAGTTTCCCAGTATTTTAAAGCAGTTTAAGTTAGTAAATAAGTTTATTTGGTTAAGCAAATTAAATCAGCATTCAGCCACCCAACGAAATAATGGTTACCGACTCTGTCTGCCATACCAAAGGGCATGGGTTCAAATCCTGGAAAATGCATGGATGTTGTAAATGTATAGTGGCTTTGTGCCATGGGGGCAGTCTAAATATATGCCAAGGCAGAAGTTCTTTCATGTGGTCAGGAAAGAGGGGTAGGAGACCACTGGACCAGTCCCAGGATGCTCTGTCTCAAAATTTGGCTGGAACTTGACAAAATCATACCATCACCTATATGGTGCCCAAGGCTCATGTCAACAGCAAATGCATTCTTGTACTCCTTGCCATGACAAAAATTTGTGGGCTTCTTCTGGTTAGGCAAATAAATTAGATTAGTCACAACAACAGCAATAAATTAGATTCATATCATGAAGAATACGCTGCAAAACAGAAAAAAACTATATTTTTATTTATGTTATTCTTGTATTTCTGTAGGAATCGATGGGAAAAATGGAGATTAATGTATTAATGTTTGCACAATTTATTTTTTTAATGTAGCAGTTTATTTTTAATGGATGATTGAGCAATGTTTATGTATACCAATCTGTGTACAATTAAGTTACATACAGTTGTGAATTTTTACAAATTTTGAATACTGTGACATCTCTTACTATGAATTCTCTTATCCCACACGTTATCTTCTCCCATTTTTTGTGTTTCCTAGAGAAACTTTGCTTTATTCTGATGTTTTCTTACAGTAGTTTTTCCATCATTCTGCGACAAGCAAACTTAATTTTTTTTTTTTTTTTTTTTTTTTTTTTTTTTTTGACTTTTGACTAAGGTTAACCTACACCTGATAAATCGGGAATTGACTGTATATCATGCTACATTTTTTGCTGTGTTTGAAATTTATTTGCTTCTGCAAGTTATATCATATGTCATAAAACACAAGAAATTAGTAATCTTAAAAAAATTAATAAGTAAATAAATTTCAAAAACTGAAACCAGTACACAATTTAATTACTGTATTCGACGGCATATAAGACACACTTTTTCCCTAAATTTGGTTTCCAAAAAGTTACCTGCGTCTTATATGTGAAGGACACAGGTTAACTTTTAATACTGAATGCTATTTTTAGCCCGGATAAAGATCTATACACACATAAATTTTTCTACATCTACATGTGTGTGGCCTTCTAAATAAGGGTGCGTCTTATATGCCGTCAAATACAGTAATGATTTTCAAAAAAATGGATTATGTGAATGTACAGTGGAACCTCGAGATATGAATTTAATTGGTTCCAGCACTGGGCTCATATAGCAAATTTCTCATACCTAGAAACAAACTTTCCCATTGAAAACAATGAAAATCCAGTTAATCCGTTCCACACCCCTTCCCAAAATCTCATTGCCATCTCATCTTCAGTCAACACACCTGGTGTTTTCCAGAGAAGGTCAAAGTACAGATTCCTTTGGCCTCATCAAGTTTCTTAATTTCTTCCTTCTTCTTCAGAATAGTGCAGACCGTCGATGTCGAACAGCCATAAGTTTTTGCCAATTCCATCACTCTTACACCACACTTATGTTTATCTATGATTTCTTTCTTAATCTCCATGCCTTCTTTCTTTTTTTTTTTTCTTTCTGAGGCAACAATCTTCTTGGGAGTCATCATGAAATAATTGTTTTCATGTTTAAATGTAAAAAAAAAAATTAACTCACAAGCGCACAAACACGTAGATCAAAGAACACCTAGGGATCTGAGGAAGAGATTCCCTGAGTCGAGCCGAATCAGGAAATGGCACCACGCACACCAACAGCCTGGCTAATTGCTCGTTATTCAAGTCGGTGCTCATATTTAGAGACAAATGTTTCGCTCATACTTTCCTCGTATCTCAAATTTCTCATATACAGAGGCGCTCATATCTCGAGGTTCCACTGTCAGAGCATTGTTACAAATAAATTTTCTTATGTAAGTGTGAAAGATTTATTGAATGTTATTTACTTTCTGTTTCTGATCTATTACATAGATGAGCAATAATTATTTTTTTTAATGTGAATTAATGTTTTATATTTCTACTGTCCTCATTAGAGGTTAGCTGAAGTGGCACACAGCCTCCTTAAAGTTGCTCCTTATGATCCAATAACTATGTCTTGTCGGGGACTTCAGCGTTACATGAATGAAGTGTTGCCTCATTCAGAATGGGCTCAAGAAGCTATGAGGCCTGCTCTTATAATGGTTCTAAGGAGGGTTGACAAAACATTTAGCAAAATAGCTAAAAAAACAACTATACGAGTAAGTGATATTGGTTACTTATAAATCTGTGGTATTTTTGGTCTACCAAAACAGTTACACAACTGGTGAAAGGTTTTGGTATCTAGAGAAAAAAAAAATTAGAAACCATAAATAATTATAAGAAGAAGAAAGAGTAAGAGCAAAACTTTTAACTGTTTGAAAAAAAAAAAATTTAAATGTTCAAATGATGTCTTAAAAGGGAAGCCATATTAATCAGTAATGAATGTTTTTAATTTATTTTTGTACTACAATCTGATTAGAAACTGAGCCATTTTACATCTGCTTCTGTTTCTTTTTGCAAAATATAAGCTTAGTTCCTTCTTCAATATGTTTTCAGTTGCATTTACTTTGATATTTAATCTGTGAATGGTCCATTTTTAGGCACATATTTAATTTTAATTTGATGACAAGCAGCATCTTTAATAATATTTTCAATTTTTTAAAATTATTTTATATTACTATTTGATTTGATGTCCCCACAATCTAGCAGTTTTGTCATTGAATAATATAAAAGATCTTCAATTGATCTTTCAAACTATAACTATAAAAGCAATAAACTTACTTTTTAATAATTTAAACTTTTGTTTTAAATTTTATATGTAAAAGATATGCAAATGTTAAAAATGAAGATTCAAAAGACAAGTCACCTGCACATCTTCAGGCGATGTCTGTCTCACTTATGTACCTTCAAATCACAAATCTAAAAGCTTTTCCTTATGAGTATATGTAACGTATAGTTGAAACAACAAAATAACTATTATAAAGTATTGTATAATTTGTAGCGAAGCACTTACTATCCGGTACTATATGCCAATTTCACTACCATCAGAACAATCATCCACAAATATCATTTAACAGATGTCCTACAGGTCTATATGAATATTGTTACAAATTTTATATATATATGAAATAAATTTAGTGAAATTATATGTGAAACTGTAGTATCTTTTGTATAAAATAACACAAAATTCTTGAAAACAATGAAGCTCTGCCAGAAAAATAAGGTTACAGGGGCAAGTCTGTTAAACACTGAGGTAAATAACTGTCTCGTTAAATGTTGAGATATTGCCAAATTGGCGATGGTTTTGTTAATTAAATTTTGTCACCAAATTTGGTGTGAAATCATCTGAAGTTCGTGACATTTTGGTACAGCCTGTTTATAAATCATTCATTGCGATGCCAGATCATGTATAATGACAAAAGATCCTCTTTTATTGATGTGCTATTTAATGACAGGTTTTTATGACTATTTCTAATGGTGATGATCATTGCCAGATAAGACTTGTATTTTCTGAGAAGCAGCAGACCATAAAATTAACTAGAGCAGGAGGCATTTATAACAATACAATTTCCAGATGTTAATTTCTTTCAATCACAGCATTCAGTCATTGCATCATTTCTGAATATGGGGAACATTTTCTGATCAGTTTATAACTTTTGTAGCCCTAATACCAAATTTGAATTTGTAAAATAAACAAGATAACCTCAATGTAAGACAGTCATGCTGAGGTAATATTTTTATAATTTTTAATTCCAGTATGTATTATATACCTGATAATTTTCTATTAAATAAGCTTTTATTAAAAAAGTATCACTGTATTTTTAATCAGCAAAATGTGTGCATGGACAGTTTGACCTGGATGAAACTTAATTGCATAATCTTTTTTCATTACTTATAGCACTGGTGGCAGATATTCATACTATAATGTCAAGGTTATTAAAGAGTGTCACATGATTTTTGGTTGTATAAGTATTTTAGGCCCTTTTGTTCAGTTTTCAATCATGTGCATTTCTTGATTAACTTTTACATGATGTAATTTCAAGCACATTTGAAAGTCTATTTTTTTTTTAATCCTAGGGGATACATCATTGATTTGTTATGTTTCCTGCTCTGACTCTCATACATGCCTTTGTGGTACAATTGGAAGCATGTTTAACTAGATTTCAAAGAGATTGCTGATTCTTCGCATTTCCTAGCTTCTGAAAAATCCTGAAAAACCTCTACAAGTAGTACTCAAATAAAAATATGGCGGTTGATGATTCATCACCATCTGGTTTCAATGACTAAGTTCCCTCCTCTTCTGTTGCCCATTAAGTGGGGGAGAATGTAAGGTGTTTTCTCCTTCCTTATTGTAGGCTTTAATGCTGTAGTTGGAGCACATCCAGCAAGCAATCAGAAAGTCCAGAGTTCAAATCCTGCTTAGGACATCATTGCTTTTTTATGTTTTCTGTTCCGAAATGAATCTAATGACTACAAACTTAGCCTTTGCTGCTGCATGCTAGTTTATTAAATCTTACATCTCAGTTTCCATGCTGAATATTCTATATACTATTTTATATAATTTATTCCATATAGGAACATCGTTTTATGTTTTGAAATACTTTTTTTTATTTTCAGAAACAATGTGATACTACAGTTCAATCATATTTTGTTCAGTGTCTGTATAATTAATATACAGAACAAAGTCCGAAATCCAGACATCCATTACCCGGAATGATCTAAAATCCAAACCTCAAAACCACCACCACCATTTTTCTCGTAGGCTCTACGCATACGCATTTAATCCCCCCCCCTCCGCACATAATAAAACATCTGGAGAGTCCCGATTCTTAATTTCACTTCGACACTAAATAAAATACCTTGTTATTGAAGAAACAATCATTTTAGCATAAATTTTGTACGATCAGTAATTTGGCTCCGTTGCTGCGTATGTGCTTGGCACGCATCTCAAACCGAAAGATTCCACATAGATACATCGTTGACAACTTGAGTAATGACTCATGTAGTGATGCTTAAACAATTTTTTTGTCTTAATGATTAAATAATAAAGGAGAATGTTAAACTTTTGCGTTAACATTGCACTTGGCAATGATTACAAATTTAAGTTAAATGCGCTAAAAATGTTGACGAGCAAATATTTTAGCAAAAATTTCTTTCCATATGCTATAAATAGATGTGTTGATGATACTCATAGAGCTAAAGATTACATTTAGGGCTATTTGAATTAAGAATAACTGATTTGTTATTAACATAAACCCAGAACCAGCGCCAGGGCTTGTATGGCTGCAACCGGGTCGCATATTTAGGACTCACAAAGACTGCAGCAGGCGATAAGATATCTAGCACCGGCCCTCAATAAGGCTTAAGTATATATGGAAATTTATTTATTCAGAACTCTGAAAAGCCTTAACCATGTGCAAGAAATAGACATAAGTATAATAAATAACTAAACTAATATAGTTCAGGCTTAATTGTCTCAGTTCGCAATAGATGCAAGATAAAATTTAACAGAACACCTTGTCGTTAATTGCCAATCTCATAATACATAGCCAAATATGTATAGTGAAGGATAGCTGAATTTGATGATGATACCCGCTAATTTTAAAGGTTTTCGGATATGGCATAGCAAAAGTGAAATTTTCCAATTAACGGATTCTGTAAAGAAGTGTGGAGAAGCGGTAATAAATGAAGATGACATAAAAGAAGTTTTTCATTGTGATGACAATGCTTCTTAATCATCAATCAATTACTGAATGGTGAAATCTGTAGTATGGTCCTAGATCCAAAAAATATCACTACCGATAGTGAAGAATGTGACAGAAACGTTGCTGAAAACGAGAACATTTCGATTGACAAGTTAGCTGGAATTCTTGAAACAGCAGTTACAGGACTTCAACAATGTAACTAAAGAAGAAATTATGTCTGTCTACAGAATTAAAGAGAAGTATTAGCACAAAAAATGAAGCAACTTAAACAACTTACAATGAAAGAAATGTTTAATAAGGTAAACAAATAAATATTACACTCTTTTTTTTTTTTTTTTTTTTTTGTTTTGTGTGTGTGTGTGTGTGTGTGTAAATTTTAATACCCTTTATAGCATAAATACTTCATTATTTCATAAATCAAAAGTTCATATTTTTAATTTTGTAATTTCTACATGCCATCTTACTAGATTTAAACTGATGATCTAATATCCAGAAAAATCCGGAATCGCCAAAGTCCCGACGAGTCCGGATTTCACACTTTGTACAAAATGTTATTAAATATTATGTTTACTACTATATTAATTTTGTTAAAGCATTCGTTTCATTTATTATTGTTTAAAACGTTCTTCTTTTTTGTCTTATTCTGGTTAGAATCTAATTGTTTGTAATCGAAACCTTTGAAGATTATTTTCCACGTCTTCTTCTGACAGGTGTGGGTTTTTTATCGGGGGGGGGGGGGGTGTGTTTGGATTAAATTTTACCAGGAAGGTTTGATTACTTATTCTGTAACTAACTAGAATTGCAGCAATTTGAATTTAGCAAAATATTTTGAAGTCATGTGATCTGAAAATGTAAGTTAGTTCATTATTATACTTTTAATGGATTACTTGTATAAAAAGTAAAAATAAAAATTAACATTATCTACTTTAAATGAATATTAAATGAACATATATAACATTTTGAATATTTATTTTATTTTAGCGTTTAACAGATTGGAATGCCGCAAGAACACTTCTAAAAGGTATGTATTTATCAAATGTATTAGAGCATGAGTTCATGAAAGTTTCTTCTTAAACTATAAAAAATATTTTTCTATATTTTAGGAGTTTATTTAACGTTATACAAACATCCATACATAGTTCATCTGCCACATCTTAAGGTAAGCATTGAATTTTTTATAAATTTTATAATTACGCTTTATAAATTTAATGCTTTGTTACCAGGAGTTCAATTTAAATGAATTGACGGGAAAAAAATTCCCAGCACTAAGAAGGAATTGTGCTAGCTAAACAAAATTTGCTAGAGATGTTTATAAATCTGAAAGATGAAGTCTATTCAAATTTCGTGCTAGGCGCATAACATCATGTTATGTTTTGCACTAGTAGGGCCATTATGAACGTGCAGATCAAGTTTGCTTTGAATTGCATTGCATGCTGTAAAATGTTTGTGAGTGTTATTTATCATTGAAATTTCATGTAGACAGTTGATATTAGTCAAGAATGCCTTTCAGAAAACGAAAAAGCTGTTATCAACAAGCTATTATCATTATGAGTTGAATGAGGCTGTGTAATAAGAGTATGAGAAGGTGGATTTTCTTGCTGCAATATTGCTGAAAGGCTTGGCAGGAATGTATGAACTGTGCATGATTGTTGGCAGCAGTAGTCAAGGGAAGGTACTAGCTCAAGAAGACCAGGTTCCGGATGGCCATGTGGCACTACTGAGAGGGAAGACTGTTGTGTTTGGCATATGGCTGTGGTGCATTGTTTTGCATCTGCAACAGAAATTTTAGCTGCAGCAGGCACCACAGTGACACAATGAACTGTTACACATTGTTTACTTGAAAGATAGCTCTGAGCCAGATGCTGTCTAGCATGCATTCCACTGACTCCAAACCACTATTGTTTGCAATGTCAGTGGTGTCAATCTGGAGCTCATTGGAGGGTGGAGTGAAGATCTGTCTGATTGAAACCAGTTCTACCTTGGTGCCAGTGGTAGTGGTGTGGTGGTTAGAAGGAGGCTAGGTGAGTGCCTGCAACAACTTGTCTGTGGTTAATACACAGTGGAGCTGCACCAAAGTTATGATTTGGGAAACAATTTCTCATGACAGTGGGAGCAGTGTGGCTAATTCACACACTGTGACTGCAAATTTGTGCATTAGTCTGATGATTAATCTGTTTTGCCATCATCCATGAAAGCATTCAAGGGGGTGCTTTCCAACAGGATAACACTCGCCCTCACACCGCTGTTTTAACCCAATATGCTGTACATGTTGTATGTCAGCATGGTGCCTTCGCTTGCTAGATCACCAGATCTTTCTCCATGTTGAAACTAAATAACGTTTGCATAATCCGAGTTCAAAAAACAAAACATTTATTTTACATATTTTTAAAGAAATAACGTTCTGAGCAACATGTTTTATCTACACACTCAACTGACGCTCTCTTCAAAACATCACGCCATCTAATTTGGCACACATCCAAAAGAACAAATCGAAGAATTACAGAAGCGTTGTTGCCACACAAGAAAAGAAATATAGTTACAAACTTCACACAATAGTAAAACAAAAACACACTTTTGAAAAATACACAATAATAATAAAAATAGTAATAATAAAAATTCTTATTTCAAAATAAACAATATTGTCTTGATTATGCAACACTCCAGTTGTGCACATGTGGGATATCATTGGATGACAACTCCATCGTCAAAATCATCCATTTATTGACCACACAAATCACAAACAGCAATAATCATCCATTTATTGACCACACAAACAAACATTAAATCACAAACAGCAATAATCATCCATTTATTGACCGACCGAGTGCAATCGGCATGGAACTTCGTCCCACAAACTGACATCTGGCACCTGTCCGACACATTTGCATGCTTGTATTTAAAATTCTGCCAGGTACACTGGTCATTAATGTATAAGCATTTTGCATTTGAAATGGATCTTCTTATGCTTGCATTAACTTGTGATCTTGAAAATTTAATCGATTAAATATATTATCTAGACAAATGTATTGCTGAAACTTCATTACTCTACATTCATTTTTTTCTTGGTGTTTTTTTTTTTTTTTTTTTTTTTTTTTTTAATTAACATGATTTTCTCTAATTACTGAATTTGAGCATAAAATAATTTACTAAATAATATAAGCTGGGAAAGTATGCATCTTTCAATGCTATCTTCAGTATTTTGGTTATTTTTTTTTAAATTACATGTTGTTTAACACTAAAAAGCTTTATAATATGTTATAAAAGTACATGAAGACATTTTATTACTTTTGTTGCCATTTTTAGAGAGCAATTTGCTATTTATTTTAGCCTTTAATCAGCAAACCTCAAATCTTCACCATATGTGCTACAATGATAAATTAAGGAGTAATGGAAAATTCTTATTATTTGGATGAAGGATTTAAGAGTTGAATATTGTTTATAATCCAATTCTTGGAGTAGGTACAGAAGAACATTTTAAAAAATTGCAAACTTATAGATCTCTATTTAAAAGCTGAATGTCATTGCTAACAATTGCATTGATATACAGCATTCTAAATCACTTTCATGTCTGTATTGTTGCCAGGGGTGATCATATCAACTACTGAAGTATATATAAGTTCACTGCTATCAGTTATGTCAGAAAATGACATACCAGCAATTCTGTGTTGGTTGACTAATACTGACAATTCTGTGTTAATTGACTAATACCAGCAATTCTGTTTTTGTAAATTTGTATTGAATTATTACTGTCAGACAAAACTATTAATTTCAGTATTAAATTCTGTCATAATGGTTGTATACTAATGTATCAAAATAAGACATACAATGCATAGGCTTTGTTTTCTGATAGCAAAATGCAAAACATTGCTATTATGAGCAAAAACTGATCAGATTGCTTACATTCCTTTTATCTTTAAGGTATATACATTTATTTTCAGTCATTAGTTAGTGGATGCCAAAGCATTATCCTTGGAGATCAAAGTACTTATGCTGAGAGTTCTTCAAATTTGCCAACTACTACTACTTCCATGACTCAGTCTCCACCACCCAGTTTTTGTTCTGTTGTTGTACGCCTCATTGCTATGCAGATGATTGCCTTAGGTGTAAGTTTATTTTTCTCATCCATCAAAAAATTTATGCATCAGTAATTTGATATTAAAATCTGGTTATTGCTGAAAGTGTGATTAATGATTGGATAAGAAAGAAAAGCAAATAAAAAATATTGTTTAATATTCACTTGCAGTTAAAAAGTTATTAAATGTAACTAAAGATTATTTCTTAGCAAATGTTTTTCCATATTATATATCTGCAGAAATATGTGAATGAAGGCTAAAGTCACATTGTAATACAGTTGAAGTCCAGAAATCCACAACGCTTGGGACCAGAGGTTGTGCGGATTTTAGGATTTTGCAGATATCAGGAAAGAAAAGATAATATTCAGACTAAAAGTGCAAAATAAATAAGGTGTATTAGATGCATTTAATTAAGTTATTATATACATTAATACAATAATTAATTATATGCATTAAATTATTATTACATATATAAACTGATTATATTGTTCATTTACATTAGGTTCCTCTATTTTTAAATCAGCATGAATCTGCTTGCCCTTTTCTCTCAAACAAGCGTCTAGCCCCTCGTTGCATGAATGAAGTTATTAAATAGAACTAAAGATTATTTCTTATCACTGTTGCTGTAAAATTTCAACAATTTTTATTTATTGTTCCGTATATCATATACAGTTTGTGTGGCAATTCCATATGATTCTGCTATAAACCGAGGTGTAGCACTTGCCTCCATCTTTAGCAGAATTTCCACTTTTTTCATTACCGTTAATGCAACGTGTTTACGCTTTTCAGCGTTGCAAGCAGTAAAATCACGAGTGCTTTTCTTATCTGTCATTGTATTAAAAAGTGCTGAAATTAAAAATATTCTTAATTTATCCACAAGATATCCGGATTAAAAAAAAAAAAAAAAAAAAAAAAAAACGACATCACTAAACAATCTTGTGAAATAACAAAGCTCAGAAACCACAAAAACGCAAAGCTTGAACTTGAAAGAAGAGTGGAGTTAATTGTCTGCTTTTTTACTTTGATGCAGGTTGGAGGGAAAAAAAACTGTTATCATGATGTCAATAATTTGGTATTTCCATTATGACTCATTATTATTCGGTAATTATGACATCATTATCCAGTAAGTATTTTTTTCTTCGATATTTCGTACTCCATGTTGTGGTTTTCGGAACCTATAAACTGAATGTTTATATTTTGAGAGGCAACGCGGATTTCAGGTCGGTGGATTTTCGGTATTTGACTGTACTTGCAATGGTTCTAGAATTAAATGGTACTGAAATTTTATTTTCCTTTGAAATTGCTTTATCTTCTGTGTTTCCCCAACAAGGCTTTTGACATATAAAAACGAGTTAGAATGAGGCATGAGGTTTAACCATTTTCATTGAATTTTATGAAATCTAAAGCTTTTATTAAGCTATCATAGAGAATCATTTGCTGGTTTCAAAAATCTAAAGGCAGCTTTTTGCTTTGCTCTTTCAAAGACAGAGCAAGTATACATATTTTGCATATTCACTTTGTTAACTATGCAGAAAGTTCCTTGTTTATAGGTTTTCTGTATTTATGGTATATTAATTGCACATGTACATGTTCAATGATGTGATGTAATGTATTTTAGTGGAACTCTGCCCAAACTAGATAGGGCAAGGATATAGATATGTTTGTATGTGTCTAAGATATGACAGTATGACTAAATGCATGTTTTATAATACAGGTACTCTTCCTACAACACAATATCCTGTAACACAGTTTTGCTATAATACTATTCATAAATTGTGGGAACCCTCCTACAGCACAGCATCCTATAACACGGTTTCACTCTAACACTATAAGATAATTGCCCACAAAATCCGAGGAACTTTAACGAACTCCACACAAAGTTTTCCATATTGATCAGTGCACCTACATTAGTCACTTAACACATAAAAATCCTCATTTAATAAGTCCTGCCAGTTGTTTCCCAAGATCCAGTTCCCATAGAACAAATGCCCTCAGGGAGACGAGCCATGTGGTGGAAGAACAGTTGTTGAACCCTTAACCAGTAATGGGGAAAATTGTTTCCCCACCATGACCTTCAAAGTATAGCACAATAAAAATAATCCACAGTCTCAAGAGAGCACAGTCACTAAATAACAATGAAGAAACCTCACTATTGCAGAAGGTGAACAACACGAGATCACAAAAAAAAAAAAACTCCAAATTGCATAACCTACGTGTTGGGCTTTCAACATTCAAATCATCATCATCATGGCCTAAAAACAAAAGTTTCTCACGCTGCTTGCTCATCAGCTGTCAACTTCAACCCATGGTGTGTTAAAGAATAACTCTTTCATCTTTAAGACAATAAGTTTCAGTTCCAAGTCATGTCCAATAAAAATAAAAAAACAACATTTAAGAGGAAATTTATTTCTTTAGAAGTAAAGATACAAATCTTGGATTATTTTTTTAAAAGAAGAAAAACATGTCACATTGAAAAAAGTCTTAATTTGAGTGCAGCAACAGTCCGGACTGTTAAGAAAAATGAAAAAACAATAAGATGTGCAGTTGCTGCAGCATCTTTGACATCCACAAAATCCAGGCGCTAGTAATTGGGAAGATTACTCCCAGGCACCAGTAATTGGAAAGATAGAAAAGGCACTTAGCATCTGGACTGATGATAGCTGTCAGAAAAGACTTCCACTGGATGGTAATATCGTTAAACAAAAAGCACTCAAAATTTACAAACACTTTAAAGAACATGGAGAATTCTCTGTTAACACAGATTTTGTAACAAGTAAAGGTAGGTTTGAAAATTTCAAAAAGTGTTTTGCAATTTATAGTATAAGAATGCAAGTCATCTGATCAAGAAGCTGTTAGGATGTATCTGGAAAAAATTCAAAACATTACAGAAGAGCAAAGATACACAGCAGATCAAGTATTCAGTACCAGTGAAACTTGGCTTTGGTGGAAAAAAGTGCCCAGTAAAACCTTTATATCGTAACAAGAAAAAAACTGCACCCAGATTTAGGATGTTTAAAGATCATCTAATGCTACTTTTGGGCAGTAATGTGTCAAGGGACTTTATGACAAAATCCTTGCTAGTTTATAGATCTTTAAATCCTCTTGCACTTAAAGGCATTAAAGATTGTTTTTGAAATAGTTTTGTGCCAAATGTTGAACATTATTTAAGACAAAAAAAAAAAAAAAAAAAAAAAAAAAATATGAGCTTCAAGGCACTATTGCTATTAGATAATGATCCATGTCATCCATAAGATTTGAATAATTGCAACCTCAAAATACTGTTCCTACCACCTAACACTACTTCATTGCTTCAACCATTGGATCAGTCGCACAGATGGTAAAGTGGTTAGGGTAGCCTACTATGGTATCGAAGGGCCCGGTTTGAATCCCAGAGAAGACATAGATATTTGTAAGTGTATAGTGTCGGTGTGGCATGACGGTACTCTAAATATGTGTCGAGCCGCAAGTTCTCTTGTACTCCCAGATGCTCCTTTCCCCGGGGTGCTCTTCCTCAAATTAGGGGTGGAAAATAGAAGTCCAACCTGTCTTCGAAGTAAGCTCTGGCAACCATTGTTCCATGTAATATGGACACAATAACAAAATTCATTGGATCAGGGTATTATTTATACCTTTAAAACATATTACATAAGAAGGAAATTACAGTGGAGTTTAGATGTAACCGATTCAAAATTATTAATGTAATGGAAGCTTGGAAGAAATTGTTTTTCAATCAAGCACTATTTGGATATCATATCTTTGTTGCTGAAAGAAGTAAAAATACCATATTTGATGGCATATAAGATGCACTTTTTTTCCTAAATTTGGTCTCAAAAAAGTTACCTGCATCTTATACGTGAAGGACACAGTCTTATACGTGAAGGACACAGTCTTATATGTGAAGTTAATTGCATTCAATAATTGTTTATTTAGCTTTTACGAAAGGTGAGAACTAAAAGAAACCACGCTATTGAAACCTTTTTTCCTTGTGTGTAGCCATCTAAATAAGGGTGCGTCTTATATGCCAATGCCGTCAAATACGGTACCAACATTAAATGCATGTTGGAAGAAGATATGGCCCTCTTCAGTAATAGAAAGTGTGTGTGAATTATCAGAAAAGGAAATTGGTGACATATTAGAACTCGCTAAATCAATCAGAGGTGGTTTTTGGGGGGGGGCTAAGGCTATTGAGGCCATTCAAGATTTATTAGTGGAAGAAGTTGATTGAACGGATTTGATGGAAATGGCACATGAAGCTATAAATCAAATGGATTCTGAGGACACTAGCACTGATGAAGATTGTGCAGTTTATAATTTAGCATTAAAAAAATTAAAAGAAGGCCTAAGCTTACCTAAAAATCTCGAGTCATTTTTCTTGAATGCCGAACCTTCCTCTGAAAGAAGCCAAAAATTCAAACAGGAGCTTGCAAAACTGTCTAGCTCCATACGGGGAAATTTATGTTGACCTGGTAAGATCCTGCAAGCAAAGTAAAATTACAAATTTTTTAAAGAGTGAACAAGGTGCAAGAACTTAAAATGAAGATAAAAACTCCTGGGTCATATAATTTTCTAGGAACCTATATACCCTGTTATAGGAGGGTTACCTCAAATAATTACCATGTCTACAGAAAGCAGGAAACCCATTTAAAGTAATTACGGCAAAAACCCATCCCATTTACACAAATTTCACCTAGGTGCACATAAATCTCTTTAAAATATTCTTGATATTTCACCCTTTAGGGGGATTAAATCGTCTCAAACATTGTTTCTTACTAACGGAGTAATTGGTTGGAAAATCCTGATTTTTTGCAGCCATATAAAGCCATACATTTTGCAGTCTACTTGAAGTTTCTGCACATACCAACATTTAAGATCCAATAATATGTTTAATTAATTTCCAGCACATTATACAAAGGTAGCTGTTCAGTATGATGTACTAAGAATATTTTGTGTTTGTGTGAAGAGTTTGATTATAAAATACTAGAACAGCATTGATAGGTGAATTAATATATAATAACAAATAATAAATTAGA